CAGTACAAGATGAGCCAACTCACTCTCCCTAATGCCCAGGAGGTGAGTAACCTGGCATCTTTGCCAGTTATCTATGAAGACATCCATGACACCTCCCCTCCCTCACCCTCCATAACCACACTATCACCAACTTCTGGCAATTTTATCTACCCAAAATCCATACAATTCTCTCCCACTCAACTGGTAACATCCCAGTCCAAGACACCATCATTCCTCCCTGGACATCTTTGCAGCCTTCTCACTGGTCTCCTGGTTTCTATTCCTGTCACTCTCTACAATCTGTTCTCCACACACAGCCAGTGTGAACTAAAAATCCAAATCTAGGGCCCCGGGGGCCTCGGCCCTGCCCGCCCCGCCGGCCGCCCGCAAGCCCCGGCTCCAGCCCCAGCCCCGCGCAGGGTGCCCGGGGCCGCAATGCGGGGGCGCTGCCCGCCCGGCTGGCCGCTGCCGCCATCTTTCCTGGCCGCCCGCCCCGCCCGCCAAGCCCGCACCGGGCCTTGGCGCCCTCGGCCGCTTACCTTGGCGCCGATCTGGTTGCCGCACTGCCCGGCCTGCAGGTGCACGATCTCCCTCATGGCGGCGGCGGCGGGGACGAGGGCAGCAGGCAGACACACAAGCGGAGGAGCAGGCGCGCAGAGTGCTACAACCGACGCTCAGCCAATGCTTATATACCCACCGCGCCCGCCTCCGTCAGTCTCGGATTGGGGTGCCAGAACGAGGCTGGCAAGAAGCCTCTCTTGATTGGCTTTGTCCCCGTCAATCAAGACGCCTAAGGCCCGCCTTCCTAATGCCGTCAGCCCCTTATTGGTCAGCCTCGGCCTACAATCTCCCTATCACAATGCCCCCCCTCGTGCTGCGGTGCTCTGTCCATTGGGTGTTTCAAATGATTGATTTGCCCTCTCATTGGCTGGCTTCCGGGAGCACGCCGACAGGTTGGCGCTATTGGCAGCGCGGGGTCAGCGTCCTGGTAACCGCCGCAGTGCAGCGGGAGACGCGCGCGGGCGGGGCCGAGCTTCCGGCCGGGGAGGGCAGGCCCGGCGGTCGAGGGCGGGCGCGGTCCTGGCGCCGCGCCCGGAAGGATGGTTCGAGAGTACTGGGGCGATCCGGGGTCCCCGCCGTGCGCCTTCTCCGAGGCCGCTGTCGCGGAGCGACGGGACCCGACCTCCCCGCGCGGAGCGAAGGGGCGCCCCGCAGCCACTCTGAGGGCCGCGCGGGGTCGCGGGGTGGCGGCCCCGCCTGGCGCGGGGCGAGCCCGGGGGTCTCCGAGGGAGGAACCGGAGCTCAGGTGCCGGGGTGGGGGCGGCGCCGCCGCGACCGGGATGTTCTTGGGGTGGGGACGCTGCCCCCAGAGCAGCGGAGCGTGGCGGGCGGAGTCCGCGGGCTCCTGCTCCCCGTCCCCGGTCCCCGCGCCCGCCGCCCTCGCGGTCCGGCGGGGGGAGCGCATGGCTTCCGCTGCGCCCCGGGCGGGTCGGGTGCAGGGAGGGGCGAGGAGGGGCGCGGCGTGTTGTGGAGACGGCGCTGGCCCTGCGCCCGTCGCCTTGGTGCCTGGGCCCCAGGAGTGCGCAGAGCTGCATGGAGACGGGACCGCGTCCAGACCTCCCTCGACGGATGGGCCCCCGACCTCTGGGGGATTGCGCTGACGAATACTTGCAGTGCTCTTAATTTACGACTTCATTTACGTTGGGGAGAAAAAAAAAATTATAAGAGAAAAACAGTTAAATTGCGTGCAGTTGCACGTTTAATCAATTGCTTTAAAAACAATATATTTACATTATGTGTTGGTAGCATTTTTATTTTTTTATTTTTATGTTTTTTTAGAGAGAAGGTCCTGCTCTGTCTCCCAGGCTGCAGTGTAGTAGGTCAAACACAGCTCACTGCAGCCTGGAACTCCTGGGCTCAAGCAATACTCCCTGCTTGGCCTCCGGAGTGGCTGGGACTGCAGGCAGGCACCACCACACCTGCCTAATTTTTCTCTTTCTTGTAGAGACAGGGTCTTGCCATGTGACTCAGGATGGTCTCAAACTCCTGCCTCAAGCCACCCTCCCGTCTCACCCTTCCAAAGTGTATTTTGGTAACATTTTTAAAGGAATAAATTTACACCATCAATTCTGTCCTGAACAGTCTCCTTTGCTTTGGTCACTGGGCCTCTCTAGATTCTGTCTTTGTTGGAATTTCTTACCCCTCTGCCTCTCGACCAGAGGGTGTTGGGGGCATTGCTTGCTTATTTCTTCCTAGAGGGGAGGCACCCCCACTTCACTACATAATGCATGATACCACAGTGTTGTGCTATGCACTGACCCAAACTGTTAGTCTTTGGGAAATCTGCCAGGACCAGCTGCACCCTGGGCATGCATGGAGATTGGCCTTTTCATCCCAGGAGAGGGGTCTGTTGCCAGTGTTTGCCACCCTGACCAGGAGAGTGACCTCACCCACAGATGGGTCCAGGAAAACAAGCCTGGCTTCTTTTTTTTTTTATTATTGGAGACAGGTGACAGGATGGCATTGCTAATAAACTAACAGAAAAGAAAGATCACAGCACACAACTGCCTGTTTGATTAACCACCTGGGGCTTAACTCCTTGTCTTTAAGAATTTATTTTGGCAGCACTTGAAGAGTTCCCAAGCAGACAGCAGAGGTGCAAACTCCCTCCCACATCCACCAGATCACATTCCAAGGAGAGTGACAAAGCTAGTGTCACAGAAGAGGGAAAAAAAATGACAAACACAGCTGGCTTCACAGCTGCCTCCTGTTATCATTTTGCAGCGGTAATTATTTTTTCCCTTTTATCCCAATAAAAACTCCAAACACCTTACCCTCGAGGCCAGCACTTTCTTGCTTTTGTGCCATGCTGGCTAGGGCAAGACAGCAGGAGACTCCCTGCAGTGCTTGGGCCTAAGACCCACAAGGACAGCAGCTGCCACTGCTGCACGAAGCTGGTCGAGAAGTCCCCACAGCCCCACCCTGAACCAAGGGTATCTCCGCTCCAGTGTGAAGAGGCAGGACAGTATGGTGTGGGAGGGTCAACCCTGGGCCCTAGGGTCCATGGCCAGGCAGAATGCAGCCCTGAGAGAGCCAAAGAGCAGGGACATGGGGCAGGAGGAGCTGTGGGAGTGCTGGGTGCCTGCCCTCCTTCCCCAGCCTGTAGCTGCTGGGCGAATCCACAAGGAAGGCTCTGTTTACTGGTGGCCATGGTCCCAGTGGGAGGGTGCATTACCGCCAGGCAGGGGCAGCAGGCAGACAGTAATTGGTGGCCTTAAAGGACCCAGCAGTCAGCCTTTGTGGGAGGCCTCACCTGCCCTGGAAGGAGAGGTGCGTGGGGTACTTTCCCCAGCCACAAGGGCCCCACTGCCTTCCCCCAAAGGACAGGGCAGCTTCCCGCAAGCCTCAATCTCCCTGGGGACTAGCCGGGCCTGTCCCCTGGAATGGCAGCAGGGTACCATGAGGCTGATGTCAGGTGCACAAGAGCAACCGGGAATCACAGAGTTGGAGGAACCAAAGCTGGGATATATGAGCTAGCTGTGGGGGGCCCTATTCTTGCTGCAGCCCAGCCCCAAGGCCTTGGCTGCTACAGCAGGCAGTCACCTGGGGGGAGGGGTTACAGGATGAGACTCAGGCCCAGGAGGCCTAGGTGCCGGAGGTGTGGGGTGGGGGACAAGAGGGCAGGGAGGGCCTGGGGGCTGTGGGGGGTAAGGCAACCTGAGAGGAGTGAACGGACAGGGCAGAGATGGCCCTGGGCTCTCCCAGGACTCATCTTGCTGACTAGCCACACCCCTGTCCCATGGGGTTTGACCAGGCGAACCTGGCAGAGGCTGGGAAGAAAAGTGCCCCCATCACGACAGCGGTTCTGGATGGGAAATCGCCAGTGGACACAGCTCGGACTCTCTGGGAAAACCAGAAGCATCCCTACAAGGGCCAGCCGCTTCGTCCATCCATCTGCGTGTGCCTGGCCGAGTGCTCGGGTCCCGGGACGACCCAAGCCTTGCTTTCTTTGGCGGCGCGTAGGGTCGGTTTGGGATTCGGGCAGTCCCGGACTGGGGGTGGCGAGGGATGCCGTTTCCCGGGTGTCCAGTTACCCGCCACCGGCAGAGGAGCTTTCCTGTGCGGAAACCCGACCTCACCGCGGGGGGCACCCAGCCGGCCGGACCTTGGCGCAGGCGCCAGCCGCTCCCCCGGGGCGCCCCCGCAGGCCTTCGCGGCCTCTGCGGCAGGCTCGGCTCCTCGCGGGCTCCGCGAGCTGAGCACCGGCCCGACCCGGCCCGAGCCCAGGAGGGGCAGGCCCGCGTCCCTGGGGACCCCGGCCCCGGCTCCCGCACCCCGGCCTGGGCCAGCCGAGAGACACGCAGGGGCGAACTGGGAGGGACGCCTGCGGACAGCCGGCCCTTCCCGCCGTCCCGGTCCCTCCTCGCGCCCCCGCGCACCTGGCGGGGCTCGGCGCCGGCGGGCAGAAGTTCCCTGCTCGCTCGGGCCCCTGCGCCTGGGGACTGGACCCCGCGACCCGCGGTTCCTTCCAGCCCTCCGAGCCGAGGGGCCGGAAACGCGCCGCCGCCCCGCCGGCGCTCGAGGCCACTTCCGCCACCCTGCGCCAGCCGCCCCAAGCGTCCCCAGGGCGCAGCGCTCGGCCCTTCCCGCATCCCCTGTCGGGCAGTGGACGCCGCCACACGGGGTAACAGCCGGATTTATTTGCACAGAAGGGAAAGCAGGTGATGCAAACGTCCGCTGCTGCTAGGAACCGCCCCCCAGGGGAAAGAAACTGGGTAGGCTGGCCGGTGAGGGCTAGGGTGGTCCGCTGTGGAGCCCACCACTCACAGCTGATGAGAAGCCAGGACCTCGGGGTTCTCATAGCAGTGGGCATCTTTGTCAGTGGCCTCTGCGGGGCTGCAGACCCTGCAGGGGCAGCAGCGCATCACCAGGCGGTCCCAGGGCTCCAGAGAGTGGAGCCAGAGGGGCAGCCAGGCCCAGGACCGCAGGCGGCGGGGCAGCCAGGCCGGCCGGTGCCGCTGCAGGACATTGATAAGGACGACGAGGAGCACTAGCCCCACCAGGGAACCCCCAACTGAGGCCAGCACCACACCCCCAGCCAGGGAGAGCCCAAAGGCCGCTAGGGGCAGCAGCAGGAAGCTGAGCAGCAGGTAGGCGATGGCTACCCAGCGGTAGCGGGCAGTCAGGTCCCCAAAGCGCTTGGCCAGTGGGATGGGCAGCCGCATGGCGGGCACCAGGTACCACAGCAGTATACCAGCTAGGTTGAAGAAGAAGTGGATGAGGGCAACCTGTCGGGTGGAGGGTCAGAGCAGAAGGGGTTACCTCAGACCCAGGACCCCTGCCCTCTCCCCACCCCGCGGAAATGGCCCATGTCCAAAGCTTGTCTGGCATCCTACCGAGACGCGCTGCCTGGGAGGGCAGATTCTGGCCAGGTACGGACATGCTCCTCCCACAGCCCCCCACTCCTACACTTTGGAGGCAGCAGGAGCATCGAGGGTTGTGGGTCATGGATCCACAGTGAGATCACGCCCTCCCCTGGACTGACGTAGCTTTGCCTAAGCCTTGTGCCCTCTCCTCTCCAGAGTGAGCTTTGCCACCCCGGCCAGGGCTCTGGCGGGGAGGCGGCACAGGACCACATATGGCAGGAACACACAGCGCCCCCCAGGGGCTGCCAGACTGGGAGGGGGTCTGTGCACAGGTGAAGTGTGGAGGGCTTCTTGGAGGGGGTGGAGCAGGACCCTGCACCGGAAGGAGCTGAGTGGAGAGAGACCAGGCAGAGATGAGGATGCAGGTGGGAGCCTGGGAGAGCCAGGCTCATCTCTTCTCATGAGCAGCAGCCTAGTGTGATCCAGGGTTTCAGGAGCTGAACCTGCCCGGCACCCAGGCAGCAAACCACACGGGGGGGGGGGTGTTTTAGAGCAGCGGTCCCAACCTGTAGGGCACCAGGGACTGGTTTCATGGAAGACAATTTCTCCATGGACCAGCGGGGGAGAGTGGAGCTCAGGGGATGATGAAAGTGATAGGGAGTGGCTGTGAATACAGGTGAAGCTTCGTTTGCTCACCTGCCGCTCGTCTCCTGCTGTGCAGCGCAGTTGCTAACAGGCCACAGGCCGGTACCGGTCCATGGCCCGGGGATTGGGGACCGAAATTTAGAGAACAGGCATGACTGAATGGGACTGGGTGTGGGGCACAGAGCTGGGGGGTCTGGGATGGGGAGGCATCCTGGAGAAAGAATCACAGCCAGGGTATTGTCAAGCACCTGGCATGGGGGGAGGGGAGGGGCTTTTCAGGATAGGGGCTGGGAAGCTGGGCATTGTCCAAGTGGGGCTTTGGGTTTAAGTGGCTGGTATACAAGGGAGCAGAGGATGGGGGGTAGAGGCATCCTGGAGGTGGTGCAGCAGAGGGGCTCGGAGCCCCCAGGGCTGGGGCAGGTCTCCAGGGGATGTGGTGAGGAGAATAGGGTGGAGGATGGAGGAGCAGGGGTCCCCCAGGGGAGGCAGGGGCTGTCAAAGAGAAAGGGGCACAGGACATGGGGGTGGCCCAGGGCCACACGCTGAGAAAACCTGAAAATGACTAGGTGTCAGGGAAGGAAGTGCAGGGTAGGTGCCGAGAGATGCCTGCAGGGTCTCTGGGGTCCCAGGAGGTGGGGCTGCAGGTCTGCAGCTGGAGCCAGAGAAGGGAGTCCAGGGAGAGCCTGGGCCACAGGCAGCCTGGGGCCCCAAGGCTGGCTGGACACAAGGGGACTGAACCTCAGAGAAAGCCCCAGGCCCCAGCTGGGAGCGGGGAGGGCGCTGGAGGGGTGGGGGCAGTACCTGGACAGCGCTGAGCATCATGTCTGCTGGGCTGGCCAGGGCAGCCAGCAGGGCCGTGGTGGTGGTGCCAATGTTGGAGCCCAGGAAGAGGGGGTACGCCCGCTCCAGGCTGATCACTCCGACCCCTGGGGGAGCTGGGGGTGACCAAAGGGCCCCAGCCCCCACCTCCAGAGGCCCACTGCCCACTGCACTCACCCATGAGGGGCACGATGGCTGCTGTGAAGACGCTGCTGCTCTGGAGCACGAAGGTCAGGCCGGCGCCCACAAGGATGGCCAGGTAACCACTGAGCCAGCCGAAGGGGAAGGGGAAGTCTGGCGGGGGGGGGGGCAGCTGGGTCACCCCTGCTAGCCCGCAGGCGTCCCTCCCCGCCGAGCCCCAGGCCCTGTCCCCAGGCCCCGCCCTGCGCCCCCAGGCCCCGCCCTGAAGCCCAGACCACGCCCCCTGCCCCACCCCCTCACCGGCGTTGACGACCGTCCGCACCGCCTGGGCGACGCGGCCCCGCAGCACGGAGTTGAGCAGCTTGACGATGAGGACCAGGCAGGTGCAGAGCACCAGCAGGGAGCCGGCCAGCAGGATGCAACCCACGGCCGCGTCCGTGAGCGCCGTGCCCGCAAACAGGTGGCGGCCTGCGGGGGGGGGGGGGGGCGGGGGGGGGGGGGGGAGCGTGAGGCGGGGGCGGGGCCGGGCCGGGGGCGGGGCAATCCGGGGAGTGGGCGGGGCGGGTGGGGGCGGGGCGGGTGGGGGCGGGGCCGGGCTCACAGCGCAGCCTGTCCTCGGCGGCCGAACTGTTCCTATCAGCGCAGGGGCTGAAGGCGCCACATCCGCTGCTGTTCCCCTGGATCTAGGGGCAGGGAGGACTCAGGACGGGCTCAGGGGGTCAGTGGGGACACGGAAGTCAGAGGGCTCAAGAGTCACAGTGGGCGGGGCGAGGCAGTTCAGCAGGCAAGGTCAGGGGTCAAATGAGGGGTTGGGGTCGGGCCCCTCACCGCCTGCTCTCCGGCGCTGCACCATCGCTTAATGAGGCTGCCGTTGGTGGCCTGGCCCGTGGCACTGCCCACGATCACACTGGTGTCCAGCTGAAGGGCAGAGGTATCATGACCGTGTGCTGGACCCTCCCTCAGGACTCGCTGGGGGCTCAGATGCCCATGGGGTCCAGCCCCATCCCACCCACTTCTGCCGACTACTCTCCTAATCCCCATGCAGGGCCCAGACCCTCCTGTGTCCCCTCCGTCCAGGGCAGGGCCTGGGCCTCCACATGCCCTCTCCAGAGCTCAGGCATCCTCACCTGCACGATGAGGTGTGTGAGTGGCTGGGTCAGCACCTTGAGGATGTCGGGTGCCTGCACCTGGGGCTGCAGGCGGGCAGGGCCCAGGGCCAGCTCGCTGAGCCGCTCCAGCACGGCTGCCACGCTCTCCAGCGGCAGCAAGATCAGCACCGTGAGCCAGTTGAAGATGCCGTGCACGGCCGAGCCGCTGAAGGCCCTGTGGCCACACAGGGCTGGTAGGCGGGACGGCCTTGGCGGTGGCTGCGGCTGCCACTGCCACCGGAGCTCCGGCCCCCACCCTCCCGTCCCCGACTCACCTCCGAAACTCATTTCGTTCCCCCGACTGGGCCATTGAGACCAGGGTGCTGGTGATGGATGTGCCCACGTTGACACCCATGATGACAGGCACAGACGCCTGGACGGTCAGCACTGAGGGGGGGCCGGGTCAGCCTCTGCCCCACTGCACCCCCCACCCCCCGGGAGGGTGGGGTTCACGCACACTTGGAGGCCACCATGCTGACCACGATGGAGGAGGACGTGCTGGAGCTCTGGACCAGGACTGTGACCAGCACGCCGATGACCAGTCCAGCCACGGGGTTGGACAGCACCACGTTGTCCTTGAAGATGTCTCCGGCCACTTTGCCTGTTGTCCAGGAAGGAGGGCTGTTGAGGTTGCAGAGGGTGGCTGTTCCCCAGCCCCGCCCTGGCTGCCCGCCTGGTCACTCACTGCCCAGCAGCTGGAAGGCAGAGCTGAGGGTGTCCAGGGAGCAGATGAAGAAGTACAGGCTGCCAAGGAGCCCACAGGCCTGGAGGAGGCTGGTGACCACCTGGCGCAGCCTGCTGACCACACTGAGCTCTGAGGACACAGGGCAGGTCTGTCCTCAGCCAGCCCTCCACCCTGCCCAGGCCCCTCCCAGGCCCCTTCCTCCTCTGTTCTCAACAGGGCAGGGGCCCATTCCCTCCTCCCCTGTAACTCCCAAGGCAAAGCCAGGCCCTCCTTGCTCTTCAGAGCAAGGGCCTGGGTCCTCCTCCGTCCCCCACCACTTCCTTGCAGAATGGCTGAGCCAACAACCCTTGGGCCCTCCTGGAGCCATAAGCCAGCCAGGAGGGGCAGATCAGGTAGGGTGGCTGTCCATTGCAGGGCAGGGTGCACCCTGAGGTGGGGGTGTGGGTGGCCATGAGCTGGTGGGCATGGTGGGTTTCCCTGTGGCCTGTTTGGGCCAGGCCCCACCCTGCTCTTTCTTCCCCCATGGCCCTGGGAGTCAGGCCTGCGACCCCCAGATCCCCCAGACCTACCTTTCCAGGACTGGCCAGTGTCCTTCAGCTGAGGGAGGGCCCAGGGGTCAGTGTCCCCTTCCTCCAAGACTGGGGCAGGATAGGTGTTCCCTGCAGGGTGGGTCAAGTAGGACTGTTTCTGGGACCCAGCCCCAGTTGGGGGTGGAAGGGGCAGGTCGGGCAGGGCCTGAGGCATAAGGGCTTAGGGTGAGACACAGCAATAGGAAGGGAGAGTCCGAGGGGGCCGCCACTCATCTGTCCTGGGACTGGGCTGTCCTGAGTCCCTGGTGCTCCAGGAGACCAGCTGGGGCCTCTCCCCTCCTTGCCCAGTACGCGCTGTCAGGGGAGTAGGGGGTGGGCAGGCGAGCCCAGGTTTGGGGCACTGAGGCTCCTGGTACCTGCATTTCTCAGACTCTGGTCCACCAGGTCAACTGTGTCCAGAGTGGGGTGGGGCACCTGGCCACCAGTGGGGAAATTCGGCATGGATTTCAGGCAGAGACAGACCCAGGCCCGAGCCCTATCTGCTGGGGACACGCAAAGTCAGAGACCTCTCCTGCCCCAACTCTGGCAGGCAGACTGAATTCAGGTTCCAGGTCCAGGGGCCCTCTGAGACCTTTGCCACACCCCCTGAGGGCCTTGGTGACCTCCCGGCTTCCCCCATCCACAGGAGGATGGCTACAATGACCTCAGGCTTGTCAGGCAAGTCCCATCCTGTTTCAGAGGACAGATTTGAGGGGACCCTGACTCCCCAGCTCCCTTGCTGGTCCCGGCTGGACGAAGGCCTGGCGGGTGGCCGAGGGCACAGGGTGCTGGGGGGCGGCTGGAAATGGCAGTGAGCTGGGGAACCCAGGGACCTCTCCTATCCGGTATCACCGGGGACGCTGCTGGTAGTCCCAGCTTAGACTTTGGCATTTGATACCAAAGGGTGACATCTTGGCCTGATAAGGGCCCCAACCCCCACTGATGAGGAGCAGGGTGGGGGGTTGGGCCCCCACCTCCAGGCTCCTCTCCCGGCAGCATCTGCCTCTGCAGCCCACTGGGTCAGGACCCCCACCCCGTCTGAGCCCTCTGCCTAGACGCCCTCCCAGCACCCTGGGCGTAAGTCAGGGGTCCGCAGTGCCTCCCCTCCCTTCTGCCTGCTGCCAGACTGGTCTCTCTTGCCCTTGGGCCCTGGAGGCTCAGGATGGGGCCTGAGCCCTGGGCCTGGAGGTCACCTGGCCCTGGCCTCAATGTCACCTAAGGGTCCCTGGGCCCAGCCTGGTTCTGGGAGCTCCTACCTGTGTGGGTGGTGAGGGGACACCTGCAGGGAGGAGCAGCTGCAGGTCAAAGATCCCCTGAGCGTGCACGTGACCTGCTGTGTATCGAGCCCCATTAATGTTTACCCAGGAGCTGAGGCCCCCGAGGGGATACCCCCTGGCCCCGAGGCCCCTGGGCCTCGCTCAGGCCTGGGTCACCTTGTGGCTAGGAGCTCCGAGTCTGACTCAGCCCGGTGTGGTTGGAGTGGGGTCTCTCCCAGGGACGGGCTCCGCATCAGGCCAGGGGTGTTGCTGGGCTGGGCGCCGGCTCTCCGTCCTGGACACCCATGAGGAGGCGTCCCTGTGAGCTACTGGACACTCCACCCCCGTGCAGGGCAGGATGCTGCTGCGCGGGCTGGGGCCACCCAGGGGCCCCTGGACAAAGTCTGCCCGCCACTGTGCCCATTCTGCAGAGCCTTGGAGACCTTCTTGTGGTAGTCCCTGCCCCTGACAGAAGGTGGCAGGGAAGCCCCTTGCACCGGGTGGGTGGGGAGGAGGTGCTTTCTCGTGTAGCCAGGGAAGGCGCCCAGCCCTGAGCTCAGCCAGTTCAGTTCTGGCTTCAGGGCAGGTGGTGGCCAGCAGAGGGGCGCAGGCAGAGGCCCCTCTCCCCAGGCCACGCTGCCCAGCCTGTTGCCTGCCCTGCCCTGTCCTGCCAATTGTGAGGTGCCCCTTACTGGGACCAGCCCTCTTCCTGCCCCTGAGATGCCAGGAGGAGGGGCTGGCCCTGTGAGTGGGGGACTTTGCCCCAGAGAAGGAGGCAGCTTCTGAGTGTCTGCTCAGCAAATTCTCTCTTCCCTTCCCATTCTGCACCCCTGCTCAGGGGGCTCCCGAGTGGGCATGGGGTGCGGCTGCTCTGCACCCACAGCCTCCGCCACCTGTGTGGCTCCCCGAGGGTCCCTGTTGTGGGTGCTGCCAGCAGCCGGGAAGGGGCCCGGCTCGGGGCCAGTTAAACTGGGCTGTGCCATCAGAGCCAGCCCTGCCCATGGCCCTCTCCTCCGACACCTGTGTGGCCTTGTGGCCACACGGGACCCTCCCGGAACAGCGCCTGACACACGGTGGGAACGCAATGAACTTTGTTGAGTGGATGAACCTCACAGGGCTGACGGCGGGGCATCAGTGAAGGAGCTGGCCTCTCTCCTGGCGCCTGCCTCCGAGGCCTTTTGTAGGAAAGGAGCCCTGCTCCGGCATGACCCACTCAGGACCAGCCTTGACTTGGCTCTGCCCTTTGGGCCTGCAGCCCGGGCTCCTAGGACACCGTCTGGGCTGAGCTGGGCTTGCAGTGTCCCCACTGGGCACACACGGTCAGACTATCCTGGCCAGGATAGGTAGGAGGTCACCAGCCTCCAGCGGAGTCTCATGGCACTAGGGCCATAGCCCTGCCCTTCCAGTGTGGCCTGGGCACGCCTGTGGCTCGGGTGGCACCGCTGGGCCAACGGGCTGCGTCCAGGACACTCTGCCACCAGGCTGCTCTGGGAAGACCGTGCATGGTCAGAGGTCCCCCTGCAGGGGAGGGAGCGGCAGAGCTCAGACCTCTCCGCTGCCCAGGGACAGGCAGCAGAGGCTGCCACAGTCCCGGCAGCATCTGGGCGGGGGAAAGTGGGGCTGGGGGCCCAAGGTGGGGCAGAGCCCAGCCGGCTGCTGAGTGACAGTGGTGCCATCCTTGAGGGGCGTGGGGGGCCGGGGCTCCACTCTCGCTGGCTTTCGTTCAGCCTTGATGGCCAGGAAGGCGGCCAAGTCCAGGTCCAGCATGGCCACCCCTCCTCGAGGCGTGGGTGTGCTCTGGCGGCACTGCGGGCAGGGGATCCAGCGCTGCTCGTGCGCCGGCGTGTCCAGCCGCCGCACGCAAGCCTGGCAGAAGGTGTGTCCGCAGTAGAGGCGGCGGGGCAGGTGCCCGGAGAGATCATAGGCCGAATAGCAGATGATGCAGTCGCTCCTCCGGGTCCCACCCTCTTCTGAAGCCCGGGGGCCCTCAGGCTGCAGCATCCTGTGTGGGGGGGTGCGCAGGGAAGCTGGCAGTGGGCGGCACGGCATTGCCTGCAGCCTGTCCAGCCCACCTCTGTGACTGTCCAGCATGACTGGGCAGGAGCTGGGTCTGTGGGGCTGGCAGGTGTGTGCAGATCCAGGAAGGGGGTAGTGGCCAGTGGGACAAGTGGGACTAGAGTTGGTCACTCCCTGGTTCCCGTGGCCACCGGCTGGGCAGCCTCCTGTCTGGCTGGGCAGGTCCTTTTCCCGACCCTCCAGCTCAGCCCTGGGCCCCCACCACCCAGCCTACCCCAGCCCCAGGCCTTTCTTACCTGCATCCACACCACCGAGTGCAGGCTGGGTGCCTGGGGAAGGGGGTGGGGACCCAGGGCGCCCTGCGGCTCCCTGCCTGGCTCGCGTTACTGGCCTAGCGGGAGTCAGCAGAGAGGCAGGTGGCCGGCCGGCCCGCGTGGGCTCCCCTTTCAGCCACAAAGCGCTTGAAACTGGATCTAACTGCACCACCCACTCATAGCAGATAAGGTGCCCCCGCCCCACTGCCCGACCCGCTCCTCTGCTAACCCCCCACTGGGGCCTGGCCTTGCAGTTCAGCTCCACGCTTTCCCCCAGCCCACACCCTCCCCAGGGTCCTCTGCAGGCTTCATCGCTATGTGCAGTTCCACATTTGTGCGACTTCTCCCCATCAGCTCAGTCCTTGCCTTGTTCTGCCCTGTCCTTTGTCCCATTGAGGGGCAGCAGCCAGCCTGCATGGCCTGGAGGTGGCACTCAAGCACCACGTGTGGAGATCCTTGCTCACAAACAGCGACCCCCACCCCACCCCGCCGGACTCAGGTGCCACCTCCCAGCTGGCATGTGCCCGTCTGTGGCCCCCAGCCAGCCCAGGGAGGCACCAAGCTCCAGGAGGTGTGGTCAGTGTGTCCAGTGACCTGGACCACAGGTGGAGCGAAGCGAAGCGGGGTAATGAGGCAGGTGGGCAGGGCCCCAGGACCACTCAGCCCCACCAGGAGGCAAGAGGGCCCCTCCTTCCTCCTGCCCGCCTTGGCAGTTGGCCTCCAGGACTGGCCAGACAGGTTCCTGCGGCTGACCTGGGTGGGGTCATCTTCTGAGGGGGCCGCCGCCGTGAAGCAGGGACACAGGGACACGGAGGCTAGCACTCGAGTCCCTGCCCAGACAGGGCAATGACCCCTCATCCCACACCCAGAGAGATCTCAGCAGGCCACGCACCCACCCCGACCTGCCGTGCGGCTGGTCACCATGCGTCAGGGGAGGGCCGGCATGACGAGAGGACCCGTCTGTCCTGCATGGCCAGCTCAGCCTCCACCTCTGCGCCTGTCTCTGCCCTTCCTGGAATGCCGGCTGCCCAGTGCCGGCCTCCCCACTCACTCCCTGCCCTGGCATCCCGGCCTCCCCAGCGCTGAGGCAATGTCGTGCTTGGCGGCCTGGCTCTCACACCCAGCCCCAGGCAGCCACCCTGCGCTGCTCTGACAGACGACTCAGGCCCACGGCCCCGGCCTCCTCCCAGCCCCTTCCCTGCTTCGCCTTCAAGGCCTGGTACAGGCCACCTCCTCCAGGAAGCCCAGGCCCTGAGGCAGGACAGCAGACGTGCAGGAATGAGATGTTTCCTGGGAAACCAGAAACGTGTCCCAGAGAGGCTGGGAGGTGACTCACGGTGGGCAGGGCTCGGTCCTGGCTGCCTAGGCCCTCCCGTCCTGAGCTCCCACTCCCTGAAACCTGCCAGCAGCAGTTCCACCCTCTCCCTCCTCCTGGAGACCTTCCTTGGGGCTCCTTCCAGGCATCTGACCCACACGCGGAGCATCTCACAGTCTCAGGACTTCAGCCTAGGGAGACGGGGCGGCTTGAACCCAGGCCTGGCCAGGGCAGGGGACACACTCCCACCCCCACACAGCCTCTAGACAGACCTGAGCCCTGCAGGTGAGGCTAACGTGCAGATGACGTGAGGCTGCAGAGGGTGCGTGTGCGCGTGTGTGTGGCATGCACAGGGTGGGAGCAGATGCTGTCATGTAGCCTGGGACTCCCTCCGGGAGGGGCCTGCAGCAAAGGACAAGAGTCGCCAGGACAAAGCTCACCCTGCTTTATTGGCCTGAAGGTGGTCAAGGGTGTCCCATCACGGCCAGTGCCCGGGACTCCCTCTCAAGGACCCGGTCTGAGCCGGCAGCCTTCCTGGCCCACGAGAGGTGCTGGTCCCAGGCTGGAAGAGGCTCATGCCTCTGACCGCAGCCACCTGCACATCTGGGCCCTGCCTGGGCGGGAGCAGAGGCTGGGTCCTGGCCCTGGCGGGGCTAGGAGACAACGCAGCAGCGGTTGTGGCAGCGGCAGAAACGGGGGCAGTGGCAGCAGCGGCAGCAGGGGCAGCAGCAGCAGTGGTGAGCGATGTCATCGCCGCGCCCCACGGGCGGCAGGCCCGAATAGGTCAGTCCCGGTGGGCGCTGCCCGCAGCTGGAGGGGTTGCAGGGCTGCTGGCTCTGGCCAGGGGCAGCCCCCTTGGCGCCACCCTTGGCACCACCCTTGGCACCCTTGGGCTCTGGGACCTCGGCGGGCTGCAGGAGGTGGGCTGGCTCAGGGGCGCAGGGCCCCATGGGCAGAGGCTGTGTCTCTGAGGAGGAGGAGGAGGAGGAGGGAACCATCTCTAACTGCTGCCCCAGCTCAGGCCGCAGGTGAGCCCGGGGGATGCTGATGTGGGCGTAGGGGTTCTTGACAACCATCTCGTGGGGGTCCATGGCCCAGCCTGCAGGAGGGGGCAGAAATGACACAGGTAATGACTCAGTGGAGGGGCATGGCTGCCCGAGAGCTGCAGCCCAAGAAAGCTCCCACCCCAGGACAAGTCGGCCTTGTCACTGCATCCGTGGTCATGGGTGCAGGGCCCTCCAAGCATGTACACAGGCCTCTGTTGTAGGCCAAGTGTGTGCAAGCAGTGAGGGCCAGTGACTCCCAGCTGTCACCCCCCTCCCGTGTGTCCCCCTCCCCCCGTGGCATTGCCACTGGGAATGGGTTAGGGAAGTCTGGGCGATAGGAAGAGCAAGGGGCTTGCCCTGGGGTACCCCTGAGCTCAGCAAAGCCCTCACAGGCAAGGACTCACCTGCAAGGGTTGTGTGGCAGTGGCAGCAGCCAGTCCTCTTGGCCCTCCAAGCTCCAGGTCCCAGTGCCTGAGTTGAGACATTGGCAGCCGCCTTTTCCCTCCTTGGGAGGGTGGGGCCACCGGGCGGGGCCCAAAAATGGGGTTCCCAAGATCCCGAGAGGCCACGGCAAGTCAGCTGGATCACTCCTCATTCTTAGGTAGGTGGCAGCCCAGGCCTGGGCTGGAGGTGCACGGTCAACCTGGAGTGACTCAACCTGGACACATTCGGGGCATGTCCTGGGCCAGGAAGCAGGGCAGGAGGTGAGGCCGAGGTTACAGCCCCAGGAAGGAAGTGGGTCTGGCAGGTACTCACACACCTCCAAGCCCCTTCTGGCAAAGTTCTCCACGTGAGCCCAGCCTCTACCCAGCAGAGACTACTGTGTTTGAGAGCACAAACTACTTGGAGAGTTTTCCACTGTTCTAACAGATAAAAAAATTTGATTCACACATGTTTGTCACACATTTCTCTTATACTACTGTTCATGTCACAAGTTTCAGACACTACCAACATCTTGCCCTGGGTTCTGGAATGCAGTTCCCCTCTGGAGGCGGGCGGGGGATCACAGGCCGCCTCCCCAGTGTCCCACGCTGGGCCCTGACCCCTCCTGCCCTGGGAGCCTGGGCTGCTCCATCTTCCGGGAGGGGAGGTGCACAGCCCGGCTGGGGCAGGAGGCTGGTGGGGGGAGCTGGGAGCAGGGTTAAGGCCAGCAGGTAAAGGGATGAGCCTGGAGGTGGGGGGATGACCATGGGAAATGGGGAGGTGAGTCCAGGGGAGGGGTAAGTAAGCATGTGGTGGCAAGGTGAGCCCAGGGGCTGGGGCTGTGAGCCCAGGGGCTGGGGGTGTGAGCTGGGGGTAAAGGGGTAAGTAAGCATGTGGTGGCGAGGTGAGCCCGGGGGGTGGGGGGTGGCAGCGAGGTGAGCCCGAGAGGTGCGGAGGTGAACGGGGAGGACGAGTGAGCCCCAGGTGACGATGTGGGGTGAGGAAGGATGGCGAGGTGACCGGCTGACGATGCCTGAGGGTCGGGCAACGTGAGCCCGGGGGGTGCGAGGTGAGGGTGGTGCCGAGTGAGCTGGCTGACCGAGGTGGGCGATGTGAACGGGGGAGGGCGAGGTGAACGAGGCGGCGATGTAACAGGTTGGTGTGTGTAAGCCAGGGGTGGTGAGTGAGCCCGGGACGAGGTGAGGAGGAGGGGTGGCGAGGTGAGCGGGGTGACGTGCAGGGGTAGGGGCGAGGTGACCCGGTGTGGCGAAGGTAGCGGGGGGTGGCGAGGGTGGGCCAGGGTGGCGAGGCTGGCCGGTGACGAGGTGAGGTAGTGGCGAGGTGAGGTACGGGTGCGAGGTGCGGGGTGCCCGAGGTGGCCCGGACCGAGGTGAGGGGTGGTGGCGACGGTGAGGGAGGGGTGCGAGGTGCCAGGTGGCGAGTGGCGGGTGACGAGTGAGGTAGGGTGGCGAGGAGGTAGGTGGCGAGTGGCCGGTGGCGAAGTGGCCGGGGTGCCGGAGGTGGCGGCTGGCGAGGTGAGCCCGGGGGGTGACGAGATGGGCCCGGGGGGTGACGAGGTGAGTCTGGGGCAGTGGGTCCGGGGCTGAAGCAGGAGGGGCGGGACCAAGTCAGACCGGCCCGGACACGAGTCCAGGAAACCTGGCGCCGGAGGCAGGCGACGCAGATCTAGATACCGGGGACTCCAGAGGCAGACGACAGAAGCCCAGTGCGCAGGCGCCGAAAACCCCGCCCCCTAACCCCGCCCTTTGCGTGGCGGAAATGGCGCATGCGCAAACCAGGCCGAAGGGGGAACGACAGAAATGTTATTTCCCAGAAGTCACCGCGCTTCAGGGTTTCCCAAAAGACCCGGTTCGGAAGACCTGATCCTCGGCCCGGGCTGCCCCAGCTCCGAGTGGCCCGGCGGGGAGGCCCGGGTTGGGCGGGGCCTCGCCCGTGTGGGCGGGGCCTCCTGACAGGGGCGGGGCCTCACGGAGGGGGCGGGGCCTGCTCGGTGGGTCGGAGAGCAGAGCCTGCGGCGTAGGGTGGGCTTCGAGCCCGCTCTGGCCTAGCCTGCCTCAGTTGCCCCCGGGTCACGCCAAGGCCCCGTAGGGCCCCCACCGCCCTGGGCGGTGCTCCCGTCACTGCTCTAGCGGGGTGCGCCCAGTCCCCGGGCGCGGGTCCCCCAGAGCGCCCGAAACAGGCCCTGGCAGGCACCTGCAGCCCGTCCACCCACGCGCGCTCCGGCCCGCCGGCCCTAGGCCCTGCTCAGAGCCCGGCGCTGGCTGCCTTCACAGAGAGCGCTGTGGCCCGAAGGGGCCAGGACTGTCCAGGGCCAAGGGCAGGGCCCAGCGCTGGTCACAGAAGTGGCAGCACAGCACGTGGCTGTGGGCGGCCAGCGGGGGAAGCAGGAAAGGATGCGGCCTGTGCACGCCTGAGCGGGGGGCATGCCGAGGGTGTGTCCTCCGAGGGTGTGTGTCCCCCGAGGGCCGCCCTCCGCTGGGCTGCGGCCTGCGCACCTGCCCAGGTGTCTGCTTGGTCTTCTGCAGAATCCCATCCCCGGTGTGTCCACTGTCCCCCGAGCCTTCTGCTGACGCCCGACCCGCCCTGTCCACCTCTGGCGTCTGCTCGCCCACCTCCACTCATCCGCTCGAGGGCACCTTGCCTTCTCCGAGCCGCCAGTTCTGGGCAGGCTGGGCACTGAACCCCCCGGGCGTGCCCACTGGGGCTGGCAGGAAGGGCAGGCAGGGAGGGTTAGGGTTAGGGTTAGGGTGGTTCAGGGTGGGGCCCCGGGAGCCAGTTTTCCTGGGACCCACTTGCGGGTCTCCTCCCCTCCCCCTCCAGCATCGTGGAGCTTGGCACCACAAGGAAGGAGAGCAGGACTCCCTTCCAGAACTGGTGGAGGGGTGCTGGCCAGGACAGGGCAAGCCAGGAGAGGAGAGGAGGGCTGGGGCGACGCGGGGGCCTGAGCGGACAGAGGGGCGGCCGGGCGACTGGCCCCGCCCCGCGGACCCCGCGCGGGTCCCCAGACTGGGGGGGTGGCGCTGCGGGCGCGGGCGGGCGCCGCGCGCACTGCGGTCCCCGCGCCTCCGCCGCAGAGCGCGCCACGCTCCGCACGCACCTGCCGCCGCCGCCGCCACCGCCGCCGCCGCCGCGCTGCGCCGAGCCCAGCGCCCCGCGCCCCTGGGTGCCGCCCGCGGCCGCCACCGCCCGAGGTCGCCGCGGCCGCCGCGGGAGCAGCCGGAGCCCCCGGAGCTGCCGGGCCCAGGCGCGGGCACCGCATCCAGGCCTGCCTTTGAGACAACCTCTGCGGCGGCGGCGCGTGGCCCGCGGACGCCAGGCTGGGGCAGGTGAGCGGGGGCGGGGCGGGGGTTGGACTCGTCGCCCTTCCCCACCCTGGCAGGGGTCAGTCCTCGGGAAGGTGCGTCTGGCCTTGGAGGCGGGGACCGGGGAGGGGGTTGGGTTCTGAGTCCAGCGGAGGTCGGGATCCCATGGCTGAGGTCAGGGTCAGAGGTCGGTGCCTGGTCCTTTGTGCAGGGGGAGGTGGGAGCGGGGGTGGGCGTGGGCTCGGGCGCTGCCCTCACGCTGTCTCTCACCTGCAGCTCAGGCCTGGCCCAGGCCTCTCCTCTGCTCCTGCCGCGGAGCCTGCCGCCCGGGTCCTCCTGCAGCCAGGGCTCAGGCTAGCTGCCTTCCCTGGGCGCCCTGCCTTGGAGCCATGGGGCCCACCTAGTCCCCACCTGCCCCGATGTCCCGGCCCGGGGACTGCTGACCTCGGCTGCTGGGGGAGCCCCCCCCACACCCCCTCGTCAGCCTCAGCAGCCAGAGACCCTGGGTGAAGCCCTGGGCCAGACCCGCAGCCCGGGGCAGCCCCCCACACCCCCCTACCCCTGCCTGCCTCCCCCTCCCGCACCCCTTCCTCCTCCTCCCAGGACTGGACCAGAAAAGCCACTGTGGCCACTGGGGGGGGCCCTGCCCCCCCAGCTCTTGCCGGCCACCCCTAGGAGTCCACGGGGCGGCCGGGGTCCCCACCAGGCCTGGCAGGACCAGGATGCTGCCCCCTCTCCTTCCCCCCAGCCCCACCCAATGCCCCCACCCACCCAAACATCCAGTCTGACTGGAGAAAGCCGGATGCCCGCTGACCCTGGGCCGGAGGCGGGCAGTGGCTGGCCAGGCCTCCTCATGTCCTGCCTGAAGGGCCCCCATGTCATCCTCAAGATGGAGGCCATGAAGATCGTCCACCCTGAAAAGTTCCCTGAACTACCAGCGGCTGCTCCCTGCTTCCCATCTGCCCCCCGGCCCACCCCCACTCTGGCACCCAAGCGTGCCTGGCCCTCAGACACAGAGATCATTGTCAACCAGGCATGTGGGGGAGACATGCCTGCCTTGGAAGGGGCACCCCACACCCCACCCCTGCCACGGAGGCCCCGGAAGGGCAGCGCGGAGCTGGGCTTCCCCCGAGTGGCGCCGGCGGACGAGGTCATTGTGAATCAGTACGTGATTCGGCCTGGCCCCACTGCCTCCACGGCTCCTTCTGTGGCGGCAGCAGGCGGCGAGCCCCTGGAATGCCCCACCTGTGGGCACACGTACAACGTCACCCAGCGGCGTCCCCGCGTGCTCTCTTGCCTGCACTCTGTGTGTGAGCAGTGCCTGCAGATTCTCTATGAGTCTTGCCCCAAGTACAAGTTCATCTCCTGTCCCACCTGCCGCCGTGAGACTGTGCTCTTCACCGACTACGGCCTGGCCGCACTGGCTGTCAACACGTCCATCTTGAGCCGCCTGCCGCCTGAGGCGCTGACAGCCCCCAGCGGCGGCCAGTGGGGGGGTGAGCCCGAGGGCAGCTGCTATCAGACCTTCCGGCAGTACTGTGGGGCTGCGTGCACCTGCCACGTGCGGAACCCGCTGTCCGCCTGCTCCATCATGTAGCGCCCACCCGCCCACCGCTGCCCGCTGGTCCTTGCTCGCCGCTCCTTCGGGGACCTGGCCCTGCCCCGCCGCCCGCTGACCCTTCCTCGCCCACCGTGGCTTCTGGCCACACCCTGCGTGGCATTGTCGCTACAGCCAACTTTGCCATTAAAACTCTGCCAAAGTTTGCACCTGTTCCCTGGACTGAAGCTTGCTCCTGTGGGCTGTGCCCAGGTTGGGCCTAGGGTGGGTGCCCAGGGCTGCAGTCCAGGCAGTGTCCAGCCTGGAGCCATCAGAGGGAGGCCCAGAGCATTCAGGGCTGGCCCGCTCTGCTCACTGGAGGCCAGGCTGGGCTGAGCACGCAGCTCCGGAGGGCTGGGCCTGGCTGTGAGCGTGTGTGCAAATACCTACAGGTGCAGAGCTACTTGTGGGCACCCAGAAGGGCTCTGGGTGGGTTTGCAGAACGAGCCCAGCTGGACAAACAGAGGATGCATCCTCTGCACCGGCCGACAGTGGTGGTAGGTGGGGGGGGGGCGCCCGCATGGGGGTGCAGGTCAGTTGACGTCCCTCCTGGTGCTCAGCTGGCCCTGAGCGCCTGCTGGGTCTTCCAAGACTGTGTGGGGACGGCCTTGGACAAAGGCTGGCTGAGATCGTGGCAGGGGAATGAGGACTGGGGTCCTCCTGTCTGACATGCAGACCACCTGGGTTTGGAGGAGGGACCTTTGCAGGGTGGCATGAGGAGAGCCTGCCTGTGGGGAGGACAGGGCAGTCATGACAATGGTACTTAGAGCAGCCACTGTTTACTGAGAGTCGCTCTTGTGCCAGGCACAGCACTCAGCCTGCTACACCCCATCTTGCACCACGTCACCAACCAATCCCATGAGGTGGGCTTTGGACATCTCCGTCCTTCAGATGAAGATCTCAGGCTTGGCAGTGTGAGGTTGTGCAGGCAGTTGGGGAAGAGCCATGGCTTGGGCCTGGCACCCTCAGGTCCCCAAGCCTGGGTGGGCCATTGTCCCTTGCAGCACAGGCTGGCACCAACTCCCTGGCAGCTCTGGCCTTCAGAGACACACACTGACCTTTGTCTGGGACCCAGAGTGGGCAAGGCCATGCAGCCCCTGCCCTCTCCCTGGAACTCACTGCTGGAGCTCTGTGCACTTTTGTGTCCATTGTGCTTGGGCCTCTGGAGGTGGAGGTGTGGCCCGGTGGCAGTCATAGCCAGTGCGGTGACCTCCCTCCACCAGGTGCATGGGGCCCTGCTTGCACACCTTCCTGCTGGCTGGCCTCCTCCAGCAGCTGTCCTTGGTCACCGGTGTCCTTGGGCGCGGCTGGTGTCTGGGCAGCAGGGCGACTCTCTGGCAGGGGCTGGCCCCCGGGGTAGGCCTGGGCCCTGGTCCAGCGACAGAAGGCCTTGACTGAAGGCCAGTGCCCTGGGTGCAACCTTGGGTTTTTCTGCCCGAGCATCAGGCCTCACAGCACCCAGGTGTGGGGACGTGGGCGTGAGGGTGGTCAGGGTGCTGCCTGGTGGCTGGAGCGGTTCAGGAGCATAAGGAGCAACCCCAGCAGCATGAGCGGCATGGCGATGAGCCCCAGCCCCAGCAGCTCGAGGGCCAGCAGGCTCAGCAGTGCCAGGCGGCGGGCACAGGGCCCGCGCTCCCGCAGCGCCCAGAGCCAGGCACTCAGGCGGGGTGGGCAGGGCAGGAAGGGCAGGCAGCCCCGGCCGCCCCCGGGGCCTGCCAGGAAGCGTAGCTGGTAGCGGTGCTCCAGGGAGCCCCAGGGCCAAGGGCCAGGGTGGCGGGGCACCGGGGTATCTCGGGGCGGTGGGCGTGAGGGCCCATCGGCCTGCAGCAGCTCCTCCTGCAGCTGGCAGATCTCCCACTCGGGCATGGGCGTCTTCTGGCGGCACAGCGGGCAGCGCACGCGGCCCAGGTCCGAGCTGGGGGCCATACCCAGCAGCTGGTGGAGGCAGCCCGAACACAGGCCGTGGCCGCAGTTCAGCAGGGCCAGGCAGTGCTCCTGTGGCCCGTAGGGCTCCGTGCAGATGGGGCACTCCTCCTCCTGCCCCCGCCCTGCTGCCTCCTGCTCCTCCCCCTCCTCCCCGGCTGGCAGGGCCCAGGCACCCACCCTGGCTATGGCGGGGAGCCCCAGCAGGGGCTCCCTGTATGTGGTCCTGGCACCCTGGGGGACCCCGAGGCCATCTCCTTCACTCGCTGGCACCTGGGACAGTGGAGCCAGGTGCTCAGGGCCCAGAGGGGCCCCAGGTGGACTGGAGGGCTCAGAGCTGCAGTCAGCGGGGCTGCAGGAGCCAGGATAGGAGGGTGGGGACCCCAGGGCGGCGGCAGGAGTGGTTAAGGCGGGAGGTCAGTGTGGCGCTCAGGGGTGGGCAGTCTGGGCTCCAGCACTGACCTCCTCCAGGCTGGAAGTAAACTTCGCTTGGGCCCAGCAGGCGTGCCAGCTCCAGTGGCTCCCGGGCCCACACAGCACCGTCCCCGGCCAGATCTGGCCTGAGCCTCGTCTAATCCTGTGCCAGTGACTGACAGACTGACAAACAGGCTCTACGGGGTGATGTGGGCCGGCCTGCCGGACTCCTCCAACAGGATTTTCCCTCCCAGCACCAAAGGCCCCTCCCAGAGGCGGGACAATGCCTCCACTGCACCCCTCCCGGCCGTGCCCCTTGCTCTGGGCGTGGGCCTGCTCCCAGGCAGGGCAGGGATGGTGCACGCCAGCCTGGCTGGGGCCCTCCCAGCACCTCACCAGGGCCCTTCTGCCGGTCACCCCCACTTGGCCACCAGAGCCCGACAGAGCTTGGCTGACCCTCCAAGCTGTAAGTTCACAATGGAAACAATAGGTGCCTCCAAGCCTTGAGTTCACAGTGGAAACAGTAGGCGCTCACCATGTTAGAATCAGACAGCAAAGTTGCAGCAGCAACCCAGGCAAAGGTGTTGAGCAGTGACACAGGCACATGCAGGGGCACCGCCACACTCGGTGGCTTCCTCCGAGCTATGGGCCCACCCACCCGCCCACCACCCAGGGGGAGCCCGAGGAAGGAAGAAAGCACACGTCACAAGCAGCCACCAGGAGGCGTCATTTACTGCGAGGCTTTCCTAGAACCAGGAGAGGAAGGGGCTGCGCTGGCCTGGGCCCTCCCACTGCGTCTTAGGAAGCCAGGCCCCACCCCCCACCCCTGCCCTTGTCTGAGCCCTGCAGGTGTCAGGGGTGACTGGGATGACAGCAGGCTGCAGCGGGAGTGCCCAGGGAGTCCCCAGGGCAGAGAGGACCAGTGCGGCCTTGTAGGGACCCTGCACCACCTCAGAGGGCTCAGCAGGCTGCAGATGCCTTCCTGGGTCACTGTACCTGTGCGGGTGGTGCTGCCCAGGGCACCTCCCTGACCAGGTCGGGGGGGACATGGACACAGAGATGCGTGTCAGGGTGAGGGGAGGGAGGGGAGGGGCCCACGGAGGCTGCAGTGAGGCCAGGGCTGAGAGGCTGGGACTCAGGGGCCAAGGGGGTGTGACCGTGTGCAGGGAGTCCTGACCAGCGGGGTGTGCAAGCCCCAGGCCTGGTCTGAGAGGACTCTGGGCCCAGACCAGGCCTGGAGGTGACAGTGGTCCCTCTGCCAGGTGCTTCCCTCTGGACTCCCTTCCCTGGGCCTGGAGGACGGCCACCAGCCTGGGTGTGGGCTGCCGGACAGCGCCTCAGGCCCACGTCTCAGTCTGGAAGCGCAGCGTCCGCTGGAGCCTGGCCAGGTAGGCGGCCGCGTCGGGGCCAGAGAGCCCGCCCTCCTCCTGGAAGATGGACGTCAGGGCTTCCGAGACGTCGGCCGGCATGTACTTGGCGTTGCTGGAGGAGGGTGCACACAGGGTCAGTGAGGCTGAAACCCGGGGGCGGGGCTGTGCCCACTCCTGCCACACGCCAGGCCCGGCTCACCCTGCCAGGTAGAAGCAGGCGCCCCTGCGGTCCAGCAGTTCCCACACGAGCGGCCCGAGCTCCCGGAGCCGGTGCTGCACGTACACCTTCCGCTCCTGCGGGGCGGGAGACGGGCAGGTGGCTGAGCCTGAACAGCCCCCGCCCCCGCCTCCCCCGCCCCCCCGCAGCCCCCGGCTCCCAGGCACACCCACCTGCTCCCGGGAGAAGGCCGTGACCAGGGTCAGGCAGCCCTTCCTCTCCAGCTCCTGCCACTCCGCCTCCCAGTAGAAGTCCTGGTCCCGCCAGCGGCAGCCAAAAAACAAGACGTTTCCTGGGGGCATGCAGGGCGGTCTCAAGTCAGGACACAGGCCCTGGAGGCTCAGTCGGACCCGCCTGGCCCTGGCCCTGCGCTGGGACCCCAGTGCGCTCACCGGTCCGGCCCTGGGCCACACGCTCCTGGATGGCTGCTCGGAAGGGGGCCACCCCGGTGCCCGGCCCCACCATTATCACAGGTGTGTCCGGCGTCTCCGGGAAGGCCAGGCCCCCAGGCCGCACCCACAGGGGCACCCGCACGGCTCCTGCGGCGGGAGGAGGAGGAGGAGGCATGAAGAAGCTGGAAAGATCCAGCGTTGTTGTGGGCACAGGGGAACAGGAACCCTGGGCCACAGGTCCCCTGGGAGCAGGGTCACCTCGTCCAGGGTCCAGGGACGCCAGCCAGGAGGAGCAGAGGCCGCGGCGGGGCTCCCTGAGGCGGGTCTGGTACTGCACCACGGCCACGAGGATCTGCAGCCTCGAGGGGTGCGCCTGGAGCAGGGAAGGGGGTGAGGACCAGTGGGTATCCTGCTCGGGGAGACCGCCCCGCCCGCTGCCTGGGCCACCGGCGCCACCCGGGTTCGTCCTGGGCAGGGGAGCGCCTCCTGGCCAGAGGGCAGTTGGGCCGTGAACCCAGTTTTCCTGAGGCCGGTCCTGGCTCCGCCCCCAGGCCTCACCAGCAGAGAGGAGGCGATGGAGAAGGCGCGAGGCCGGATCGCGGGGATAAGGTCCAACAGGTAGTCTGGTGGGATGGCGCCAGCCGTGTGCGGGAAGTCACACAGCACCTGGGGACAGAGTCTCAGTGTGGCCACGGCTCGGGACCCGGCACCCAGCACCCGCCCCGAGGCCGGCCTCACCTCCAGGACTGTCCTGCGGGGGCGGCTGCAGTACTCGTGGAGCTCCTCCTGGCCCTGGGCAGAGCTGAACTCCAGCAGCTTCTCCCGCTCCAGCTCATGGGCGGACAGACAGGCCAGGAGCTCGAAGAAGGAGCGGCGGGGGACGCTGGCAATGTCCAGGTACTGGGTCACGAGGTGCTGCACGGAGCAGGGCTGGGGCAGCCCTGGGGGGCAGGGGACGCCTGCAGTGGTGAGCAGAAGACCCCCGTGGGCTCGGGCCAGGCCCTCGGTGGGGGCTGAGGGTGTGGGGGACGGCGGATGGCAAGGCCGGCCTCGGCCGGGGCGCACCTGCCTCCCGTGGCTGCAGCGTGAAGCACCGGTCGGGGTCCAGGCCCAGCACCTGGCAGAACTGCTGCACGTGGGCGGCCGAGTTCGAGGGCTGGATCAGCACCACGTCGCCAGCGGCAAAGCTGTGGGGATGCCACGGGGCTGTGAGGACTGTGTGGGAGGGGCGCGGGGGCTGGGGGAGACTGCGGAGGGAGGACGTGAGTGTCCCAGGAGCGCTGGGGGTCCTCAGGCGGGAGCCGTTGTCTCTGCAGCCTGGCCCCAGCCTCCCTGCAGGCTGCCTCCTCCCCAGCTCTGGCAGATCTTCTGCACCCCAGGTCCACAGCCCCTCCTCATGCTGCCCTCCCAGGCTCCCTGGGGCGCCTCCACACCCTGTTGGCCCCAGGAGACCCTCTGCCCGCGCTGGCGTCCCAGGCTGTGCTCGGCCCCCTCACCTGATGCCGGAGCCCGTGATGTCGAAATCAATCAGCCGAACGTCCTGGAAGTGCGAGGGGCCGGTGACCCTCTGGTTGGAGACCACGGGTGCCAGGAAGGGCTGCAGCTCTGTCGGGGGCCCTTGGGAGACCGGGCTGGCCGCCCTCTGTTCCTCGGAGCACGTGCCGGGAGCCTCTTGGAGGAAGTGCAGGGTGAACTTGGAGGGCAGGCTGCAGGGAGGTGTCTCGAGTCAGGGCAGGGCCTTCTCTCCCCAGGGGCCACTGGCCCACACCTCGGAGGGACCCAGGGCGAGGTCCCCAAGGCCAGGCTGGGTCTGCGGCACCACTGGGGGGTGACCCAAGGCCCACACTCACGGGACTCCAGGGGGGATCACGGCGAGGCCTCGAGGCACCGGGCACAGCTTTAGCACTTTCTCCCACAAGTCCCGCAGCCAGGGGTCGACAGCAGCATCAGGTCTGGGAGAGAGTGGGCCCTGGCCTGAGCAGACCTGCCCCCGCCGGGCCAGAGCCAGGGAGGTGGACACCGCCTCCCGCAGACTCACCCCAGCTCGTGCTGGTCGTCGCCCAGGCACACGGGCAGGAGGGCGCTGCCCCCGAGCTGCAGCAGCCGCCGGTGCAGCTTCTTGGCCACGAAGTTGTACCTGTGGAGACAGCGAGGCCGGCTCTGGACCCAGCCAGGGCTTGGGTCGCTCCTCAGCGGACCAGGGGGAGCGAGGAGTGACCAGGCATCTTCCCGGGGGGCCGGCTGTTTCTCGATTTGGCTCATGAAGGCGGAACTTGGTCCTTGTAACCCACCTTTTTCAGGGAACGCTGTCGGCAGTCGGACCCCCTCTGTCCCCCCCTCCCCGTGCCCGTGCACGCCACCAACACGAATATCACGCCACACGGAGAACAAAACCTCCCAGCACAAATGTGCGATGTTGCCACCCCTTTCCCTGTTTTCTGTCCTGTTGGCCTGAAGCGACGGGGACCCCTGCCTCGCACACAGCTTTGGCCACGCAGCGCTCAACAGCCCCTGGTCCCTGCTTGGGCGGTCAAGCGGCTTTCAAAGTTTTGGTGTCTTAAGATGCCACCTGCACCCTTGAACACAAACCCCTCTTTATTTCCTCAGGAAATCATGCAAAGCGATGCTACTCCCTGCTTGGGGGTGCAGGTGTGTGTTGTGACAATGCTGAAAGAGAAAATCCGCAGGTGGTCCTCCTGCCAGGAGGGCAGCGTGTCCTCCACAGGTGCCCTACGTCACGAATGTCTCGCACTACGTTTTTTTGTGTTTTTTTTTTTTGAGACATTGTCTCATTCTGTTGCCCAGGCTAGGCATCAGCCTTGGCGTCAGCCTAGCTCACAGCAACCTCAAACTCCTGGGCTCAAGCGATCCTCCTGCCTCAGCCTCCTGAGTATCTGGGACTACAGGCATGTGTCACCATGCCCGGCTAATTTTTTGTATTTTTACTTGTTTGACTAATTTCTTTCTATTTTTAGTAGAGACGGGGGTCTTGCTCTGCTCAGGCTGGTCTCAAACTCCTGAACTCAAGCAATCCACCCGCCTCAGCCTCCCAGAGTGCTAGGATTACAGGGGTGAGCCACAGCGCCCGGCCCCCCGAGCTACATGTTTTTGTAAAAGTGGGGGATAGCGCCAGCTAAGTCTCTGCTGATTTTTTTTTTTTTTTTTTTTTGGAGACAGAGTCTTGCTTTGTTGCCCAGGCTAGAGTGAGTGCCGTGGCGTCAGCCTAGCTCACAGCAACCTCAAACTCCTGGGCTCAAGCAATCCTACTGCCTCAGCCTCCCGAGTAGCTGGGACTACAGGCATGCGCCACCATGCCCAGCTAATTTTTTCTATATGTATTAGTTGGCCAATTAATTTCTTTCTATTTATAGTAGAGATGGGGCCTCGCTCTTGCTCAGGCTGGTTTCAAACTCCTGGCCTTGAGCGATCCGCCCCCCTTGGCCTCCCAGAGTGCTAGGATTACAGGCGCGAGCCACCGCGCCAGGCCTCTGCTGACTTTTGTTATGGGCTGTGATGTGACGGCCCAGGTCCAGCGGTGGCACTCTGCCACCCTGCCTACTTCCCCTCTGTGTCCCCATGTCATGCACCAAGTGGCCCACTGGGGAGCACCCATGGGTGAGAACTCGAAGTCAGAGCCACTCAGGGACCACGTGGCCTGCAGAGGCCGACCCGCCCTCCCCCGAGCACCTCTTACCGGCCAGAGCACCGGGCCAGCGCGTCCACCCGCCGCTACTCACTTGGCGTATGAGGAGTCCCCGAGGCCCAGGACAGCAAAGTCCATTCGACAGAGGGAGGTGGAGGGCAGGTTCTTCCGGAATATAAACCTCCAGAAGTTCTACAGCCAGAGGAAACCCCGAGTTAGAGTTCCCGACTCTGGGCCCGCCCTGTAGCTGGGAGGGAGGGAGGGTCTCACGGAATCCACAGAGCTGGGGGCAGGGCCTGCAGGATAGGGCTGGCCCAGGGCCCAGCAAGACCAGGGCCCACCCTGCCTGTGGGAGGCTGGGCACCCCTGAGCTCCAAGCCTGAGCAGAGGCCCTTCCCAGGGTGCCGTGCCCTCCTGCTCCTTGAGAGTTTCATGTTGTTAAAGCAATAAAACCTTTTCTTTTTATTCTATTACAATGGCAAGAAGTTTGAGAAAATGCACGAAGCCATAACAGAGAAGAAAGCGACCCCCAGAGCCGCAGAGGCGCTGGGAGGTGACTCCATCAGCGGGGCATAGCTGACGGGGCAGAGGCTGGTGAAGGTGGCACGTCCAGGACAACCCCGGCCTCTGGGCTCCAGCGCTGGTGGGCGCGTCTGCTCCCCATCAGCCTCCCCTTGGCCGCTCTCTTCCCTCACGCTGAGATTCCTGTGTCCCAAGGGCCGCTTAGCTCTCCACCCACGACCATCACCCGTGCCCCATGGACACGGGAAGGGCTGAGCTGTCAGTCTTCTCTCCCTCAGAACTCCCCACCCCAACGGGCCCCAGGCCACCATGAAGAGGCTCTGCCCACACCCCTTCTCCTCCCTTGCTCTGGACCTGCTCCCCAGCTGCCCCCTTCCCCATAGGGACCCCTACCTGTCTGTCATCCCCCAGCCAGAGTGTGGGCCTCCCTCTGCTCCAGGGGGTCTATCCTGTGCCCAGACCCCAGAGGTCCGGGTGCCCATGACATGCCCTTCTTCTTCCCAGGCGGGTCCAGATGACAGTGCCTCCCCTCCACACCTCCCTCTGCAGGGGTCTCCCTGGTGTGCAGAGGCCTGTCTCCTCCTTGACCTTCAGCCAGGGTGACCCTAAGCCCCCAGCACAGCCTCTGTCCACTCCGTCTTCACCAACCCCCCAGGGCCCCTTTCTGCAGACAAGCACGGAGGTGACAGCGGGGACCCCCGGACCACACTGTGGGTGAATAGACTCTGGCTCTGTCAGGCACGTAGCTTCATCCACGGGCCTTGGACCACCCGTGAGAGCAAACACGCTCTGCCTCTGGCCTCCGTGGGCCCTTGCTAGCTCTCCTGGGGAGAGGCCCTCTTTCCTGCTGATCTCGGTAGAGCACCTCTTCCTGAGAAAGGGTTCAGGAAAGGTAATTTCCATGGCCCTTCCTGCTCGCAGGTGGCTTGACTTTCCCTCACGTTGGATCGACAGGTCGGCTGGGCACGTTGCAGACTGAAAACCCTCCTCCTGCAGAAGCTGCTTTGCTCTGGGCTCTTCCAGCCTGGCGCCACCGCCCCTTTGAGTGTGCAGGGCACTTCCTTTGTCCCCAACAGCTAACACCCACAGTGGCGCTCCTGGTGGGGGCCCTTCCCAGGCACAAAACTAGCTCTCTCGGGCTGGAGACTTCAGTTCAGGGACATTCTGTTATTTTCCTCGATAATTTCCTCCCCAACGTTGTTTTCTCTTTCTGACCTACTGGAACGATCTTCAAATTTTTATGTCTTTCTTCCATTTTCTATCTAACTTTTTATTATACTTTCTGAGAGGATTTCTCAACTTTATCTTCCAGTCTTTTAAAGTTTTTTGATGTCTCCTTAAAGAACCGTTCCTGAGCCTCCAGCTTTCCCCTGTTCTCGTGCTGCTGGCCTTGCCATGTTGTCACATGGGGGCCATGTCCTCTGCAGAGAGGATCGCAGCTGGTCTGGCCTCTGCTTGTCCTTGCTCCTCCAAGGTCCGTGTGAGTTTCTCTTGGTCTCTGCCTTTCACTGGGTCCTTCCTTTGGCAATGTGGTGATTCTTTGTGGCCTATTTGTACTTAAGAAACTAAAAGAAAACCTTGTGGATGAGCCCTTCAGCCAGTGAGATTTTCCACCAGGAAGTGGGGCAGGCACCTTGTCCGTGGCCTTTTACTGTGGACTTCGGTTTCTCCAGAGAAGACCCCTCCTGTCAACTGCCTGGGGTGCACGCCTCACCTGCAGCCTTCTCAGCAAGGACCCCAGGAATGAGGCCGGGGTCTTCCCGTTCAGAACACGGATGGCCACTGAGGAGTCTTGCCCCTGCCTCCGTGTCCCTGGGCCTGGGGTCTGCAGCCTCTTGCAGGAGTTCCCATCCCTGCTGTGGGGGTGGAGGGCAGCCCACGCTGGCTCCCCACTCCTCGTGTTCTCCTGGGGGCACTCATCCCTGAGACTCCCTTTGTTGACCCAAGTCCCAGCAAATCATCCTCACCTTTGTGCTATTGGCTACCTGGCTGCCCAGCCCAGCTCAGACTCCAGGGAGGTCCAGTCCCCCTCCTCTCCCACCCCTGCGTCCTCCGCATCCTGCCACTCGCCTCCTGCCTTTGCTCCCCTCTGCCAGGCTCCCTGTTGAGAAGATCCCCACCTGTGCTCAGGTCATCCCAGCTCGGTCCCCAGTCGGTCCTCAGCCTCCTGCCCAGTCTTTCCCCCACCAGCACTGAAACATGCCAAGTCTCTCCCATCTGATAAACACCTTCTTTTTAACTACTTAGCCCTTTTGCAGCCAGAATTTTTGTTTCAAATGCTTACTCTAAATATTCTCTCTACTCACTCGCTTATTAGCAGATTTCTTGTAATCTGGCTTCTCTCCTCAAGAGCCACTAAACCTGCTCTCCCTGATGTCACCAAGAATCCTTTTGTCAATAAATCCCACAGACGCCTCTCAGGCCTCATCTTATTTGACTTGTGCACAGCTTTAAATGCTGTGGTCCTTTTGGGACACCTGCCTCCCTGCCCTTTACCTTGGGACAGTGCACTCCCTCCTGCAGCTGCTTGTCCACTTTCCTGCCCTTCCATGCCCTAATGTTCAGCACAGCCTATCCTCACGGGACAGAAGAGCTTCCTTTTCTCACACCTCTGTATTCTGGCCACTTCAACATCTACTATGGTTCCCAACCCCGTGGCAGTGGCCCGGTACCAGTCCATGCCTGTTAGGATCCGGGCTGAGCATCACTGCCTGAGCCGTGCCTAACCCCCTTTGGTCCATGGAAAAACTGTCTTCTATGAAGTCAGTCCTTGCTTATGATATGTTAAATGGCAAAAGAAAAAAAGAAAGAAACCAGTCCTTGGTGCCAAAAAGGTTGGGGACTGCTGAATATCTGCCTCCACCCTAGGATCCTACTTGGAGCTTCAGACCATCAACCCTAGATGTCTCCAGGCACCCTGTCCTCCCCACTCTCCACACCCCTCCGTGTTCTCTGTTTCTGCGCATAGAACTACCATCCATCCTGGTTCCAGAGCCCAAATCCCTGTCTTCATTCTGCCTTCTTTCTCATCTAACAGATCCATTCAATTAGATGTCCTGCTGGTTCTACCTTCCTAACATCTCTGGAATGCGTCCACTTCTGTCTTCTGCCACTAGCCTATCTCAGACCACCAGGGTCTCTTGCCTGTGTTCTGTACCTCTAGGTGTTATTCTTGCTCTCCTGCAACCTGTGCCCCTGCAGGTAAGTACTGGTCTTGCTAGAATATGAACGTGACTGTGTCACCCCCATATCCCCATGTCCGCAGCCTTTCATTTCAAGCCCATCTGGCTTACTGTGGCTGCCCAGGCTCTTTGGACTGGGCCTGGCTTCCTGCCTCTCTTCCTTTCCCCTCTTGCCCCCAGTGCACTCCTTGGCTCAGCCATCCTGAACTACTTCCTCCTCTGCACAGCCTGTTCCTTCTTCCCTGGTGCCTGAGTAGCCCCCACTCATCCTTCAGGACTCAAACTATGCTGTCTTCTTCCAAAAAGCTCTGAGTCCCAAGGCTGGGCTAAATACGGATAGATGCCCCTTACCAATGCTCCCATAACATCTAGCAACTTCCCCAGCAACAGGTATTTCCTGATGTTGTCACTGCCCATTCAATATGTTGCTTCTGCTATCGTGTGAGATCTGTGAGGGCAGACATGTGGCTGTTGGGTTCACAGTTGGCTTCCCAGCAGATCATGCCAGGAATATATGTACTCAAAAGATGTTCAAAGAATTAAACAATGTTATCTGAAGGTCACACAATCTACACACACACACAAGACCCAGAGCAGATTCAGACATAGCTCTGGAAAAATGTGAAAGCCTAAAATGGAGAAAAAGGCTATTTGGTGGCTACAAAGAGTTTATTAGAGAGGACAACCAGAGCCCCCAGCTCCACCCAAAGGTATCCTCTTTTTTTTTTTTTTTTTTTTTTGAGACAGAGTCTCACTTTGTTGCCTAGGCTAGAGTGAGTGCCGTGGCGTCAGCCTAGCTCACAGCAACCTCAGACTCCTGGGCTCAAGCGATCCTTCTGTCTCAGCCTCCCAAGTAGCTGGGACTACAGGCATGTGCCACCATGCCCGGCTAATTTTTTCTATATATATTAGTTGGCCAATTAGTTTCTTTCTATTTATAGTAAAGACGGGGTCTCGCTCTTGCTCAGGCTGGTTTTGAACTCCCGACCTCGAGCAATCTGCCCCCCTCGGCCTCCCAGAGAGCTAGGATTACAGGCGTGAGCCACCGCGCCCGGCCTCAAAGGTATCCTCTTAATCTGCCTTTAACGTGCATCTGATATAGGAGGGCAACTACTTGTGCTCTTAGGACTCTTCAGGCAATGAAAATGGAGTGAGGGTTGAGGACAGGGATCTGAGAAGCCACATCAGGCCAGCCTTACCTTCATGTTGTCAGGGGGGTCTCCTTGGCCTGTAGTTGCACAAACAAATATCACCAGAGGCTCGTTAATCAGATTCACCTCAACAGAAAAACACACGTGTAAGACCTTGGGCTGTAAATGACCAGGCATCCTCCCTGAAACCTGGTCCCCTCTCTTTCGCTCAGGCCAATAGGGAAAAGGGCCCTACGTGAGCAACCCTGGCCACCAGCCTGCCTTTTCTCTTTCAGGCTTCAACTTCCTCCAGGTGCTAAACTGAAAGAACCCCGCCGTCCCAAGGTCCCCCTTCCCTTAAATCCTCCGTAGGGGAAGAGCCCGCTATCAGACAGAACACGAGTCCTTTTGAGTTGACGATAGTGAGGAGAGGGCACGCCAGGCCTGCTGGCGTCTCCTCGCCGAGGCCCTAGGGAGCCCTCACCACTGGATAGGAGTCCAGGGCCTGCACCCGGCAGCAGAGGTGCCGGCGGCGGGCCTCGCGACCCAGCCTCTCCGATACATCCTGAGCAGTGCCTGTCTGGCTGCCGAAGAGCACCAGAAGCTGCAAGCTGGGCATCGGGGTGCGCCCTGGAGATCCCTGGACCGAGACTTGAAGACCCGGCAGACAGCTCAGTAAGCCTCAGGACACTGACCACAGCGACTTCCGCCTTCCGCCGTCGGCCGGAAGTGACGCCATTGGGATGCGCCCGGCGGGGCATGGCGTCCGTGCGCTGCAGGCGGACGCCGGCGGCCAGTGTTGGGTCTCGGGCCTGGGCCGGGGGATCGGCGGCGCACCTGGGCCGAGGGCCAGGGCGGGCGGGGCCGCTCCTCGCCTCTCGCGCGCAGCGGCGGCGGCAGGCTCGGGCGAGGCCCGCGGGGATAGGAGGCTCAGCCCCGCGGGAGGCACGATCTGTTGGGCCCCGGTCCGCGCTCAACCGGCGCGATGCTCTTCTCACTCCGGGAGCTGGTGCAGTGGCTGGGCTTCGCAACCTTCGAAATATTCGTACACCTGCTGGCCCTGTTGGTGTTCTCCGTGCTGCTTGCACTGCGTGTGGACGGCCTGGCCCCGGGCCTCTCCTGGTGGAACGTGTTCGTGCCCTTCTTCGCGGCTGACGGGCTCAGCACCTACTTCACCACGATCGTGTCCGTGCGTCTCTTCCAGGATGGAGAGAAGAGGCTGGCGGTGCTCCGCCTCTTCTGGATCCTCACGGTCCTTAGCCTTAAGTTCGTCTTCGAGATGCTGTTGTGCCAGAAACTGGTGGAGCAGACTCGGGAGCTCTGGTTCGGCCTGATCACGTCTCCAGTCTTCATTCTCCTGCAGCTGCTCATGATCCGCGCCTGTCGCGTCAACTAGCCTCTCCGAGGTGCCACAGAGGGAGAGTTGGACCGCTAGAGTGCTGGACCTCTAGCTGAGGCCCTACTTGCACTGCACCAGCAAAGAGGTCTTGATCTGAAGGCAATGCCTGCTTGTGGCCAGTTTCCTCTGTACCAATCATGTCTGAAATTGTTTCCTCAGCATGGCTAAAAGGACAGCCTTAATCCTCAAAACGTATTTTCTGTTATTTCATGCTTTGAGTAGGCAATCCTGAATTGAGATCCTGAGAAGGGCTCCTGGCCAGACATTTCTGAACTCCTCTGACATTTGGAAACTGAATATGAGTAAAATATCCTGATGGGCTTTGAGTATTTTCAATGGGTCCTGGGAAAGTAATCCTGTACAAAGGCTACAAATCTGGGCTTTTGAGGATTTCCTCCAGCCTGCAAGGCTAACCTAAGAACTCACTGCTCCATCCAGAAGTCCAGACCAGACTTCATTAGCTGTCTTTGTTAGGTCTAAAAAGTGTAAATGAGTTTGTGCTTCCTCCCCTGTGCTATGGGAGAGAACGGCCCTTGCTTCATTTCAACTGAGTTAGAGACAGAAGAATGTTGAATAACAGCACCATTAGGGCCTGATCTGCTTCTCTGTCACCTGAGAAAAGAACTCTGCTGTCCAGATGCGGCTTGGCTTCCTATCTGAGCAAAGACTGCAATTTCACAGACTTTTTCACCACCTGTGGCTGGCACTATTAGCACACCTGAGACAGATTTAGGTCTCCCTAAGGTGCTCTGATGCTCATGTCATTGACATCTACAAATGGGAAGTTTGTGAGTGGCCCAGCTTTGTTGGCCTGAGGTCTGTGGTTAGATGCCAGTCAGGTGCCAAATGAGAACATTTGCTGAGATGAAAATAAAATAAGAGAATGTTTTCCTGAAATGAACAGTGGTCACCTGTACCTCTCAAAGGTTAAATAGTATGAATGCATAGATGCTCCTTGCTGTATGGTGTAACTGGTTGCAGAGTTGAGGCTGTAGGTGGACTGAAAAGTGTGACCAGAGCTTAAGTGGGTGGTAGTGGTGGGATACCACTTCTGGAAAATCCTGCTTCCTGCTTTAGGAGGCAGGTAGCTCGCCTCCCCCCAAGCCCCAGTGTGAAGACAACAGTGTGGGCCCACGTGGAGGACCTGCAGAATAGTTAGTGTGACACCAGAGCCCTTGGCTTCTTGCCATTGTGTGGTCTTTGTGGGCCTTGCTGGGACTCTGCAGCAGGGATCAGCAAACGCTCTGTGGCCTGTTTGTGTACGGCCCACAAGCTGAAGATGGTTTTTACATTTTTAAAGGATTAAAATCAAGAATGGTGACAGAGTGAATATGACTTGCAGAGTACAGGGTTTCAATTGCGCACTCTTGGCCTTTTGGGCTAGATCATTCTTTACTGAGAGCATGGTGGGAGGGAGAAGTGTCCTGAAGATACAGGATGTTCAGCAGCACCCCAGCCTCTACTCACTAGGTGCCAGTCACAGCCATCTCTGTGACAGCCAGAAGTTTATCCAGATGTTGCCAGGTCCTTTCCGGCAGGATGAGAACCAGTGGGCTGAAATGTTTATTGTCCGGCCCTTTACAGAACCGGTCTGCTGACCTCTGCTCTACTGCAGCAGCTGGGCCAATGGTGTGAGCTTCGTGACACCACCCCCCCATGGTGCTTAGTTGTGTAAACAATGTTGAGATACTTGAGTTGGAAATGACTGTCTGGTTTGTCCCACAGCTACAAAACTGTCTCGTACCCAGGACTGGCATAACTTTTGTCAGAGTCAGATACAAGCTGAATGTTGAGAGTGAGTTTCTTTGTAATGTTATTTTTAGATTTCTTGTTTTGTGTGTTCCCTTGTTTTTTTTTTGTTGTTGTTTGTTTGTTTTTTTTTAATGAGACAGAGTCTTACTCTGTTGCCTGGGCTAGAGTGCTGTGGCATCAGCCTAGCTCACAGCAACCTCAAACTCCTGGGCTCATGCGATCCTTCTGCCTCAGCCTCCCGAGTAGCTGGGACTACAGGCATGCGCCACCATGCCCAGCTAATTTTTTCTATATAGTTTTAGTTGGCTGATTACTTTCTATTTTTATTAGAGACAGGATCTTGCTCTTGCTCAGGCAGGTTTCCAACTCCTGACCTTGAGCAAACCTCCCGCCTTGGCCTCCTAGAGTGCTAGGATTATAGGCGTGAGCCACCTTGCCTGGCCCCTTGTTTTATTTGGTAGTTTGGAATATGGCAATCCCATTGGTGTACAAATGATGAGTATCCTTTGGAAAAGTGATTTGAGGATGACCCCAGGGGAGGGAGGTACTTGAGTTTTCCAAGTCTGAAATCCTATCTTTCTTTTTCTCCTGATTAACAGAATGGTCAAGAGAGTAAGGCAGAGTTGTAATGGCTGCTGCGGACTGCTATGGTACTCAGGAGCTGGGAAGGGCACCCCCCCCAGGCCAAAACCTCCTTTTCAGAGACCCAGGTGCCCTTAGAGCTCTGTCCCTGAAAGGCAAGGGCTGTGGGAGGCAGCAGTGTCGTTACTGGGCAGGCTGCTGACTGCAGAGTAGGGGATGTCTGTGTCAATTCCCCACTCATCACGGCTCCAGGTATTCTCCCTACAGTGTAGCACTCCCCAAGGAGGAAATCTTGGGCTTCCTCAAGACCTGCAGACCTGGAGGCTGTACCCTCAGGGTCAGGCGCATTCCCCATCCAGTCTTGAGATGGGGTGCAGGGAGTTCAACAGATGAAAGGGGACTGACCATACGTTTTAACAGGGTGGAAGATGGAGCACATGCCCTGGCCATTTGGGACCCACTCACACCCTGGCTTTTGTGGCTCTTTCTTTATTGGAGAGCTGGGTATGCATAGCCCTGGTGAGCTTGCTTGTGTGAGGAGGAAGGCCTCTTCTGTGCCTCCTCACAGCTTTGTCCTACTCCTGTAGATGCTTGGTGGGGCCACGGATGGTAGGGTGTAAGGTAAGGTTCTCATACTTGTTTGAGCAACAGAATCAGTTCTGCGAGCCTATCAAAACAAGGGGTCCCTGAGAAACTGATTCCTTAGGGCTGGGCGGGGCTCCAGAATCGGCATTTCCGTCGCCCGAGGTCGGAGGACCCCAGATGGGAGTAGGGTGGGGCAGGGAGGCCAGACTGTAGCTTGTGCGCCGTCCACGGGAGCAGGGACAGCCTTCCCGAGCTGGAGCAGCCCCTCCACGGACGCGCTCTCAGCCGAGGGAACAGGCGGGCTGGGTGCTGACTCGAAGAGGAAGTCCCCAGCCTGGCCAAGGTCAGCCGGGGCTTGGGGCCCAGGGGCAACGCTCGGGCTGCAGGCCAGAACCTGCCCCACCCTCCGGCTCCGCCCCAAGGTGCAGCGAGCCTGGAGCGTAGAGGCGGAAGTAGGGGCCACCAAAGCGCGGCGCCAGGCCCGGGGCGTGTCCGAGGGGCCGAGCCCAATGAGGGCCGGCTCCGCGCCGGGCGTTGAGCGGTGCGCCCCCTGGAAGACGAGTCCAAGCCGGCAATCTCCCGGTGGCGGAGTCCGCTGCGGGCCCGCCTCCTTCCCTGCCATTGGCGGGGCGGCCGGCACGGGGCGGGCCTGCGGGGCGGGGCGGCGCGCGAAGGCCGGCTGCCGGCGGCGAGCCCCAGTCCCCGCGCCGCTGGCTCGCGGCCGCCCGCGCAGTCCGCCGTCCGCGGCGCGTCGCAGCATGGCCGGCCTGGGGCGTACGGGTCCGGGGCCGCGCGCTGCGATGCCCGCCTGGAAGCGCGAGGTCCTGGAGCGGAAGCGGGCCAAGCTGGCCGCGCTGGGCGGCGGGGCGGCGGAGCGCACGGGCGCGGCCGAGCCGTGCGTGCTGGCCGAGAGCCTGGGCCCGCTGCGCGAGAACCCGTTCATGCGGCTGGAGTCGGAGCGCCGGCGCGGCGCGGCGGGGGCGCGGCCGCTGCTGGAGCGCTACCGCCGAGTGCCGGGCGTGCGCACCATCCGCGCCGACAACATCATCATCATCGAGACGGCGCCCGACTGCCCGCCCGCCCCGCCGCCTGGCGGGGCCGCCCGCATCCGCGCCGCCGAGGTGCTGGTGTACGAGGCGCCGCCGCCTCCCGGACGCGTCAGCCGCCTGCTGGAGAAGTTCGACCCGCCGGCCGCGCCGCGCCGCCGCGGGAGCCGCCGAGCGCGCGCGTCCCCCGCCGCCGCCTCCCGCGGCCCGCCCGCACCCGCCTGCCCCGCGTGGGCGAGCGCGCTGCCCGCTTCGAGCCGGGGCGCCGCGGCGGCGGGGCCGGCCCTGAGGCCCGGCTGGGCGATTTCGTACAGAAGACCAGCAGCAACTCCTTCACTGTCCACCCCCGGGGCCTGCACCGCGGCGCGGGCGCGGGCGTCCGCGCGCTCCCCAACGGGCCCGAGGCCCCCGGTCCCCGGGCCGGCCCTGCCAACGGCCTCGCGGGCTCCCTACCTGGGCCGGGCGAGTGTAAGCCAAAGGCGGAGTCGGGGGAGCCCTCCCTCCACGCGCCCCCGTGCCCCCGGACCCCAAGTGCCACTCCAGCCGCGCCCCCTGCCTTCCCCGAGCCCCGTCCTGCCAGTGCCACTCCCAGCCAGCGCCAGTGGGTCTCCGCGGCCACCAGCGCCAACGATTCCTTCGAGATACGGCCAGCTCCCAAGCCAGACGTGGAGACCGTCCCCTCGGGGGACCTCCAGGCCCGGGCCCTGGCCAGCCTCCGAGCGAACTCGCGAAACTCTTTTGTGTTCATCCCCAAGCGCAAGACTTGTGGGGCCCCTTCTCCCGAGGGGAGGCAGTCCGGGGAGCTGCGAAAGGGAGAGGTGGGCTTGGCCTCCCAGAGCCAAAGGCTGGGAGCCCAGCTGGTGCCTGGAGGGGATGGCGCACCTGCTCTCGGGAAGAGCCCGTTGGGGGTTGAGGAGCAGGGTTGTCCCAGGCCAGCCATCACTCTCACTGACCCGGCCGTTAGGCGGCAGAGGTCATCCTCGCCACCCCCGTTCCTGCCGGCCACCGCCGAAGCCGAGCCTGCTGAGGGCTTCAGGGTTCCCGGCTTGGCCAAGAATGGCCGGGAGCATGGTAGGCCAGGGCTGCCTGTGACTCTCATTGATGAGGTGGACTCAGAGGAGGAAGCGCCCCAAGAAGCCAAACTGCCCTGCTCTGGGGATGGTGCGCCTCCCCAGTACCACCCACACCCCGCCAGGCCTGGGCACACGTCAGAACTCCAGCACCGAGGCAGCAACACCTTTACAGTGGTGCCCAAGAGGAAGCCAGGGGCCCTGCGGGGGGAGCCCCTGCCACAGGAGGCCGAGGAAGAGGAGGCTGGTTGCCTCTCGGGGCCCCGGGCTGCTCTGGGGTCCACACTGAAGAAGCGCTACCCCACTGTGCATGAGATTGAGGTGATTGGCGGCTACCTGGCCCTGCAGAAGTCCTGTCTCACCAAGGCTGGCTCCTCGAGAAAGAAGGTCAGTGGTGGGGGCAGGGCACTGGCTGCGAGGGGGCAAGGGACCAGTCACAGGGCTGTGGGTATGGTGTGTGCCCCATCCCAGGATGCCTGGCCTGGGCAGGGGGGACTTGCATGTAGAGCAGAGGAGAACTGGGGGCCATGCCAGGTCCAGGGCCTCGGTGAAGCCCTGATGACCTGAGGGCTGTGGGGACAGCTAGCCTGCTACGTACCTCCCGTTCAAGGCTGGTGGCGAAGGCCAGTCCAGGTGGTGCTGTGCTGCTTGTGGCTTTGTCTGGAATTGGCTGGATGGGCCTGTCCCATTATGAGCCCAGCTGGGAGAAGCAGGCTCTAGGGGGATAGCCTGGCGTGGTCTCCTGGAGCCCTGGCAGTGCGGGCAGCAGGTGTCCGGATGTAAGTGGGAAGGAGCAGGAGGTTGGTAACATGGGGTGGCTAGATCCCTACCTCGCAGTCAGCCTGGGGGTGCAGCCCACCAGCTACTCAGAGGGGGGCTTTCAGCTTCCCAGAAGGCCAGCTGGTCCGGAGCACGGCGGGAAGGTTGAATGAGCACCAAGTGTGTGTCCCAGGCCTGCTCTGGGCCTGGGTGTGGTGCTGGGAAGCCCACCAGGGCAGAAGGGCCTCAGGCAGACAGACCCAAGTGCAGCCCCGTGGAGGCACAGAGCCGGCCAGCCAGGTGAGCCGCACTCCCTGGTCAGCAGAGGCCAGTGGCCTGGAACCCTCTGGGCACAAGAAAACGTTCCTCAGATTCTTCCTGGTCATTCCAGTGCCTGTTTACCCCCCAGGGCAAATTCCAAGGCCAGCCCCACACAGCCCCCATCCGCTGGTACACAGCAGAGGGGCGCCTTCCTTGGGGACAAGACAGCACCTGGGGGACACCGCAGAGCCCACCCTGAGGTCACCTCTCCCCAGTCTGTCTCCTCATGGTGGCTGGGGGTTGTGCCCTGAGGCACCCTTGGCCCCTGCTCCTTGTGCCATCCCCTGTTCGGGCTAGGGCTTCATCCTCCTGCTGGGTCAGGGGCTGCTTGTGGGGAGGGGACTCGCGGCTGGGCCCAGCGTGCTGCCCACCCCTCCCTACCCCCAGAGCTATCTGAGCTCTTGGAGGTGAGGTCTATCCAGTGGCAGCGGCCTGTGCCCCACCTCTGCCTCCCCTCTAGTCTGCCTCTCTCCTGCTTCCGGGCCATTGACCCTGGCTGCTCTGTGAGATAGTCCCTCCCACACTTGTCCTGGGAAGTGGAAATGATAGCAGTGGGGTCACAGGGCTTGTGGGGCAGGGATTGAGTTCAGGCTCAGTTCATCCACCATGAGTCTGGCTTCTTCCTGGGTGGGACTCAAGGCCCAGGATTTATGCTTAGAGCCATCCTGCCCTGGCCAGGGACAGCACCGCGGGGGTCACTTATGGCTGGGTTGGGCTGAGAAGGGCAGGGGAGGGGAGGAAGGGCCCAGGCTGGGAAGCTGGCCCTGGACCAGTAGTGAAGAGGGACTCAGGCCAGCAGGCCCTGGTCTCGGTGCCAGCCGGAGGGGTTGGGGGTCCAGATGGATGATGCCTGGCGTGGCCAGGTGGCCTGGGCTAGGGCTCTGCCAGAGCAGCACGACCTGCTGGCTGTGACTTCCTGTCTGGGCACGCACCACCTGCCCTGCCCAGGGAGAGCCCCAAAGCCTGTTGGGAGGGGATCGAGGCATGGGGCTGCCCAGCCTGTCAGTGGGGCCATGCTGCAGAGTAGAGCCAGGCCATGCGCTGGCACCCACAGGTGGGGGATGCATGGTGCCCCACCAGCCTCCCCTGCGGCTCCTGGCCTGGGCCCTGCCTTGACCCTCCAGCCAGCCTTTGCTTTGGGTCACTTTCCTGCTTCCGCCAGGGGATGGGGGTGGCTGGAGTGCAGGGAGGCCAGCAGAACCTTGGGCTGGCTCTCCTCAGGGCAGTGGTGGGAGGTGCCGGAACCTCTCCTGGAGTGCAGTGAGGGGCAGTGGGGCAGCTCTTCAGTGGGACCGTCTGGGCGGTGGCTGGCGGTGGGGGGAGCCTGTCTCTGGGCTGGCCACTCAGGATATGGAGGCCTTGCCCGGTGTCCAGCCCTGCTCTGGGTGGTGGGAGGTACCTCCCTGCCACCTGTGTGCTGGGGGTCCTGCCTGGTGAGACAGTTCCACTCTGCTGGCAGGATGTGTAGATGCCCCATCTCCCTCTCTCCAGGGCCAAGCTGGGGGCTCACTGCTGTGTGGTGCTGTGGCTGTGCCCCAGGCTGTTTTCCTAGTGGGTGGGGGTGTCCCCCCACCCCTCCCGCAACTGCCTCCCTCTTCAGTTGCCAGGGCTCGGCTCCTGCCTGTCTGGCTGCCCCTTCCCCTCCCCTTTGGTCTCCTCCCCTCCTGGTCCTCCGCCCAGTCCCAGCATGTCTGTGTCCCCAGGGCTCCGTCCTCACACCCAGGGCCATCCATCCACCCTCACCTGCAGCGCAGCCTCGCCCCAGCTTCCACGGCCTGGCATGGCCCACAGTCTTGCTCTGACCTTCAGCCCTGCGGGGGCCGCCCCACCATCTGCTCTCTGTAGTGACACCATCTCCCTGCCAGAGTCAAGCCCCGAGCCCGGCTGGCACTCTCCCTGCCTCTCTCCCCTTGTGTGGGTGGATAGCAAGTGGCCAGGAGCTGTCATGCCTCTGGGTGTCGGTGGCTGAGTCTTTTCTTGTCAGCTTTCCTCTTCTGGTCCCTCCACCAGCTCTTCCTGCAGTGGCCTAAGTGGTCTTTCTGGAGCCAGGGACCTCCGGAGCAGGGCTGAACCCTGCTCTACTCAGCTTCCCCCCCTGGCAGAGAGGCTCTACCCTAGGCTGGGGAGCACCCAGCATCTCAGGGGCAGCTGTGGACACCACCTGGCAGCCCTGGTGTGGGGGCCATCGGCACAGGAACTTTGGCTGGGGCTGTGCGGGGTGGTCCTGTCGCCCCTGAGCTGGGGCTGTGTGGGGCCCGACCGGAGGAGGCAGGCAGGTGTGTGCTGGGGCGGTGAGGGGCGGGGCCGGCCGAGCTCACACCTGCATCTGGGCAGGCTGGGCCTGATTCCCGGCTCTGAGTCTGGGGTGGACGCCCTTTGGTAACCGAAGCTGGGTGTGCACGGGCAGGGTGGGTTGAGGAACAAAAGGGTCCTGTGAAAGCCGGGCGGTTCTGCTGGGAGGCTCAGCCGAGCCAGGACCCATCTGCCTGCTGTGCTTTGTGCAGCGGGCAAAGTCCCTGAGAGGCCAGTGCCCAGGTATATGCAGGGCCAGCCCCTGGCCACGCCCCCCGGCCGGTCCTGTGTGCCCTGGCTCTAGAGGCTGGCCCCCACCCTGCAGCATGAGTCACGGGGTGTCCTGTGACCCTCTGACCTGCACCCACGGGGGAGGGGGCCGGTGGAGCCAGGCCCAGGGAGGGGAGGGCTGTGAGTCCCACACAGCACCAGCCCAGCTGGGGAGACGGGAGGCAGGACGTGACCGGAGCTCCAGGCCCCAGCTGGGGACAGACAGGGGCTGCCTGTCTACCCCCTCCGCCTGGTCAGGCTGTGCCAGGCTCGGTGCCTGTGTGTCCAGCCCCCTCAGCCTCCCTGCTCGGAGCTGGTCATGTGCACTAATGAGGGCGCGCTAATCCGGCCAGCCCTGGCAGCCAGCCCTTCCTGTGTTCTCAGCGGTGGGGGATGGGCCTGGAGGGCTCTGGGTCATCAGGGATGGCGCCATGTGTCCAGGGTACTGGAGCCCCATTCACTGGGGCCCGGGCAGGGGATGGCCCCTGGCCTGCAGGGCCTCCAGTCTGCCTTGGGCCCCTGCTGGGGCGTCTGTCCCAGAGGATTGGTCTGGGAGGGCTGGCAGCGGGTGCACTCTGGTGGCCACCCTACTGTCCTGGCCTCTGCCCTTCCCAGCCTCCTGTGGGACGACAGCTGGTGGGCCTGGCCGTGGGGCAGGGTAGGAGGTTGAGGGGTAGGAGCAGACTTCTTAGTCCTTGCCCCCCTGACCCAGGGTCTCCCTCCCCCAGTCTGCTCACTCCCTGATGGCTCAGCAATGGTTTGGGCTGGAGAGCAGCCCCTCCCTTGGCCGTGGAAGGAGCGGTGTTCATGGTGGAAAGTGCCCAGGGCACCCTTGGCCGTGTGGGCAGGTGTGGCCGTTGGGAGGAGGGGCAGGATGGCAGGAGTGTGGGCCCTGTGCGGCCCTGAGCCTCCTCAGCTGTCTCAGGGTGGGCCTGGCCTTCCTGACAGACCCTGTCCCTGTCCTCCTGTCCCTGGGCTGCTGCAGCTCCCTGCCTGGGGGCCCGGCTCCTGCCTCCGGCTTCTTCCAGGGGAGGAGGAGGAACTTGAGCTGGCTGCTGGTGTCCTGTGCCCAGGAAGAGTTTAATATTTCGAGCTCCGGCAGGGCTGCTCCCACCTGCTGCTCATATTCATTACGGACCTGCTGGGCCCAGGCCCAGCGCGGCTGAGTGGCCTGGTGGGAGTTTGGCTCTCGGGGCTCAGCCCCCTGCCCAGCCTCGCCTGGGGCTGCCTCCCAGCAAGCCTGGGTCAGGGCAGGTGGGGAATCCTGACCGAGGGTGCCTGAGGCCCTTCTGCTCTCACCTTCCCTGTTGTCCCTTGGAACCAGCAGCCCCATCTGGGCTCTGAGGCCACCAGGAGAGGATTTGCTCGGATGTGAAATTCTGCAACCTACAGAGTGTCAGGGTGGGCGAGGGCCAGATGGGCAATAGGGTGGGAGGATGGGGTGCCATTGGCACCCCAGGCTCCAGAAGGGACCCCCACTCTGTGCAGCCTCCGTCTGCAAAGTGGGGAATGGTGCTTGGTGCCACCATCCTGGGGTGGCATGTGGCCACCCCCAGCACTACCAATTCACTCGGGCCCTGTGAGTCAGCAGTGGTGGCTCCTGCTCAGCAAGAACATCCAGGGGGGCGCAGGTGCCCAGGGAGCCAAGAGGGCACCTGTGTTACGAACTTGGCTTTAGAAAGTGGCCTCAGCCAACACAGGAGCTGCTGCGAGCCCAGGGTTTGGGGCCTGAGGGTGCAGCCTCACTTCCAGCCTGTTCCTACTGTGGGGTGCTGCGTGGGAGAGGGTGCCCTGCCCCCCAGCCGGTGCTCTGCCCAAAGAGCAGAATGGGAGGGTCCTGAGATGGCAGCCCTCTGGCCCTGGGAGCAGGTTAGAGGCTGCTGGTGACAGAGAGGTTGGGGTCCTGGTCCTGGTGGGAGTCTGGTCCTTAGGGGGGTGGGTCATTGGGGGGGACTTCACCCCAGGCCTGGGGTGGGGAGCATTTGTTGGTCCCAGAGGTTGAGGGGATGGGTGGGCCCTGCAGGATTCAGGCAGGGGGGTCTTCTACTCCTGCCTCCTGGAGCCTCTGCAGGGCTCTGGGGTATTGTCACCCACAGGGGTCCCAAGACAGCACTGTGCCCAGCTGGGCAGCGGGGCCCTATGATGTGTCCCTTACTTCCAGATGAAGATCTCCTTCAACGACAAGAGCCTGCAGACCACATTCGAGTACCCTTCCGAGAGCTCCCTGGTGCAGGAGGAAGAGGAGGAAGGGGAGGAAGAGGAAGGGGAGGAGGAGGAGGAGGAGGATGAGGAGGAGGAGGGTGAATCCATCTCAGAGAAGCCCTTCTCGCTGTTCCTGCCCCGGGCCACGTTTGTGAGTGGTGGGGGGCCCGAGAGCCCTCGGCTGCCAGACGGCAGTGCAGGTGAGTGCCCACCTGTGGATGAGTGGCCTTGGTGGGTGGAGCCTGGGCCGCATGTCCACGTGTCCATGTGTCTGCCCTGCCTGCAGGCCTGTCCACCTACACCCCAAAGCACTCTGTGGTGTTTGGCAAGTGGCAGGAGCAGACCCCGGAGCAGGCCCCGAGCGAGGCAGAACCCCCACCCAAGGAGCTCATGGTGAGCTGGGCAAGGGGGAGGGTGGGTGCCCGAGGCTGGTGGCTGGTAGGGGGCATTTGACACCCATGAGCCCACGTGGCTACCTTCTGCCCTCCCTCAGCTTACACCTGCCAGTCAGAACGACCTCACGGACTTCCGAAGTGAGCCTGCCCTCCATTTCTGACCAGGACGGCCAAGGCTGAGCCCAGTGGGGGCCCCGGGAGCCAGGCCATGCCCGGGAGCCCCCTACTTTACACCCTGACCCTTGCTGCCCTGCCCCACCCTGACCTCCTGGGTTCTCATACCCGTGCTGGCCCTGGGAGCAGCCAGAGCTTCTCTTATCACTGGGGCTGGGTCTCACCCCTGGCCCTGGTTTGGGGGCTCCAAGAAGAGCAGAGGCGGGGGAGGGCCAGGGTCCTGCAGGATGGTGACCTGTCTGTGACGTGGTGGGGGCCTGAGCAGATTCTCCACGAGGCTGTTCCATCCTGCCCGCCAAGCCTGCCTCCCAGGGCAGTGGGGCATGTCTGGGGTGAAGGCTTGTCCTGGCTGCCTGCTCCTGGCAGGACCCTAAGGCCCTTGTCCCCAGCCACATTCCCTTCATGGTGGAGCTCAGCTGCACCCTTTGTGCCTCTGACAACAGACTCAATAAACAGCACTGACAAGGCCGCCTCTGCCTCTTCGTGTGGTCCTCAGCCCAAAGTGTGTGTGTGGGGGGCTGGGGCAGGAACGCAGGGAGGGGGCCACTCAGTATGTGGGTATGTGGTGGGGATTCAGCCCCTGGTGGTCCCCATGGTCCAGGATCTGACATCCCTTCAATAGCTCCTTACCCAGCCTCCCAGCCTCCAAGAGCTGGCAAAGGGGGAGGTGTGATACCAGGTGTGCCTCCATCCGGGGCCCAGAGCCCAGGTGGAAGGATGAGTGTTGCCAATGTCCGGCCTGCAGCGGCCTCCCTGAGGAGCCAAGAAATAGGGAAGCAGGAGGGCAGCATGGGAATCCAGAGTGGGCAGAGCACCCAACAGGGATCCTTTTTGTCTCGGAAAGCCCCCCCACCCACAGGAGCCTGCAGCAAGGCCATGACAACCCACAGGCAAAACAGACACTCAAATGCAAGTGTCTGTGTCCCTCCTGGAAAGTCAGACCCAAGCAGAGATTCTGGCTGGCCAGACTCAAGAGGAAGGAGAGTTTTTGGTGTTTTCCTAGGAGGGGGTCCAGCTTTCTCTGGACTCATCGATCAACACATCCTTCCCAAACGGGGCCAGACCCCAGGCAGCTGGGCCTTGGTGGCTGCAGCTGCAGGGACAGGACAGGGAGGCAGGGCCCCAGGGTGCCTGGCACATGGCCAAGGAAAGAATGCCAGGCTTTGGCAGCAGGAGCAGTGCCATGGGGCAGAGCAGAACATGGAATTGAGGAATGGGTGCAGGGGTGACCACAGCCACCTGAGGGGACCTGAGCCCAGAGCAGCTGGTACACACACTTGGCAGCCACCAGCTGTCTCTCTGGGTGATTCTTTACTGGACACCAGGGTGCGGTAGAGAGCAGGACCTGTGAGCACAGCCACTCACGGAAGGACTGGAGCTGGGGGAGACCAGCAGCCCTGCAAGGGACAGCTAAGAGCTGGAGCTGACCTGGACAGGTGGGTACTCTCAGGTCTGCATCCCAGAAGCCAGTGGGGCAGCCACCAGGAAGCCACTCCAGACTCCCCCCTCCCCGAAAGAAGGAGCCATGGCAGCTGTGCAGGGGCGTGTACTCTGGGGGTGTCCAGCAGCCCCACACCCAACACAGGGTAGGCAGAGGCAGCAGGCCAGCACAAGTCTTTATAAAGACAATCTTTATTGACACTGTCACAGGGGTGAGCCCTGAGGTGTGGGTTCCGGGATGAGGAAGGGCCCTCACGCCCACCCTTTGCCCCCTTTGCTTGGCCTGGGCCCCTGCTGGCTGAGGAGGCACAAGGTGAGGGGACTCCCTGGCAGCCCAGGGCGACTTAGAGCCCCGTGCAGAGCTGACCTGGAGCCTACTGTCCCCACAGCCTGTGTGCACATGGAGCTAGGACCACCCCCGTGGGCTTTTCTTGCTACCTGATGCCAGGAGAGGTTGGCAGCTGCCCCTCTTGGCACCTGCAACAGCGAGAGAAGGCAGCTGGGCTACCACAAAAAACCGAAACTCTAAGGACAGACTTGCTGGGGCTGAGTCAAGGTGGGCACAGCTAAGGCAGGCCCCACCACGGCCTGGTCAACTCTCCTTGCCCCCGCTCTTCTGGTCTGACGCCGTAGCTTTGGTCAGGTTCCCGGCTTCCCTCTTCAGGACACTAAGCAGTGTCTGTGAGCTCTCCAGGATCTGGGGGCAGAGAAATGAGAAGGCTTCACTGACCATCCTATTGCGTCCCACAGCCACATTCTACTCCTCACACTTGGGTGCCAGGACCTGGTTGTGGGTGCTGTAGCCAACAGGCCCTGCCTGGGGGACAGGCAAGAGGAAACCTGAGGAAACTGGCAGGCAGGCAGCAGAGCCCTTCTTTCCCTCCCCAGTCTGACCCAAAGCCCATTCCCTCCCCACCCTGCAAAGCCATGGTGGGCTGGCCCTGCCCAACACTCTTCACGTTCTGAGCAGAAAGAACCACACGGTTCAGGTGTGGGGATGAAAAAGAGGACCCAGCATACACCCAGCACCACGGTCCTCCGTTGCTCCCTGGGCCTGGCCACGCTGCCCGGCCTGAGAAGGCAGCGAGGCACAGACTGCCGACAGCTGGGAGCCCCAGACGCCTAGCCGTGGACGCCCCAGGCGCTGGCCTGGACTTGGGGAGGGTAGGGGAAGAGCCGTCCAGAGCCCCACCTTGAGATAGGCAGCCTCCGTCTCTGCGATGGTTCGGTCAAACTCGTTGCGAGAGGCGATCTTGCGTGCCAAGTTCTCATTGACGCGGGCCAGCTTCTCTGTCAACTGCCTCACCTCTGCCTGCAGCCGCTGCTTCTCATCCTCTTCCTGCTGGATCTGCCGGCACAGCTCTTCCCGCTTTTGGCACAGCTCCTCGATGCCTGGGGGCGGAGGGGCGGCTCCATGGGCCCAGGGCGCCCCCCAGGGGGCCCCGCTCCGTCCTTCCACCCGAGCCAGCTCGCGAGCTCGCGGGGCGCCTGCAGGGCCTGGGAGCTGGTGAGGGCTGGGCCCGGTGGGAGAGGTGTGCGCCGGCGGCCGCCTCCGCTGGGCTCAACTGCACGACGCCTGAGAGCCGCAGGTGAGGCGGCCGGGGACCCGCGCGGACAGAACCAGCACCCGGCCACATCCTAACAAAACCCCACTACGTTTGTGCCAAAAAAAAAGAAAGAAAAGAACCAGGCCCCGGTCCCAGGTCCCCCGCCCCGGCTGCGCCGCTCACACTTGACCAGCTCGTTGTTGTAGTTCTGCAGCGCCGCGCCCTGCTGGGTCATGGTCGCCGCCGCCGGCACGTCCACCGCGCCAACCGCCGCGACCAGCGTCGCCGCGCCTGCGCACGGCCTCCCGACGGCGCGGACCCGAAGCGTCACTGCTGCGCGCCTCGCGTGCGTCATCGCTGCGCGCCGCGCCCAGCTGTACGTCATCGCCGGGCGAGGCGCCTAGGGGGATCTAGGAGCCGGTGGGCGCAGATGGCGGAGGCGGCGATGGCGGCGGAGGGGGACGGCCACCCCGGGCCTGGACAGGAGCTCCTGGTGGCCTGGAATACCGTGAGCACCGGCTTGGTTCCGCCGGCTGCGCTGGGGCTGGTGAGGCCCGGGAAGAGAGCGGCGGGCCCACGCGGGGTTCCCTGGACCCTACACGCTTTAGGGCATCCACCCTATGGTCATACGGGCCCCGTCCGTTGTCCCCCTCTGCCCTGCCTCGTTTCTCCACCGTTCTGCTTCGTTCGGCTCTCCTGGCAGCCCTTTCCTAGCTTCAGCCCAACACCCGTGCGCCGCGGACGATGGGCAGCGGGGTTTCCGCAGCCTCCCCCCACCTCTACGCCGTGTTCTCCTCTCCTCACGGTTGTCTGCACTCCAGGCGTCTTCCCGGACCAGCGGTGCGGTCCCGCCAAAGGAAGAGGAGCTCCGAGCAGCGGTGGAGGTTCTGAGGTGCCACGGTCTGCACTCAGTCTTGGAGGAGTGGTTTGTAGAGGTGCTGCAGAACGACCTGCAGGCCAACATCTCTCCGGAGTTCTGGAATGCCATCCACCAACGCGAGAACGCTGCTGATGAGCCCCAGTGCCTTCTGCTGCTCCTCGACGCTTTTGGCCTTCTGGAGAGCCGCCTGGATCCCTACCTGCGTAGCCTGGAGCTTCTGGAGAAATGGACTCGCCTGGGCCTATTGATGGGCACTGGTGCTCAGGGGCTTCGGGAAAAGGTCCACACCATGTTGCGTGGAATCCTGTTCTTTTCTACCCCCAGAACCTTCCAAGAGATGATCCAGCGCCTCTATGGGCGTTTCTTGAGAGTCTACATGCAGAGTAAGAGGAAGGGGGAGGGGGGCACAGACCCGGAACTGGAGGGGGAATTGGACAGCCGGTATGCCCGCCGCCGGTACTACCGCCTCCTGCAGAGTCCGCTGTGTGCTGGATGCGGCAGTGACAAGCAGCTGTGCTGGTGTCGCCAGGCGCTGGAGCAGTTCCACCAGCTCAGCCAGGTCCTGTGAGTATTGTGCCCCTGCTCCTTCTGGTTTCCTACCCTCCCCTGGGTCTAGGTGGCCTGTGAATACAGCTGTTGAGCTGACTGGGGGATCTCTGCCACTTGTCCTGATAGCCAGGGACATGACAGAGGGAGGGCCTCAGGGGTCCCTGTGTAGTATGTCCTGAACACAAGTGTCTCCTGTCATTTGCATCTAGCCCAGGGTTTCACGCTTTGCCCCTGCAAAGGCCCCACGGGGCCTGTGTCTGCAGTAGCAGATTTCTTGTTGATTCTGAACTTACTGGGCTCTGTAGGATTTTCCTGGGCCTTTTGTAGACTTTCTTGAGAAGGAGTGCTGTTCATCTTTATGAGAGTTCTCTACCCTGTGGTTGTGAATAGTGTGCTTGGTGTTTCTTGTCTCCAGAATGTGACAGGGATATCAGGCCAGCACTTGGGCAAGCAGGTTTCCTTCCTAGTCCTTCAGTGAGGAAAGGGTTTTTTTTGTTGTTAGAGCTAAGTCCTGTTGTAGCCGTTTAGTGACTGTCACGCTCTGTGTGGCCATTTGTGGTGATTTTGTCCCATTGAACAAAGTGGTAGCAATGCAGCTATCTGGAAAAGAGAGTCTCTGGTGGGCGGAGGGGGGTCAGCCAGGCCCTGAAGGGCTTCTGCTGGGTTCATCCAGGTGAAAGTTACATGGAAACCTTCCTTCTTGTCTCCTCTTGACCCGTTTGCTGCTATAGGCCAGAGTCTGCACTGAAAGGCATGAACTGTGTAGCCAGGGTAGCAGCGTACTGAGTTGTTTCAGAGCCATTCCTATGAGATGAGGCTTGGGCCCCACCTGCCACCGCTGATCGCATGGGGAGGCAGTGTCCCTGCCTGGGCAGAGAGGCTGGCTGGGCAGGAGGGCAGAACCTTGCAGTGCTCTGTCTGCTAAGCTCTTAGTACAGTTGTCCTGTTGCTCCGAGCATGTGGGAGGTGTGTGTATTGGGTGTGCTGTGTAGTCAGGGCTGACCTGGGGCCACCGGGTGAGGGAGCTGGTGTGTGCTGAGTGCCCCATCGGCTGGACTCTCCTCTAGACACAGGCTCAGTCTGCTGGAACGGGTCAGTGCTGAGGCTGTGACCACTACGCTGCACCAGGTGACCCGGGAGAGGATGGAGGACCGCTGCCGGGGCGAGTATGAGCGTTCCTTTTTGCGTGAGTTCCACAAGGTAAGGACTCCCTCTTGGGCTGTGCCCCCCGGGACCGGGCAACAGATTTCTGGAAAATCTGACACCTTGGTTATAGAATCATCCAGAGCGCGGAGGTCTGAGTGGACCAGGACCAGGTGGTGGCTGGAGCTGTCTTAGTGCTGGGCAGAGGCCAGTATTTCTGGGCCCTGGTGCCACTGAGGACACTCTGGGACGTGCTCATCAAGTCTGTGCAGAATCCCATGGCTGGAAGCAGTGCAGGGGCTAGGATCCCAAGGGGGCTTCCCCAAGCAGGCCTGCTGAGGCTGGGCCTACAGAGGGGTCAGTGAGCATGTGCCCTGTTTTGCTCTTTGCTGCCCCACCTGAGTGTGGGCTTACTTGGCTGTTTCCTTGTGGACTGAGCTACCACCACACCACAGCATGAGCTGAGATGTCCTGCGCTGTTAGGGTGTGTGGTCTGGGGCTCTGCTCTGGGCTCCCAGAGTTGTGGGTGAGCTGGGCCCAGCCATGTGGGGTTGTCTGCCTGGCTCCCACGTCTCACTTGTCCTCTCCCCAGTGTTTCCAGGTGGCCACACCTGAGGATACAGATTAGCTGTGAAAGAGTGTATTCAAAGTGGGTGTCCCCCAGGGATGGTCTAGAGTGGGCACACGTCCTGGAGGCTGAGCTGGGTAGCTGCACTGTGCCTCAGAAGTAGAGTGGAAAAGGCGAACCATCCGGGTGATCTCGTGGCTGGTCAGCTGGTCTGTGGGGATCTGTGCGCACCCGGGTCTGTGGTAGCCCACATGCCTCCTATGGATTTGCACATGCTCAGACGTTTTCATCATATCCTGTGGTGTCTGCACAGGGTGGAGGCTGGCTGCTCATGACTCTAGTCCCAGAGACGGGTTTATCCACTTAAGGGGGGCCAGCACGCCACCAGGCACAGCACACAGAGCGTGTTCATTGGTGTCTTATGCTGGGGTCAGTGTTTCCATAGATAAGTGATGACTGATGTGTATGAGAGGGGGTGGGGGGTGATGGAGGACCCAGGTGCCCCTCTGTGGCCACCATCCTGCAGACTCTGCTGTGCTCCTAGTCTCCGGACACAGGTGGCCTCTGGGGCTCCTCTGGGGCCTGGCCAACGGGGGGAGTGTGGCTGTGCACTCCTCCCGTCCTGTGGGTCAGTGGGGGCTCGCCCCCAGTACCTCCACACACTAGTGCTCTCCCGACAGTGGATCGAGAGGGTGGTTGGCTGGCTCGGCAAGGTGTTCCTGCAGGACGGCCCCGCCAGGCCTGCGTCCCCTGAGGCTGGCAACACGTTGCGCCGTTGGCGCTGCCACGTGCAGAGGTTCTTCTACCGCATCTATGCCAGCCTGCGCATCGAGGAGCTCTTCAGCATCATCCGAGGTCAGACACATACCCGCCCCGATCCCCTCGGGGCCTGCCTGCCCGTCAGGGAACCTTCCCAGGGGCTTTGCTGTGTCCTCGCCACAGCCACGCCTCGGTTCCCTACGCCTTTGCCATGGGCTTTGGCGAGGTGGGGAGCCAAGCGGGGCCCCTCCCCACTGTGGGCTCCCCCAGCCGGTGTCTGGAGCAGGGCAGGAGCGGCGGGTGCTGGACTGGTGCTTCTGGGTGTCCACCCCTCTGCTCCCTCAGCATTGGCTCCTGCTGGGGCTGATCCCCGGGTGTCCCTCTGTCTGTCCTGTGACGTTGTCACCTGCGTCAGCATGAGAAGGCGTAGGTGACAGCACCTACCAGATGGTCTGATCGTTGTTGCAGGGCCCGTGGGTCTGTGTGTCCTCTCGCATACTGAATGCGCCCTGCACCAGCCTGCACGTGTGCACACACGCGTGTCCCTGAAAGATGTCCCTCTGCTCGCAGACTTCCCGGACTCCCGGCCAGCCATCGAGGACCTCAAGTACTGTCTGGAGAGGACTGACCAGAGGCAGCAGCTCCTTGTGTCCCTCAAGTCCGCCCTGGAGACTCGGCTCCTCCACCCAGGTGCCGTGTGCGCTGCTGGCAACTGGCCCTTCAACCCCCAGGGCTCAGATGCTCTCCGGGGGGGCCCACGTGCAGGGAGCCTGGGGCCTAGTTCCCCAGCCCTGGGTTTATGGGTCTAAGACGGCATCTCAGGTCTAAACGGGATCTCAGGCTAAGATGCCGTTTTTTGAGGTCTTGGGGGAGCTGGGGTGACCATCACCTCTTTTTTCTTTGAACGCACTCTTTCACGGCTAATCTGTATCCTCAGGACCCAACTGATTTGGCCCTGGGGGTGGTATGTGGTCCTGTGAGAACAGACTGCCTGGCAAGGGCAGGCCTGATTCTTGGAAGGTTCTGGAGAACGTACCTGTGAGCGGGTGAGGGTCGGGAGGGGGACAGGGGAGTGGCTCCCTGGGGAATGGGGCTGCAGGGGTGCCCTGGAGAGCCCCTGCCCACTGGACGACATCGGCACCAGGGAGGTTGCTGTCCAGGCACTGTGTGACCAGCAGCTTCTCCCCGACTGTAGGTGTCAACACGTGTGACATCATCACCCTCTACATCTCTGCCATCAAGGCCTTGCGAGTGCTAGACCCCTCCATGGTCATTCTGGAGGTGGCCTGTGAGCCCATCCGCCGCTACCTAAGGTGAGGGTTGTGGTTGGCCTGGGAAGCCACTGGGACTCGGGGCTTTTTCATCCTGCCGATCTCCTCTGGTTCTAGTGGCTGGGCCAAGTGGACTGGCTCAGGGGAGGGGCTTCTTTCCTCTTGCCAGTGCTGGGCACCTGTCCTTGTCACCACAGCGTCACTGTGTGCCACTGGCAGGGGCTTGCCTCAGCCCGTCCTTGGTTCCTCTCCCTCCCCCGTCTAGCACAGTGAGGGGCTCTTTTGCTCAGCCCCTCAGGCAGAACAGGCGAGAAGAGTGGGGTCTGTGCTGTCTCAAGGAACAGAGATTTCCTCAGGCCGTTTGGTGGAAATGTCTCTCAGTGGTGCCTGGGCACAGCTGCCCACAAACCCCTCGCGCAGCTGGAGGGCACAGTGGTCCCAGGACCTGAGCAGGAAGAGCCAGGGGCCCTCTGGCACCTGCCCTGGACTCGTGCTGCTTCCCGGCTGTGACTGGCCTGGTCTTTATGACGTGGCCAGTCATCACTGGCCATAGAGGTAGGGTCAGCAGTGCTGGCGTGCCTGGCCAGCGCTAGGGTGAGCCACGGGAAGAGCCTCGAGGGCCGCGCACTGGGCCGCAGTGGTGCTCTCACCGCAGGACGCGGGAGGACACGGTGCGGCAGATTGTGGCTGGGCTGACGGGGGACTCGGATGGGACCGGGGACCTGGCCGTCGAGCTGTCCAAGACGGACCCGGCAAGCCTGGAGACCGGCCAGGACAGCGAGGACGACACGGGCGAGCCTGAGGACTGGGTGCCCGACCCTGTGGATGCCGACCCAGGTCAGCTGGCCCCGGCCGCCCGCCTGCTGGGGCTCTACTCTCCAGCACACTGCCGCGTATGCTGCTGCGTCAGGGCTTTGAGGGGTCAGAGGTCAGGCTCTGCTCAGCACCAGGTGGCTCGGATGGGTTTGCGGTTGGCTTCATACCCTGGTGGCTGTCGGGTCACTCCAGCCACAGCAGGTGCCCTGCCTGACCCGCCCTCATGTGAGCAGGGGGGTGTCCCCGGCCCACTGCTGCAGCTGGTAGAGATGCAAGGTCATGGGGGCCCTGCGCACCCCAACCCCAACTGCGATGGGCCCCTCTCTCGGGACCTCTGAGGCTGTGGGGCGCCTGCCCAGCCCAGCCCCGGCACAGACAGTGCATCTTGAGTCTCTGAGAGGACAACCAAAGGACCTATGGTTTGTCCCCAAGCCTGGGTGGGGGTCCAGGGAGGTCCCCGTGATGAGTGGGTTGGGGATCGGAGCTGTTGCCTGAGGTCTGCCAAAGGCGCTGTGTCGCTCCAGCCCAAGGGCACTGAGGAGAAGCTGTGCTGGGTGGGTGCTGCTGGCATCCCGTCTCTGCCAAGGTGCCAGTCGAGCCCCTCCCCAACCCCCGTACCGTGCAGGGAAGTCGAGCTCTAAGCGGCGTTCCTCGGACATCATCAGCCTGCTGGTCAGCATCTACGGCAGCAAGGACCTCTTCATCAACGAGTACCGCTCCCTGCTGGCCGACCGGCTCCTGCACCAGTTCAGCTTCAGCCCGGAGCGGTGAGGCCTCTGGCTGCCCGCCAGCCCCCAGGGCGCAGGGGCCCTGCTGTCCACGCCTCGTCCGGAGGGAGGCGCTGCCTTGGCTCAGCCCAGCGCTGCTGGCTTCCCATCCCAGCCCGGGGCTGTCCTCGCCCTGGGGGTCGCTGTGCAGGCCCTCGGCTCAGGGAGATCCCTGGCGCGGCGCTGTGGGTGCTGGTCGGGGCTGGGAGACACCACGACCCCCTCCCCAGACACTTGTCTTCCAGGGAGATCCGCAACGTGGAGCTGCTGAAGCTGCGCTTTGGGGAGGCCCCCATGCACTTCTGCGAGGTCATGCTGAAGGTGGGCGCCCTGGGCACCTGCCCCGCCCCCTCCTAGGGCTCCCCCACCGCAGGGCCCCTTCCCCTGGGCACCCATGGGTGCCCCCTTCTCAGGCCCCGTGCCCAGGGTGAGAGCCTGCGTCCCCCCAGGACATGGCAGACTCCCGCCGCATCAACGCCAACATTCGCGAGGAGGACGAGAAGCGGCCTGCAGAGGAGCAGCCGCCGTTCGGGGTCTACGCCGTCATCCTGTCCAGCGAGTTCTGGCCCCCCTTCAAGGACGAGAAGCTGGAAGTCCCTGAGGACATCAGGGCCGCCCTGGACACTTACTGCAAGAAGTACGAGAAGCTGAAGGTACCGCTTTGCCTTCATGGCCCCGTCCAGCCCCTGCGTCTGTGGGTCCCCTCCCAGCCCTTCCCAGCACCCTGTGTGCGTGAGCAGGGGACCCTCAGAGCCCCATGTGCTCCTGGCTGTGCTTGGCTGCGTCGTCTTCGGCCACTTCACTGGGACCCTGTGGCCAGAGCAAGCCCCTCCCTCTGAGCTGCTCTTCCTCTTCCGCCACCAGCCTCTGGCCTCTCAGACCAGGGCTCTGGTGCCTGCGTTCCTGCGTCTCTCCCCGTGAGGGCTGGGGAGCCTGTCAGGGCCACCGGCCGCCTTGCCGCCCTGGGTGTCACTCTGCAGCTCTAGCCCCACCCCCAGGTGTATGTCCCTGAAAGCTGCTTTCCCAGGTGCCAGCAGGGAGCGCTCCCGGACCAGGCCCGTGTCTGTGACGGGAGTGGGGCAGAGACAGCCTGATCTGGAGGGCGCTGGTGGCAGGGACAGCGTGCCGGGGTGATGGGGTCGGCTGCAGTTGGCACATGTGCCCTGGCAGTCCCTGGGGCAGGAGACCAGGTGCATGCTGTGGTGGCTAGTTCCAGGAAGTGGGGGCTGGGGGCCGAGTTCAGAGGTCCTTCTGAGCTCACGGGTGGTTGGAGACCTGGTGCATGCTGTAGTGGCCAGTTGGAGGAAGTGGGGGCTGGGGGCCGAGTTCAGAGGTCCTTCTGAGCTCATGGGTGGTTGGAGACCCTGGTGCATGCTGTGGTGGCCAGTTGGAGGAAGTGGGGGCTGGGGGCCGAGTTCAGAGGTCCTTCTGAGCTCATGGGTGGTTGGAGACCTGGTGAAAAAAACCAGGAGAAAGACCTTGACCAGACAATCACTGCCACGGCGCACACACTACACGGCTGCGCCGCGTCAGCGGCTTTGGAGGTCAGGTCAGCTCTCAGCACCAGGTGCTCCGGATGGTTTGCGTTGGCTTTACGTCTGTCGGGTCACTCAGCACAGGCAGTCTGCTGCGGTCATGAGCAGGATCCGCCCACTGCTGCACGGTGAGTGAAGGTCACGAGTCACGGCTGCACCCCACACACTGCGAGGCCTTCTGGGATCAGGCTTGGGGCCTGCCGCAGCGCACAGACAGTGCATTCTGAGTCTGGAAGGACAACCAAAGCCTGATGGTTTGCAAGCCCGGGTGGGTCCAGGAGGGTCACCGGATGGTGAGTTGGGATTGGATGGCTGTGCCTGAGCTGCAAAGGCGCTGGTGCTCCAGGCCGAGGGGCATGGAAGAGACTGTGTGGTGTGCTGGCTGCATCCGCTCTGCCAGGTGCAGTCGAGCTCCCCAACCCCGGTAACCGTCAAAGGGAAGTCGAGCTTAAAGCGGCGCTCCTCGGACATCATCAGCCTGCTGTCAGCATCTATGGCACAAGGACTCTTCATCAACGAACCGCTCCTGCTGGCCGACCGGCTCTGGCACAGTTCAGCTTCAGCCGGAGCGGGTGAGGCCTCTGGCTGCCCCAGCCCCCGCGCAGGGGCTGCTGTCACGCCTCGTCCGGAGGGGAGGCCTGCTTGGCTCAGCCAGCGCTGCTGGCTCCATCCAGCCGGGGCTGTCCTCGCCCTGGGGTCGGGTGCAGCCTCGGCTCAGGAGATCCTGGCGCGGCGTGTGGTGCTGGTCGGGGCTGGGAGACACCACGACCCCTCCCCAGACACTGTCTTCCAGGGAGATCCGCAACGTGGAGCTGCTGGAAGCTGCCGCTTCGGGAGCCCATGCACTTCTGCGAGGTCATGCTGAACGGTGGCGCCTGGGCCACCTGCCCCCTCTAGGGCTCCGCCACCCCAGGGCCCTTCCTGGGCACCCACGGGTGCCCTTCTCAGGCCCGTGCCCACGGGTGAGACCTGCGTCCCCAGGACATGGCAGACTCCGCCGCATCAACGCCAACATCGGAGGAGGACGAGAATCGGCCTGCAGAGGAGCAGCGCCGTTCCGGGGTCTACGCCGTCATCCTGTCCAGCGAGTTCTGGCCCCTTCAAGACGAGAAGCTGGAAGTCCCTGAGGACATCAGGGCCGCCTGGACACTTACGCAGAGAAGTACGAGAAGCTGAAGGTACCGCTTTGCCTTCACGGCCCGTCCAGCCCCGCGTCTGTGGTCCCCTCCAGCCCTTCCCAGCACCCTGTGTGCGTGAGCAGGGACCTCAGAGCCCATGTGCTCCTGGCTGTGCTTGGGCCACGTCGTCTTCGGCCACTTCACTGGACCCTGTGGCCAGAGCAAGCCCCTCCGAGCTGCTCTTCCTCTTCCGCCACACCGGCCTCTGGCCTCTCAGACCAGGGCTCTGGTGCCTGCGTTCTGCGTTCCTGCGTCTCTCGTGAGGGCTGGGGAGCCTGTCAGGGCCACCGGGCGCCTTGCCGCCTGGGTGTCACTCTGCAGCTCTAGCCCCACCCCCAGGTGTAAGTCCCTGAAAGCTGCTTTCCCAGGTGCCAGCAGGGAGCGCTCCCGACCAGGCCCGTGTCTGTGACGGGAGTGGGCAGAGACAGCCTGATCTGGAGGGCGCTGGTGGCAGGGGCAGCGTGCCGGGGTGATGGGTCGGCTGCAGTTGGCACACGTGCCCTGGCAGTCCCTGGGGCAGGAGACCAGGTGCATGCTGTGGTGGCCAGTTGGAGGAAGTGGGGGCTGGGGGCCGAGTTCAGAGGTCCTTCTGAGCTCATGGGTGGTTGGAGACCTGGTGCATGCTGTGGTGGCCAGTTGGAGGAAGTGGGGGCTGGGGGCCGAGTTCAGAGGTCCTTCTGAGCTCACGGGCGGTTGGAGACCCTGGTGCATGCTGTGGTGGCCAGTTGGAGGAAGTGGGGGCTGGGGGCCGAGTTCAGAGGTCCTTCTGAGCTCACGGGCGGTTGGAGACCCTGGTACATGCTGTAGTGACCAGTTGGAGAAAGTGGGGGCTGGGGGCCGAGTTCAGAGGTCCTTCTGAGCTCACGGGCGGTTGGAGACCTGGTGCATGCTGTGGTGGCCAGTTGGAGGAAGTGGGGGCTGGGGGCCGAGTTCAGAGGTCCTTCTGAGCTCACAGGCAGTTGGAGACCTGTTGGGGGGAGGAAGGAGTTGGGGTGCCATCCCAGGTTCTGGGCAGGTGGGGAAGCAGGCTCCTGACTCAAGGGGCTGGTAAGGCCCAGTGAGCACGCAGACCCTGGTGAGCCGGGCAGCCCTTGGGGCAAGCGGAAGACGTGAGGAGGGTCCTGGGACATAGCTGCATCTGGGCTGCAGAGCCCAGCCCAGGAGCACCTGGCAAAGCTCCAGGAGGTGGATGGGCCAGTGGCCAGGGCCTGAGGAGCAGCCTCAAGATGGAGCAGCCGGGAGGCGGGTGGGTGGGGGGAGGACAGCAGCTTCTCCAGGTTGGCTGAGGAGGTGGCCCTGGGTCTGGATGTGTTTTCTCTTCCTCTCTGGCAAATGGAGGGCCTGTGTACGGGTTGAGAAACGTGTTCCTACGTGGGTGGGCAGTACAGGAGGGCGAGTCCACTTCAGAGAGCAAGGGGGATGTGTCCTTCCAGAGACGGATGTGGGGAGGGGCCCAGGGTGGGGACAGACAGAATGGGAGGCCGAGCAGGGCTTGCATTGGGGCTGCGGCCTCCCTCAGAGCCTCAGGTCTGGTTCTGGAAGGGCCAGGTGTCCTCTGCAGCCTGCCGAGGGGCTGCGTGGGTCTTGCTGGTTCTTGGTGGGAGGGTGGGCCGCTGGCCGTTCCTGGCACGTCCTGCTCCGGCCTGTGCCGTGGCCTGGTGTCTTGCTGGAGCCTGCAAGCACCCCCCCCCCATGTCAACTGTGTGGTCCGTCCCACGTGCTCGGTGCCCTCCCCTTCTCTCTGGCTGCCTCTTTGGTATGAGGCCTCCTCCTCTCCAGTCCCTGCCAGGTGAGGCCCCCCTGGCCCTTCTTCCAGGGTCCTGCCTTGGGTGCCAGGCGTGGCTCAGGCCTGATGTACTGGGACAGCCACACTCCAGTGCCTTTCATTTTGACCCCAGCTGCATGCTGGGGTGGCCCAGGAGGGCCCCGGGGCTGTACCGGGGTCAGGCCTGTGGCTGCAGTGCCTCTGCCTCCCACCGGCAGAGCTCTGCCTGAGGCCTTTGCTGGACTCATGATGCTGGCCACACAGTCCCGAGTGTCCGTTTGCTCCTGTGCTCACCTGGGTCTGCCCTGCCATGGGCTGTCAGGCAAAGTCACGGCCTGGGAGCCCGATCTGGGACCAAGGCAAGCCACTGACCGCCTTCACTTTCCCTGAAGAGCTCGGGGATCCTGGAGGCCTCAGTGGCGCTTGGCCCACAGAGCAGCTGTGTGGTGTCCTGGGGCTGCCATAACGAGGGCCACAGACCAGGGGCTTGGAAGAACAGAAATCCTTTGCCATACAGAGGTCAGAAGTCCAAATCAAAGTGTCAGCAGACCCCAAGGCGTTAGGAGACCATCCCTTGCTTCTTGCGGCTCTTGGTGGCCCCAGGAGATCCTGGGCTTGTGTGTGCGTCACTCCAGCGTCTGTCCCCAACCTCGCGGGGCACCGGCATTCTCCCTTCGTCTCTTTGTGTTCAAATCTCCCTCTTAGGACAACACCAGTCATTGGCTTAAGGGCGCATTCCCTTAGTGTGGCCTCATCTTCACAAATTATATGTTTAATGACGGTCTTTCCAAATAAGATTGCAGTCAGAGGGACTGGGTGGTAGGAATGTAACATATCTTTTGGAGGGTGCATAATTCAACCCATAACAATCTGCCCTGCACCCCTAAATTCGTATTGCTCTCACATGTGAAATATTAATACTTTCACCCTATCTCAGCATCCCCCGAAGCCTTAACCATTTCAGCATCAACTCTAAGTCCAAAATCTCATCTAAATATCAGCAGCACAGGGCCCCAAATCTCAGCATCTAAATGGCATCTAAATCAGGTGTGGATGGGACTTGGGGCAAAACTCCTCTCCAGCTGTGAACCTGTGAAATCAGACAACAAATTACGTCTCGAAAATGGAGCGGCGGGGAAAATGCAACGGTGAGACGAGTGTGGGATGGACATTTCCGCTGCAGCAGGGAGAGGCTGGAAAGGAAGAAAAGGTCCCGGGTTCCAGGCAGGTCCCCACCCAGCGTCCGTTACATTCGCGGCCCGATGACAAGCTCCGGCTCTGTCCCTGCAGGGCAGCCGCCCCGCAGCCCAGGCCTCTGCTTCTATGGCTCTGCTCTCGGAGTCACCCTTCCTTCCTTCCGTCTTGTCCCCCTCCCTCTCAGTCCAGCGTTTCTGCTGGCATAAAATTCTCAAAAACCTTTTTGGCTTCCCGTGCGGCTCACGGGTGTCCCGGTCAGGTGAGAGGGTCCTGCACAGACCTTCCCTGGAGACCCCGCCTGTTCCTGGCTTCTGAGGTGCTCGGACCCAGCCACACACCTCTTTGGCCACACCCTTGGCCACGTCCGCAGAGCTGCCCGGACAGGCTGAGCATTTTCCGAACGAAGCCTCGGTTCCTCCTTGCTCGGCAGCTGCTTTCTCTCCCGTCCTGCCGTGAGCCGGGAGGGGCCAGGCCACGTCTCCACACGTGGCCTGGGCATCTCAGCTGTACATCCAAGTTCGTCACTCGCAAGTTCTGCTCGTCACTCGCAAGCTCTGCTCGCCACCCAACGTGACGCCATCGGCTGTGTTTCCTGCCACTTTCCTCCAGTTCACAGCAACTCCTTCGTCGTCTCCACCTGAGACTCACCTGTGATGTCCGTGTTTCCACTAATGCTCTGAGTGTGACGCCGAGTGGCCTGAGCCCTCCCCAGAGCACCTCCACCGCCTGTTTTCCACAGCGCTCTCCCCGCGGCAGTCTGGCTTTTCATCGGCGTCATCTTGAAATTCGTCAAGCTTCTGCCCGTTGCTCAGTTCCAGGACTGCTGCTGCTACGTCACAGCAGTTCCCCTTCCTGGCACCAAAATCTGTTCACTTCTTGTGGCTGCTGTGACAGTGTTGTAAAATGACACAAATACATCATTTCAGTTCTGGAGGCTGAAAACCCAGGATCAAGGTGTTGACAGGGCCACACACTCACCTGTTGGACAGTCCTCCCTCTCTTCCCCCAACTTCTGGTGTTTCTTGGCTTGTGGCCGCGTCGCCCCAGTCCCTGCTGCCGTCCCCACAGGGCCTGCGCCCTCCTGCCTGTCTTAGCATCTTCCCCTTTCTCCCGAGGGCCCCGTTGTGTTGGACTAGGGCCCATCCTCCCGCACCGTGACCTCATCCTAACTGCTCCCGCCCGCATCGACCCTGTGTCTGAGCACACTCCAGGGTCCTGGGGGTTCCTATGTAGGTGGCCCTCGAGGACACAACTTGTAGCAATGGCCCTTTGCTGTGTCACGTAGCTGAGCAGGTGGGGGCCAGAACCCTGCCTGCCCTAGGAGGTGGAGGGGTGGGGCCCGGGGCAGGTCCAGAGAACCTGTGGGCCGGGCCAGGACTGCCAGGCTGCTAGTGCTCACCCCAGACCTCTACAGGCCATGCGGACCCTCAGCTGGAAGCACACGCTGGGCCTGGTGACCATGGACGTGGAGCTGGCCGACCGCACCCTGTCCGTGGCAGTGACCCCCGTGCAGGCAGTGGTCTTGCTGTACTTTCAGGACCAAGGTGAGGCCACACACCCCGGGGCAGTGCCAGGCACCACTCTGTGCAGCTGTGAGGGGCGCTGCTCCCCGTGTGGGCACCATTCAGGGCAGCCCCAGGCCAGCAGGCAGTGCCCCTGCCCCTCCCACAGGTCAAGGCAGGCAGCCTATGTCCCCCTGGGCTCTGGGCCGCTGGGAGGCAGGGAGGGGCAGCTGCCCGCCCGTCTGCCAGTGTCCCTGGCCGCTCTGCACGCAGCCAGCTGGACCCTGGAGGAGCTGAGCAAGGTGGTGAAGATGCCCGTGGCGCTGCTGCGGCGGCGCATGTCCGTGTGGCTGCAGCAGGGCGTGCTGCGCGAGGAGCCTCCCGGCACCTTCTCCGTCATCGAGGAGGAGCGGCCTCAGGACCGAGACAACATGGTGCTCGTCGACAGTGACGAGGAGAGCGACTCAGGCATGGCCTCCCAGGCCGACCAGAAGGAGGAGGAGCTGCTGGTGCGTGGTGCCGGCCGTGTGGGGGGCGGGGGGCGGCCAGCTAGGGCGCAGCGGCGGTCCCGGCAGTGGCCCGGCTGATGGTGGGCCTGGCCGCTGTCCCCAGCTCTTCTGGACGTACATCCAGGCCATGCTGACCAACCTGGAGAGCCTGTCGCTCGAGCGCATCTACAGCATGCTGCGCATGTTCGTGATGACGGGCCCCGCGCTGGCCGAGATCGACCTGCACGAGCTCCAGGGCTTCCTGCAGAAGAAGGTGCGCGACCAGCAGCTCATCTACTCGGCGGGCGTCTACCGCCTGCCCAAGAACTCCACCTGACGCTCCTGCCTGTGGGCGCTCTGGCTCCCCCTGCAAACCGCACCTGTGTGTCCCCTCGGTAGACAGCCCGAGGGCACCCCTTCCCTCCCCAGACCCTGCCCGGCCCCCAGAGTGTGCAGAATAAAGCAGGTCAGTTCCTCCTTTCCTGTCCTGGTGGCTTTGGGGCCCCCACAGGCGTGTTCAGGTTCTCCTTCCAGACTGGCCGTCCACCTCGGCCCGCGGGGCTCGGGTCCCCAGCAGCAGGCAAGGGCGGCCGCCCCAGGCCTGCACATCTGCATTTGGGCTCTAACCTCCTGAAGGTGTCCTGGGCCACCCCCTGGCCCTGGTGCTCGGGGACAGCCTGCGAAGGCCTACGTCTGGGCATGCAGCTCAGGCAGGGGCGTCCCAAGTGCCTCCAGCTCCATCCTTCTCTGGCCTTTGAAAGGAGCCCTCGGGTCACCCTCCCAGGCCTGTGTCCTCCGCCGTGGGCCGGGCTGGAGAGCTGGGGTGCAGCGGGGAGGACATGCGGACTCCATCAGAGCGTCTGAGGTACACGGCGACCTCCTGGGCCAAGGACTTCGCACGTCTCCCGCAGCAAGGGGCTGGCTGCTGACACGCTCTGGAGCCAGGGGCCCAGGCGTTTGTCCGCCTGTTCCACACTCTTGCAGGGGGCCACGGTGCTCGGGCCTCACAAGTGTGCACTCAGGAAGGCAGCTCACTCCCACGTCCCCCACATGTGGGCGGCAGTACTTGACAAGGGCCAGGCTCAGAGGAGCAGCTCAGGGACCAGCCTTCCCCTCTCCCCAGCACAGCCTCCGGAGCCCGCCTTGTCCTGGGCACCAGGGTCCCACAACCCTTGGCGGGGCAGATCCTGTCCAAGGTCCAGAATCTGGGAGGCCTCAGCACTGATCTTGCCACAAGGTGACACCATCCTGAGACACCTCAAAGCTGAACCGGGGCCGGGTGCATGGCGCACGCCTGTAATCCCAGCACTCTGGGAGGCCGAGGCAGGGTGCTTGCACTAAGGAGTCAGAGGCTGCAGTGAGCTGTGATGATGCCACTGCGCTCTAGCCTGGGTGACAGAATGAAACTGTCTTAAAAAAAAAAAAAGGAACCAGGCGCTCCCAGGTTGGGCTCTGGGCTCCAAGCTGCTAAGACCTGGGCCCTGTCCCAAAGGTGTCGTTTCCAGGCAAGACTCGATCCAGCCTGACCGCACTGTCCTCGCTGGGGACAGAGGCCTCCAGTGTCCCGCTCCTGCCCAGGTGCCTTCCCAGGCCATGAGCCACGCCCAGCCTCAGCATCCCCACCGTCCCCAGATGCCCTTCCTGGTGTCCACTGTGCTGCCCTGGGCCCTGGAGCCACCACCCAGGTCCCGTCCTGCTCCAGCTTTGGCCTGTTTGAGGGGTAGTCCTGTGGCGAGGACGTCACCCCCTTCTTGCTCTAGAAGATTGTTTACCTCAGGGTTGGAAGGAGGAAGTGGCAGGTATTAGCAGGTGTCAGGTGTGTACCTTCAGAATTATCTGTGGTTTCTGACCAGCCAAGGAGGGTTTGTCTCAGGCACCCGGGTCACTCTCCCCACCAGCTCCTCTTCACTCCAGGGCTGTCTCTGTGCTGCTGTCACTAAAACAGGACCTGTTTTAGTGTCAGTTTTAGTGTCACCTCTCCTCTGAGCTCTGTGTTAGCCCTGGCCAGGGCTCTGACTGCTCTGGCGCCCGCCGTGCCTTCCAGGCGGTGGCCTTGTCTGGATCTCGCTGTCTGTGGCCGCCGCCCAGTCCTGGCTGTGTGCACCGTTGTCCTAACCAGGATGCAAACCTGCTGGGCTGGCCCGTCAGGGTGCTGGTGCCAGCCTTGGCCCTGGGCACACCCTTTGTTCTGTGTTCCTTCGGGTTCCATCTCCGGCCATGTCCTAAAGCCCAGGGTTCGTCTTGGATCACGGCATCACTCAAAAGGCGAAAGGCTGTGCCCGGGGCTGTCGGCTGGTCCCGGAGGACCCCAGCAGGAGGGTACCAGTGTCGACAGGGGGTCCTTGGTGGCCAGGGCTGGTGGGGCCCAAGCTGGCAGGAGGCCTGGGCCTGGTCAGCTATGGAGTGGGCGTTTCCTCCGCTACCTGTGGTGCCCAGCCTGTAACAGCAGGTTCAGGGAGGAGGCTGAGGTTAACCCTGACCGTGCCAGCCTGCGGGTGACCTCCATGGCAGTGCTTGCCTGGTCTGCAGAGGGAGCAGACGCTGGGGAGAGCAGGCTCTGACTTTACCGACACATGCAGGCTGCGGTTTCGGGTGGTCCTGCAGGTGTTTCTGAGCCACTTGCTCCCTGAGAGGGAAGCTCCAGGGAGGCCGTGGCCTGTGGTCCCGCTCAGGCAGGTGGCCAGTACCCCCTGACCTTTCCTGGGTGACCTGGGATCCCTTGGGGTGCCAGCAGCCCTCCCGACCTGAGGTTTGCTGGGAGTGTGAGCCACACCCTCCCCAAAGCACTCAGTGAGGGCAACCGGGCACAAGCCCACCCCTTGGCCCCCCTTGGTCCCTTCCTGCCTCAGCCCTGGGTGGGGCAGTGACACGCAGTCAGTCGGAGCACAGACCCCACCCCGAGCTGCTGCGCTCTTATGCCCAGAGAGGGGACACCAGGCCAGTCTCCTCCCCCACACCAGGGGCTGGAATGTGGCCCCACCCTTCACAACAAAGGACCATCCCCCTGAGGCTGGGCCAGCCCCACCACAGCCCCCACCTCAGACATGGCCAAGCACCTGCCCACCTACCTGCCCCATTCCCAGGGCTGCCTGCCCAGGGCTCCTCGAGTCCCAGCGCCCACGTGTGGGCGAAGCTCACGCTGGCCTCAGGCCCTCGCAGCCCTGCCCCCACCCTCCCCACCTAACAGCCTACTGTGAGGTCAGTGCCTTCCGACAGCTCCGTCAGAGGCGTGCGGTGGGGCCAGGGGCCAGCGGCTGGACATGGCCCCCTGTCCCCAGCCTGCCCCCTTCCTGCTTGGCAGCCCCCTGGGCCTCATATGTTTGTCCCTTTTGCTCACCCCTGCTGCAGGTGCCTCCTCCTACCCCAGTAGCCCTGTCCCCAGCCAGGGCCCCTCCCTTTCCTAGGCCAGGTGGGGGTGTCCATGTCCTTCTGGTGGCCAACAGGGCAAGGGTGGACCTGGGGTCCTCCACAGGCAGGTGATGCCCCCTGGGTCACGTGGGCCCTGTCTCTGCAGCAGGAACCTACTGTGAATGCAGCCTTGGCCTCAGCCGCGAGGCCCTGATTGCCCTGCTTGTGGTGCTGGCGGGTGTCAGTGCCACCTGCTTCTGTGCCCTGGTCATCGTGGCAATTGGTATCTTGCGAGTCAAAGGGTGCGTGAGCCTCAGGGCCAGGAGTGGTGGGAGTGAGACCATGCCGCCTGCTCTGGGCCCCTGGTCCTGCCATGAGGACCCTCTGCCCCTTGGGTGGGGTGTCACTTGGGACTGGGAGTGGCAGTGCCCAGGTTGTGTTGGGGAGAGGTACAGGGGGCCCCCAGCATTGTTCCAGGACTCATGCTTGCCTCTGTCCCCTCAGTGACACATGCCCCGGAAACATGGACCACAGGTGAGTGTGGCAGAGGGCCCCAAGGGTGAGCCGGGTGCCCACTGCCCCCTCGCTGGAGATGCAGATGATAGTGGAGTGGAGAGCCCCATCCCCAAGGGCTGGCATGCCCTGCCCTGGTGGTCAGGGGCCCGCCAGCCGGTGCTGACCTGGCCCATGTTGTGCAGGGTTGTGGGGCATTTCGGGGTCCAGGAAGATCACATGGACCTGCAGGAGGTGCACGTGGAGTCCCACCTCATGGACTCCGACCTGGAGGCCACCACGATGCTGCCCCTGGAGGACCCCACGATGCTGCCCCTGGAGGACCCCACGATGCTGCCCCTGGAGGAACCCATCCCCATGGAGACTGTTACAGAGGAGCCACCGCCCCCACTGCCCCCAATGCCCCCAGTGCCCCCAATGCCCCCACTGCCACCTGAGGAGGAGAGATGAGGGCGGCGGGGGAGGGGATTAAACAGTATTTGGTAGCTGTGGCTGTGTCCCTTGCTGGCTTCCCACAGTCTACCTGAGGCTGCATCGTGGCGGGTGCGTGGCGCACAGGGCCTTCATCACCAGCGGGGGGAGGGCAGCCCACCCCTACACCAGGCCCCTGCTGTCCCCCAGCCCCAGGGCAGGAGAACGCACCCCTGCCTCCTGCCATAGCCCGTCAGCCCAGCTTCTCCCCGCACATTCCTGATGTTTTGTCCCATGAAGCCGTGGGGCATCCCGGGCCCAGGCCCACCCACCCTCGCCTTGGGAAAACCCCAGGACAGGACCTGAACTTGGCAACTCCAAAGGGGGTGGCATTTGACAGGACGACGGGGGCCGCTGCCTGGTCCCCACTGCACTCGCACCCTCCCTTCGAGGTTTCAGGAAACCTTCTTGGGGGAGGGGAGGGCAGGCAGCACCTCCCCCGCCTGTGTGTGCAGTGCCTCCTCTGCCCCAAGGCCTCTCTCTGGAGCTCAGGCTCCCACCCGTCATCCACCGTTGGAACGGGACCGTCCCTGCGTAGGCGCCACTCTGTGCGTGTGTGCTGGGGTCAGCTGGGTGAAGCAGGGTGCAGTGTGCGTGTGTGGGGGGCATCCGCGAGTTCGGTGGGTGCGGGCGGGTGTGGCCCTGCTGCTCAGGCCTCAGCGGCGCCGGGTTGTGGACGAGGCGGACCTGGGGCGGGGTGGTCTTGATAGTCCCTCGGCTGGCGCTAAGCCGATAGGAGCCCAGAGCTCTGGGACAGGTGGAAGGCAGTGCCGGGCGTTGGCTGTGTGCCCGGCCCCCGCCCCAGGCGCGGGACCAGCTGTGGGACAGGAACTGCCAGCGCTCGGGCCAGAGTTAATATTTATGCAGGCGTCGCAGGAACGGGCTCGAGGACGGCTCCGCGGACGCACAGCAGCAGGCCTCCCGCCGCGGGTCCTTTTTCTTATGTTTTTCTCTGCCGCATGTTCTTTTTTGTATGTGTTTGTGGCCCCGCGCTGGTCCAATCCTGACTCACGAGCCTCCAGGGCTTCCTGCAGAAAAAGGAGTGCGCGACCACAGCTCATGCTTACTCGGTCGGCGTCTATCCGCGCTGACCAAGAACTCCATCCTGTATCGCTCCTGGCCTGGTGCGCCTGCGCTCCCCCTGCAAACCGCCACTGTCGCTTGTCCCCTCGTAGACAGCCGAGGGCAACCCCTTCCCTCCCAGACCCTGCCCGGCCCCATTTCAGTGCTGGCAGAATAAAGCCAGGTCAGTTCCTCCTTCCTGTCCTGGGGATGGCTTTGGGGCCCCCACAGGGCGTGTTCAGGTTCCCATTCAGACTGGGTGTTCCACCTCGCCCGCGGGCTCCGGTCCCCACAGCAGGCAAAGCGCCGCCCCATGGCCGTGCACATCTGCATTTGAGCCTCTAACCCTCCTGAAGTTTCTGGGCCACCCCCTGCCCCTGTGCCGGGGACAGCCTGCGAAGGCCTACTCTGGGCATGCAGCTCAGGCAGGGGCGTCCAAGTGCCTCCATCCATCCATTCTCTGGCCTTGAAAGAGCCCTCGGTCACCCTCCCCAGGCCTGTGCCACTCCCCGTGGCCGGGCTGGAGAACTGGGGGTGGCAGCGGGGACAACAGACTCCATCAGAGCCGTCTGAGAGCACGCGACCTCCTGAGCCAAGGACTTCGCACGTCTTCCCGCCAGCAAGGGCTGGCTGCTGACACGCTCTGAGCCAGGGGCCAGCGTTTGTCGCCCGTTCCACACTCCTGCAGGGCCACGCGTTGCTGTGGTTCGCTCACAAGTGTTCACTCAGGAAGGCGCTCACTCCCAACGGCACCGACACATGTGGCGGCAGTATCTTACAAGGGGCCAGGCTCAGAGGAGCCAGCTCAGCCAGCTCTCTCCCCTCGTGTCCCCGCACACAGCCCCCCGAGCCCTCCTGCCTGGGCACCAGGTCCACAACCCTTGGCGGGCAGGTCCTGTCCAAGGTCCAGAATCCGGGAGGCCCCAGCACTGCTCTTGCCACAAGGTGGACACCATCCTGAGACACCTCAAGCGAACCGGGCCGGTGTCATGGCGCACGCCTGTAATTCCCAGCACTCTGGAGCGAGGCAGGGGTGCTGCACTAAGAGTCGGCAGTGTCAGTCAGCGTGATGAGCCACGGCGCCTGGCGGGTGAAGTAGGGGAAACTGTCTTATAAAAAAAAAAAGGAACCAGCGCTCCCAGGTTGGGCCTAGCGCCCAATCGCTAAGACCTGGGCCCGTCCAAACGGTGTCGCGTCCAGGCAGACTCATCCAGCCTGACCGCGCTGTCCTCGCGGGGACAGAGGGCCTCCAGTGGTCCGCTCCTGCCATGTGCCTTCCCAGTCCATGACCACGCCCACCTACAGCATCCCCACCGTCCCCAGATGCCCTTCCTGTCCACTGTCGCCTGGCCCTGGAGCCACCACCCATTCCCGGTCCTGCTCCAGCTTTGGCCTGTTGAGGGGATTAGCCTGTGGCGAGCGACGTCACCCTCCCGTTTCTTGCTCTAGAAGATTGTTTCTCAGGTTCGAAGGAGAAGTGGCAGTATTAGCAGGCGTCAGCGTGTTAACCTTCAGGAATTATCGTGGTTTCGACCAGGCCAAAGGGTTTGCTCAGCACCGCGGTCACTCCTCCCCACCAGCTCCTCTTCACCCCCAGGCTGTCTCTGTGCTGCTGTCACTAAAACAGGACCTTTTAGTGCAGTCTTTAGGTCACCTCTCCTCTGAGCCGTGTTAGCCCCTGGCCAGGGCTCTGACTGCTCTGGCGCCCCGTGCTTTCCAGCGGGCCTTGTTGATCTCGCTGCTGTGGCCGCCGCCCAGGTCCGGCGTTGTGCACGTTGTCCTACCAAGATGCAAACACTGCTGGGCTGGCCCGTCAGGTGCGGCTGCCACCTTGGCCCTGGGGCACACCTTTTGTTCTGTGTCCTTCGGTTCCATCTCCGTCCATGTCCTAAAGCCAGGGTTCGTCTTGGATCACGCGCATCACTCAAAAAGGCAGAAGGCTGTGCCCGGCTCGGCTGGCCGAGACCCACAGAGGGGTACCATGTCGACAGGGGTCCTGGGGCCAAAGGGCTGGTGGGAGCCCAAGCTGCGCAGGAGCCTGGCCGGGCAGCTATGAGTGGCGTTCCTCCCGCTACCCTCTGGTGCCGCGCCCTGAACAGCAAGTTCGGGAGGAGGCTGAGGTTAACCCTGACTGTGCCAGCCTGCGGGCGATCCATGCATGCTATGCCTGGTCTGCAGAGGAGAGCAGACGCTGGGCGAGGACAGGCTCTGACTTTACGACACATGCCAGGGCTGCGGTTTCCGGGTGGTCTGCAGGTGTCTGAAGCCACTTGCTCCCTGGAGAGAAAGCTTCCAGGGAGCCGTGCCTTGGTCCGCTCAGGATGGCCATACCCCCTGACTTTCCTGGGGGAGCTGGGATCCTTTGGGTGCCAAGCACCTCCACGACCTGAGGTTTGTGGGGAGTGGTGAGCCACATGTGAAATATTAATACTTTCACCCTATCTCAGCATCCCCCGAAGCCTTAACCATTTCAGCATCAACTCTAAGTCCAAAATCTCATCTAAATATCAGCAGCACAGGGCCCCAAATCTCAGCATCTAAATAGCATCTAAATCAGGTGTGGATGGGACTTGGGGCAAAACTCCTCTCCAGCTGTGAACCTGTGAAATCAGACAACAAATTACGTCTCGAAAATGGAACGGCGGGGAAAATGCAACGGTGAGACGAGTGTGGGACGGACATTTCCGCTGCAGCAGGGAGAGGCTGGAAAGGAAGAAAAGGTCCCGGGTTCCAGGCAGGTCCCCACCCAGCAAGGGAGCGTCCGTTACATTCGAGGCCCGATGACAAGCTCCGGCTCTGTCCCTGCAGGGCAGCCGCCCGGCAGCCCAGGCCTCTGCTTCTATGGCTCTGCTCTCGGAGTCACCCTTCCTTCCTTCCGTCTTGTCCCCCTCCCTCTCAGTCCAGGCTCGTAGCGTTTCTGCTGGCATAAAATTCTCAAAAACCTTGTTGGCTTCCCGTGCGGCTCGCGGGTGTCCCGGTCAGGTGAGAGGGTCCTGCACAGACCTTCCCTGGAGACCCCGCCTGTTCCTGGCTTCTGAGGTGCTCGGACCCAGCCACACACCTCTTTGGCCACACCCTTGGCCACGTCCGCAGAGCTGCCCGGACAGGCTGAGCATTTTCCGAACGAAGCCTCGGTTCCTCCTTGCTCGGCAGCTGCTTTCTCTCCCGTCCTGCCGTGAGCCGGGAGGGGCCAGGCCACGTCTCCACACGTGGCCTGGGCATCTCAGCTGTACATCCAAGTTCGTCACTCGCAAGTTCTGCTCGTCACTCGCAAGCTCTGCTCGCCACCCAACGTGACGCCATCGGCTGTGTTTCCTGCCACTTTCCTCCAGTTCACAGCAACTCCTTCGTCGTCTCCACCTGAGACTCACCTGTGATGTCCGTGTTTCCACTAATGCTCTGAGTGTGACGCCGAGTGGCCTGAGCCCTCCCCAGAGCACCTCCACCGCCTGTTTTCCACAGCGCTCTCCCCGCGGCAGTCTGGCTTTTCATCGGCGTCATCTTGAAATTCGTCAAGCTTCTGCCCGTTGCTCAGTTCCAGGACTGCTGCTGCTACGTCACAGCAGTTCCCCTTCCTGGCACCAAAATCTGTTCACTTCTTGTGGCTGCTGTGACAGTGTTGTAAAATGACACAAATACATCATTTCAGTTCTGGAGGCTGAAAACCCAGGATCAAGGTGTTGACAGGGCCACACACTCACCTGTTGGACAGTCCTCCCTCTCTTCCCCCAACTTCTGGTGTTTCTTGGCTTGTGGCCGCGTCGCCCCAGTCCCTGCTGCCGTCCCCACAGGGCCTGCGCCCTCCTGCCTGTCTTAGCATCTTCCCCTTTCTCCCGAGGGCCCCGTTGTGTTGGACTAGGGCCCATCCTCCCGCACCGTGACCTCATCCTAACTGCTCCCGCCCGCATCGACCCTGTGTCTGAGCACACTCCAGGGTCCTGGGGGTTCCTATGTAGGTGGCCCTCGAGGACACAACTTGTAGCAATGGCCCTTTGCTGTGTCACGTAGCTGAGCAGGTGGGGGCCAGAACCCTGCCTGCCCACCGTAGGAGGTGGAGGGGTGGGGCCCGGGGCAGGTCCAGAGAACCTGTGGGCCGGGCCAGGACTGCCAGGCTGCTAGTGCTCACCCCAGACCTCTACAGGCCATGCGGACCCTCAGCTGGAAGCACACGCTGGGCCTGGTGACCATGGACGTGGAGCTGGCCGACCGCACCCTGTCCGTGGCAGTGACCCCCGTGCAGGCAGTGGTCTTGCTGTACTTTCAGGACCAAGGTGAGGCCACACACCCCGGGGCAGTGCCAGGCACCACTCTGTGCAGCTGTGAGGGGCGCTGCTCCCCGTGTGGGCACCATTCAGGGCAGCCCCAGGCCAGCAGGCAGTGCCCCTGCCCCTCCCACAGGTCAAGGCAGGCAGCCTATGTCCCCCTGGGCTCTGGGCCGCTGGGAGGCAGGGAGGGGCAGCTGCCCGCCCGTCTGCCAGTGTCCCTGGCCGCTCTGCACGCAGCCAGCTGGACCCTGGAGGAGCTGAGCAAGGTGGTGAAGATGCCTGTGGCGCTGCTGCGGCGGCGCATGTCCGTGTGGCTGCAGCAGGGCGTGCTGCGCGAGGAGCCTCCCGGCACCTTCTCCGTCATCGAGGAGGAGCGGCCTCAGGACCGAGACAACATGGTGCTCGTCGACAGTGACGAGGAGAGCGACTCAGGCATGGCCTCCCAGGCCGACCAGAAGGAGGAGGAGCTGCTGGTGCGTGGTGCCGGCCGCGTGGGGGGCGGGGGGCGGCCAGCTAGGGCGCAGCGGCGGTCCCGGCAGTGGCCCGGCTGATGGTGGGCCTGGCCGCTGTCCCCAGCTCTTCTGGACGTACATCCAGGCCATGCTGACCAACCTGGAGAGCCTGTCGCTCGAGCGCATCTACAGCATGCTGCGCATGTTCGTGATGACGGGCCCCGCGCTGGCCGAGATCGACCTGCACGAGCTCCAGGGCTTCCTGCAGAAGAAGGTGCGCGACCAGCAGCTCATCTACTCGGCGGGCGTCTACCGCCTGCCCAAGAACTCCACCTGACGCTCCTGCCTGTGGGCGCTCTGGCTCCCCCTGCAAACCGCACCTGTGTGTCCCCTCGGTAGACAGCCCGAGGGCACCCCTTCCCTCCCCAGACCCTGCCCGGCCCCCAGAGTGTGCAGAATAAAGCAGGTCAGTTCCTCCTTTCCTGTCCTGGTGGCTTTGGGGCCCCCACAGGCGTGTTCAGGTTCTCCTTCCAGACTGGCCGTCCACCTCGGCCCGCGGGGCTCGGGTCCCCAGCAGCAGGCAAGGGCGGCCGCCCCAGGCCTGCACATCTGCATTTGGGCTCTAACCTCCTGAAGGTGTCCTGGGCCACCCCCTGGCCCTGGTGCTCGGGGACAGCCTGCGAAGGCCTACGTCTGGGCATGCAGCTCAGGCAGGGGCGTCCCAAGTGCCTCCAGCTCCATCCTTCTCTGGCCTTTGAAAGGAGCCCTCGGGTCACCCTCCCAGGCCTGTGTCCTCCGCCGTGGGCCGGGCTGGAGAGCTGGGGTGCAGCGGGGAGGACATGCGGACTCCATCAGAGCGTCTGAGGTACACGGCGACCTCCTGAGCCAAGGACTTCGCACGTCTCCCGCAGCAAGGGGCTGGCTGCTGACACGCTCTGGAGCCAGGGGCCCAGGCGTTTGTCCGCCTGTTCCACACTCTTGCAGGGGGCCACGGTGCTTGGGCCTCACAAGTGTGCACTCAGGAAGGCAGCTCACTCCCACGTCCCCCACATGTGGGCGGCAGTACTTGACAAGGGCCAGGCTCAGAGGAGCAGCTCAGGGACCAGCCTTCCCCTCTCCCCAGCACAGCCTCCGGAGCCCGCCTTGTCCTGGGCACCAGGGTCCCACAACCCTTGGCGGGGCAGGTCCTGTCCAAGGTCCAGAATCTGGGAGGCCTCAGCACTGCTCTTGCCACAAGGTGACACCATCCTGAGACACCTCAAAGCTGAACCGGGGCCGGGTGCATGGCGCACGCCTGTAATCCCAGCACTCTGGGAGGCCGAGGCAGGGTGCTTGCACTAAGGAGTCGGAGGCTGCAGTGAGCTGTGATGATGCCACTGCGCTCTAGCCTGGGTGACAGAGTGAAACTGTCTTAAAAAAAAAAAAAGGAACCAGGCGCTCCCAGGTTGGGCTCTGGGCTCCAAGCTGCTAAGACCTGGGCCCTGTCCCAAAGGTGTCGTTTCCAGGCAAGACTCGATCCAGCCTGACCGCACTGTCCTCGCTGGGGACAGAGGCCTCCAGTGTCCCGCTCCTGCCCAGGTGCCTTCCCAGGCCATGAGCCACGCCCAGCCTCAGCATCCCCACCGTCCCCAGATGCCCTTCCTGGTGTCCACTGTGCTGCCCTGGGCCCTGGAGCCACCACCCAGGTCCCGTCCTGCTCCAGCTTTGGCCTGTTTGAGGGGTAGTCCTGTGGCGAGGACGTCACCCCCTTCTTGCTCTAGAAGATTGTTTACCTCAGGGTTGGAAGGAGGAAGTGGCAGGTATTAGCAGGTGTCAGGTGTGTACCTTCAGAATTATCTGTGGTTTCTGACCAGCCAAGGAGGGTTTGTCTCAGGCACCCGGGTCACTCTCCCCACCAGCTCCTCTTCACTCCAGGGCTGTCTCTGTGCTGCTGTCACTAAAACAGGACCTGTTTTAGTGTCAGTTTTAGTGTCACCTCTCCTCTGAGCTCTGTGTTAGCCCTGGCCAGGGCTCTGACTGCTCTGGCGCCCGCCGTGCCTTCCAGGCGGTGGCCTTGTCTGGATCTCGCTGTCTGTGGCCGCCGCCCAGTCCTGGCTGTGTGCACCGTTGTCCTAACCAGGATGCAAACCTGCTGGGCTGGCCCGTCAGGGTGCTGGTGCCAGCCTTGGCCCTGGGCACACCCTTTGTTCTGTGTTCCTTCGGGTTCCATCTCCGGCCATGTCCTAAAGCCCAGGGTTCGTCTTGGATCACGGCATCACTCAAAAGGCGAAAGGCTGTGCCCGGGGCTGTCGGCTGGTCCCGGAGGACCCCAGCAGGAGGGTACCAGTGTCGACAGGGGGTCCTTGGTGGCCAGGGCTGGTGGGGCCCAAGCTGGCAGGAGGCCTGGGCCTGGTCAGCTATGGAGTGGGCGTTTCCTCCGCTACCTGTGGTGCCCAGCCTGTAACAGCAGGTTCAGGGAGGAGGCTGAGGTTAACCCTGACCGTGCCAGCCTGCGGGTGACCTCCATGGCAGTGCTTGCCTGGTCTGCAGAGGGAGCAGACGCTGGGGAGAGCAGGCTCTGACTTTACCGACACATGCAGGCTGCGGTTTCGGGTGGTCCTGCAGGTGTTTCTGAGCCACTTGCTCCCTGAGAGGGAAGCTCCAGGGAGGCCGTGGCCTGTGGTCCCGCTCAGGCAGGTGGCCAGTACCCCCTGACCTTTCCTTTCCTGGGTGACCTGGGATCCCTTGGGGTGCCAGCAGCCCTCCCGACCTGAGGTTTGCTGGGAGTGTGAGCCACACCCTCCCCAAAGCACTCAGTGAGGGCAACCGGGCACAAGCCCACCCCTTGGCCCTCCTTGGTCCCTTCCTGCCTCAGCCCTGGGTGGGGCAGTGACACGCAGTCAGTCGGAGCACAGACCCCACCCCGAGCTGCTGCGCTCTTATGCCCAGAGAGGGGACACCAGGCCAGTCTCCTCCCCCACACCAGGGGCTGGAATGTGGCCCCACCCTTCACAACAAAGGACCATCCCCCTGAGGCTGGGCCAGCCCCACCACAGCCCCCACCTCAGACATGGCCAAGCACCTGCCCACCTACCTGCCCCATTCCCAGGGCTGCCTGCCCAGGGCTCCTCGAGTCCCAGCGCCCACGTGTGGGCGAAGCTCACGCTGGCCTCAGGCCCTCGCAGCCCTGCCCCCACCCTCCCCACCTAACAGCCTACTGTGAGGTCAGTGCCTTCCGACAGCTCCGTCAGAGGCGTGCGGTGGGGCCAGGGGCCAGCGGCTGGACATGGCCCCCTGTCCCCAGCCTGCCCCCTTCCTGCTTGGCAGCCCCCTGGGCCTCATATGTTTGTCCCTTTTGCTCACCCCTGCTGCAGGTGCCTCCTCCTACCCCAGTAGCCCTGTCCCCAGCCAGGGCCCCTCCCTTTCCTAGGCCAGGTGGGGGTGTCCATGTCCTTCTGGTGGCCAACAGGGCAAGGGTGGACCTGGGGTCCTCCACAGGCAGGTGATGACCCCTGGGTCACGTGGGCCCTGTCTCTGCAGCAGGAACCTACTGTGAATGCAGCCTTGGCCTCAGCCGCGAGGCCCTGATTGCCCTGCTTGTGGTGCTGGCGGGTGTCAGTGCCACCTGCTTCTGTGCCCTGGTCATCGTGGCAATTGGTATCTTGCGAGTCAAAGGGTGCGTGAGCCTCAGGGCCAGGAGTGGTGGGAGTGAGACCATGCCGCCTGCTCTGGGCCCCTGGTCCTGCCATGAGGACCACCCTCTGCCCCTTGGGTGGGGTGTCACTTGGGACTGGGAGTGGCAGTGCCCAGGTTGTGTTGGGGAGAGGTACAGGGGGCCCCCAGCATTGTTCCAGGACTCATGCTTGCCTCTGTCCCCTCAGTGACACATGCCCCGGAAACATGGACCACAGGTGAGTGTGGCAGAGGGCCCCAAGGGTGAGCCGGGTGCCCACTGCCCCCTCGCTGGAGATGCAGATGATAGTGGAGTGGAGAGCCCCATCCCCAAGGGCTGGCATGCCCTGCCCTGGTGGTCAGGGGCCCGCCAGCCGGTGCTGACCTGGCCCATGTTGTGCAGGGTTGTGGGGCATTTCGGGGTCCAGGAAGATCACATGGACCTGCAGGAGGTGCACGTGGAGTCCCACCTCATGGACTCCGACCTGGAGGCCACCACGATGCTGCCCCTGGAGGACCCCACGATGCTGCCCCTGGAGGACCCCACGATGCTGCCCCTGGAGGAACCCATCCCCATGGAGACTGTTACAGAGGAGCCACCGCCCCCACTGCCCCCAATGCCCCCAGTGCCCCCAATGCCCCCACTGCCACCTGAGGAGGAGAGATGAGGGCGGCGGGGGAGGGGATTAAACAGTATTTGGTAGCTGTGGCTGTGTCCCTTGCTGGCTTCCCACAGTCTACCTGAGGCTGCATCGTGGCGGGTGCGTGGCGCACAGGGCCTTCATCACCAGCGGGGGGAGGGCAGCCCACCCCTACACCAGGCCCCTGCTGTCCCCCAGCCCCAGGGCAGGAGAACGCACCCCTGCCTCCTGCCATAGCCCGTCAGCCCAGCTTCTCCCCGCACATTCCTGATGTTTTGTCCCATGAAGCCGTGGGGCATCCCGGGCCCAGGCCCACCCACCCTCGCCTTGGGAAAACCCCAGGACAGGACCTGAACTTGGCAACTCCAAAGGGGGTGGCATTTGACAGGACGACGGGGGCCGCTGCCTGGTCCCCACTGCACTCGCACCCTCCCTTCGAGGTTTCAGGAAACCTTCTTGGGGGAGGGGAGGGCAGGCAGCACCTCCCCCGCCTGTGTGTGCAGTGCCTCCTCTGCCCCAAGGCCTCTCTCTGGAGCTCAGGCTCCCACCCGTCATCCACCGTTGGAACGGGACCGTCCCTGCGTAGGCGCCACTCTGTGCGTGTGTGCTGGGGTCAGCTGGGTGAAGCAGGGTGCAGTGTGCGTGTGTGGGGGGCATCCGCGAGTTCGGTGGGTGCGGGCGGGTGTGGCCCTGCTGCTCAGGCCTCAGCGGCGCCGGGTTGTGGACGAGGCGGACCTGGGGCGGGGTGGTCTTGATAGTCCCTCGGCTGGCGCTAAGCCGATAGGAGCCCAGAGCTCTGGGACAGGTGGAAGGCAGTGCCGGGCGTTGGCTGTGTGCCCGGCCCCCGCCCCAGGCGCGGGACCAGCTGTGGGACAGGAACTGCCAGCGCTCGGGCCAGAGTTAATATTTATGCAGGCGTCGCAGGAACGGGCTCGAGGACGGCTCCGCGGACGCACAGCAGCAGGCCTCCCGCCGCGGGTCTGAGAGCTGCCCCTATGCGGAGCCTCTTTTTCTCACTGCCTCCGCCGTTCCTGCTGCTGGTGCTGCTGGTGTTGCTGTCGCCTTGGCCGGTCTGGGCCCAAGCGCCAGCCACAACCTTCCCCTCGGGGCCCCGGGGCGACCCGGACTGCCCGGAGGCATGCGCGTGCGTGCCGGGCGGCCAGGCCAACTGCTCGGCTCTCGCGCTGGCCGCTGTGCCCGCCGGCCTGAGCCGGCGCGTGAGCGCGCTGCTGCTGGACCACAACTGCTTGAGCGCGCTGCCGCCCGGTGCCTTCGTGGGCGCGGGCGCGCTACTGCGCCTGGACCTGCGCGAGAACGGGCTGCGCTCCGTGCACATGCGGGCCTTCTGGGGCCTGGGCGCGTTGCAGTATCTTGACCTGAGTGCCAACCAGCTGGAAGTGCTGGCGCCCGGCACCTTTGCGCCGCTGCGCGCGCTGCGCACCCTTTCGCTGGCTGGCAACCGGCTGGCGCGCCTAGAGCCCGCGGCGCTGAGCGCGCTCCCGCTGCTGCGCGCACTCAATCTACAGGACAACGCGCTGACGGCGCTCACGCCGGGCCTCCTGGCCGGCCTGCCGGCCCTCGACTCGCTGCGCCTGCGCGGCAATCCCTGGGCCTGCAGCTGCGCGCTGCGCCCGCTGTGCACCTGGCTGCGCAGGCACCCTCCGCCAGCGGCAGGTGAGCGGTCGGGGACGTGGGCCGGGACCTGCCGGGCGGGGCTGTCGCCGCCGCCTCCTGACGCCGCGCCCGTGTCCCACAGAGGCCGAAACGCTGCTCTGCACGTCGCCGAGGCGCCTGAGGCTCAGCCCCCTGACTGCCTTCTCCGACGCCGCCTTCAGCCACTGCGCGAAGCCGCTCGCCCCGCGGGACCTGGCCGTGATCTACGTGCTCGGGCCTGCGTCTTTCCTCGCCAGCCTGGCCGCCTGCCTGGCGCTGGGCTCGGTCATCACCGCCTGCCGTGCGCGCAGCCGCCGCCGCACCGCTGCCCGGCGGCCGCCAAGGAGACCGCCGGACCCCGACCCCGACCTCGAGGGCTCCGCCTCTCCTGCGGACCCTGCGAGTCCCGCAGCCGCCGCTGCCCAAGCCTGAGCAGGCTGCGGCTGTCCGCGGCGTCCGAAACTTCCCCCATCCCTTGGTCTTCCCTTCAAACTCCCTGTCAGCGTCAACAAGCGACACAGACGGAAAATCTTGTGACATTCCTTTAGGCATCACCACTGCACACACCGGGTTGGGGGCGGGGGCGGAGCGCGGCTGCGCACGGGCCGCACGGGAAAGGCGCGCGCCCGGGCACTGGGAAGGCTGGTCCTGTACAAGGTGGGGGACGGCGGGCGGTGGCGCTCTCCCGTGCCCAAGGTGCAAGGCAGGGTTGAAGACAGTCCCGAGCCAGCGTCTGGGGAAGCCCGTCCTGGGCTGCAGGCCGGACGAGAAGAGAAGGGCTCAGCCCTCTCGAGTCTGGGGGAGGAGGCCCGAGGCAGCTGGGAGCCCGAGCGCGCCTCTGGGCAGCGCTGCCAGCTGGGGAGTCAGGGGCGGCCGTGGGAGACGGGCAGGGCCAGCCCCGGCGCGGGGTCCAGGGGTAGGTGGGGCGTGGGTGGGGTGCAGCAGGAAGAGGAGAGGGTGGAGCTCAGGCTGCCGAGGAGCGCAGGCGCTGCAAGAGGGCGACCCGGCCAGCTGGGGCTGTGGCTCCCGCCTTGGCGCAGGGCGGGGCTGCCGTCTCTGCTCCAAGCCCCTCCGCGGGGCCGGTCAGGCCCTCTCCCACTGCTCAGAGACCCCAGGGCCCTGCCTCTGCCGGAGCGCCCTGCGGCCCTGCCCAGCCGGCTCGGCTCTGACCCGTCCTCAGCCGCTCCGGTCCGCACCTCGGTCCGGCAGGAGCTGCCCGCCAGGCAGTAGGGCGGGTGGGCGGACAGCCCGGAGGCCCAGGGTGGGCAGTCTCTGGGGTGGGTGGGCTTCCCTCAGGCCTTCCCGAGCAGCAGGACCCATCAGTGTCCTTGGCCGGGCTAACTGGGCAGGTGGGCGCCTCCGGGGGCCTCACACCACGGTGCTGACCGAGGGATCTGAGAGGTTGAGCGGGCCCGAGATATCAGAGGGATGGTACTGCTGCAAAATAGAAATACACAGACAAGGCGCCCGTCAGCCCCGCGCCGGGGGCTCGCGCGGGCGGGACGGGGTGGGCCGGCCGGCGGCGGGTGGGCGGGCGCGGCCTGGGGGAGGCTGGGGGTGCTCCTCCCCCGACCCCGTGGTGCTCCGGGGCTCTGCGTGGGCCGGGCCGCTGTCCCGTCCGTCTGTCTGTCTGTCTGCGGGGGAGGGGCAGAGGGCGGGCGGGGCGTCTCAGCTCTCCCTATGACGGGAACACAGCTGCAGCTGGCCCTCCTCCCTCTCAATAGCGCGTCGCGGCAGCACTGTGTCTTTTTGGTTTTGCAAAGCGCCGCGTCCACCCCCGGTGCTCTATAAATAAGAACCAACAATCAATACCCGCCGGCCCCGCCGGCCGCCAGGGACCCCAGCCCTCAGCGCCCAGTGTGGCCCTGGCCCAGAAGGGCCACAGGACAGGGGCAGAGGATCTCAGCAGCCAGACCGACCCCACCCTGCCCGAAGGAGCCCCCCCACCCAGGCCTCCCTCTGAACAGGCGCCCGGCCCCTGAGACAGGGTGGGAGCTGGGCTGCCCTCCCCCGCCCAGCCCCCAGCTGCCAGTGCCCTGCAGTCCGCCCTACAGGGCTGGCGGCCGCGCGGTGCCCTGGGAGGCTCAGGCGAGGATTCTGCGGGGAATGCGTCCCTGGAAGGGCGCAACGAGGTGTCTGGGCTGCACCTGCACCAGCTGCAGCCTCTGAGAGTGGCCCATCACCTGCACAGGTTGGGCCACCTGCCCCCCAGTGGCTCTCTCCTGCCTGCGGGAGACCACCCTCTTCCCCGGCTGCCCATCCCATGGTCCTCTTGGGCCGAGCTGTCCTCCCTCCCTCTACCTGGGCCTCCCTCTACTGTGCCTCCGCCTGCTCCTTGAGCCTCCAGTTACTCCCAGCCCCACAGACCCTCACTCTCCACCACCCTCCCTGTGCCACGTCCCTCCCCAGGAAGCGGAGCAGCCGGACTTCATGGGGGAGGGTGCTCTTGGGGTACCCTGGGGCTTCACCTTGGGCTTGGGTGGCTCTGTGCCCTGGAGTTCTGCCCCTCTTCCCAAGCATGGGGGGGGCAGGGCTGCAAATCCCACTTCCTTCCTGGGCATGAGCCCCTGTGGGCTGCAGGGCGGTTACTGGCGGAGGCCTGTGCTGGCTCTCTGGGCAGCCCCTCCCCACCATGCTAGCTGGGACCACGGTGCTCTAGCAGGGCTGGGTCCATTCTGGGGGATTTGGTCCAAATGTGCACATCCGGTGCCATGACAAGCTGCCCCAGGCAGGAGGCGGGGTGGGGAGGGATTCTAGGCTCAAAAGGGCAGACGGCCTGGCTTTGACACCCCCTGGGGGGTGGGTGTCTGAGGGTCAGGAGCTGAGGTGTGGTCTTATCCTCGGAGGCCTGCCCTCCCTGGGCCTCTGTCTGGGAACCTCAGAGTTGCCTGGGCTCTGCAGGCCAGGGTTTGCAGGGCTGCCCCTGCCTGTCCTGAGACCCTCGGGGAGCTGCCACCACACCTCCTGCAGGGCCCCTGCTCAGCCTGGAGTGGGAGCCACCCCTCTGGTCCCACCCTGTTCCCTGCCTGACAGCCCCTTGTGGCCAGGGGCCAGTTCCAGCTCCAGGCCCCAGCAGCCATCCACCCAGATGGACCCAGGCCCAGCCCCCAGCCCCCGGCCCACACAGAGACCACATGGAAGATGCAACACGCATGGCTCTGGTGAGACAGGTGAGACAGGTGTCTGGGGGGCGGGGCCGGCGGCCAGACAGACGGACGGGATGGGACATCACAGCCACCCCCTCCAGGGCCGTCGCAGGGAGGGCGTGAGGGCGGCGGGCCCCTCTGGGAGAGGCAAGAGAAACAGGGACGTGACAGAGAGGTGGTGTGGCCTCCCAGCAGGTGAGGAGCCGGGACAGGGCCGCTCTGGGCTCCCAGGGCCTCAGGTGTGGCCCAGAGAGGCGGTGAGGCTGACTGACTGACCAACGACATGACAGGCTTCAAGATGGCGTGTGGGTCATGGCAGGGGGAGGCGGGGGGCGGGCAGACTAACGGAGACACACGGGAAAGCCGAGGACCCAACGGGGTCGGGGAGGCTGCAGAGCCGTGTGGCAGAGGCTGCCTGGGTGGGTGGAGATGCAGGGCGGGGCCTCGGGAGTCCGAGGTGGGGCGAGGGTGGGATGGTGGGGGAGTGGGAGACAGACACGGAGGGGCGGGGGAGCGAGAGAGGAGTCGGAGACGTGGGACTGGGGTGCTCTCCCCCTTACCGTGTCTTTGGAGGACCTACGTCTCTTGAAGCTGGAAGCCAGGGTGGAGGTGATAGCCCTAAATGTGGCTTTCTTTTTAGGGTCGGGCTCTGCTCTACCACTCTTTCTATCCTAAAATGAATATGTATAAGTGATTAGACGGCTAAGGGTGGCGGCCACACCTGCCCTCGCCTGCTCCTCGGTGGGCCGCTGCCCGGCCTGGCCGGCCACTTGGGCCCTCGCTCCTGCCTGCCTCCCTGTGCTGGACAGACGGGCCGACAGCCGGACATTCGAGGGTGGCCTCTTCTCCTGCCCAGGGCCTTGGGCCTGACTGTGCTTGTGCTGGGGCTGGCTGTGGGGGTCCCAGCCGGCTCTCTTCCTGGGAGGTCCGCCTGGCTCCCTGGCTCCGGGGTGGCCCTGGATTACAGACGTCCGAGGAGGAGGAGCCCCCCGAGGACTGGAGGAGTTTCCCCTCAGGCCACACCAGCCATTCTTCGAGGAGGCCACTGTCCCCCAAGGGGGCACACACCAAGATTCAGGAAAGGGCCGAGGGGCCGAAGGAAGGCAGGTGTCGAGATGGAGTTGGAGCGACAGACAGGCAGCTCCCAGGACTCTGGCCTCGGGTCTGCTGGCCAGGACAGCCTGGGCCCACCAGTGGCAGCAGCAGCCAGGTCCCCAGGGGACCTGTGGGGCCAAGAGCAAGAATGGGCAGATGAGAGGTGTGTGGGCTCCAGCAACCCGGGCCCCCCACCTCACTGCAGTGCCAGCTTCATCTCAGGACACAGGCTCCAGGAGCGCACCCAGAGAAAGAGAAGAGATGGAGTGAACCGGAGCTCAACCGTGGGCCACAAGCCCTCAGGCCTGCACAGGCCCCACGACCCACCCTGTCCCAGGTGGGCTGAGGCTGCCCCTGCCGGCGACAAATTCCCATGGACACAGCCTGGGGGCACCAGGTGGGACCGGGCCTGGCCCGATTCAGACTGGAATCACGGAGCACAAGGACAGAGCAGGAAAGAGGGTCTCCACAGGGTGTCCAGGGTGCTTGGGGCGGCGGAGGGCAAAAGGCATCTTGGACTCACGTGCTACACACAAGTGGCCTGTCTCACCCTGCCTGCTTGCCTTCCTATGGAATGGGCACCACTGGGCGACTCTGGAGACAGAGGGGCCGGGGGAGGCGTGGAGCAGGGTGCGTGGCCTCCCTCGGCCCGGCTTTGCAGTGGGCGGCCACCTGCAGGCAGCCCCCCCGCCAACGCTGCCCCTGTGCCCTGGGAGCACTCACCACTGCCCCGGCCCTGGCTCCTAGCTCCAGTCCTGCCCATGGGAGCCAGAGCCAGTGCCACGGCCTTCAGGGATGGAGGAGGGCTGTGGCCAGGCCGGGCCCTGGGCACCAGGCCTCGGAGGTGGCCTGCCCTACCTGCAGGTTCTTCCTCCACACGTTCACCGCTGCGAAGGCCAGCTGCATCTGCTTCCGGCGGGCGTCTTTGTGCCGCTTGTACGCAATCTCAATGAAAATCAGGAAGATCCCGGCCACGATGCCCCCGGCCACCAGCATGAAGACCCCTGTGCGCCAGGACCCAGAGCCTCAGCTGCTGGCCAGAGGGGCTGCAGCCCACCGATGACCACCCATGTCAGTGGGCCGCACCTGCCATGTTCTCGAAAGTGAGGGTCGCGGGGGCGTTGCTGCGTGAGTCACATTCCTGGTACCGAACCCACGTCTTGTCCAGGTCTTCCATGAAGCCATTCTCGTGGGACCTGTGGGTGCAGGAGCGTGGGAGACTGAGGTGGGCGGGCCCTGCGGGGGCAGGCCCTGAGGTGGGCGGGGCCTGCACGGGGTGGCTGTAGGGTGGGCGGGGCCTGGGCGGGGCTGGGGCGTCCACGCACTGCCTTGGTGGGGTCAGGCACGGGGGAGGGGCTCTTGGAGATGGAGGCACCGGGCATGCTCACTTGAGGATGGACAGGGAGACGTTCTGCTTCCAAGGGCTGTCCTTGCGCATGCCTATGCCAAAGCCAGAGCGGAAGAACAGCTCGCCTGTAGTCACCAGGTCACACTTCTGCGAGGCCTCGAACTCCAGCACCGCCGAGTCCCAGATGAAGGCGTGCAGCTTGCTGCCGGCAGAGGCGGGGGTCAGGAAGCCTGCACGGCCAGGCCACTCTTGCTCCCGCAGCCCGTGTGCTGTCCTCTGTCCTGCCAGTCTATGGCCTGCCCGCGGTCCCCCAGCCTGGGTGCTCCCCACGCCCACTTCTCCTGCGTGGTGAGTGCCACCCTTTCCCTACCCCCTCGATCGTCCTGCCCGGCCGAGATGGCCTCCTGCATGCTCCTCACTTGTCCCTCACGGCCTGGATGGCCTCCGCTGCGCTCTCGTAGTTGTGCTTCTCCATGTGCCGGTACATGGTGCTCAGCTCCACCTGCCGCCGGAAGTAGATGTCCACCGAGCTCTGCTTCACGGTCGCGTAGATGAACTTGTCCGAGGGGTTCCTCAGCTGCAGGGGCAGAGGGCGGGCTCGCAGCAGCTCTTGCAGCCCCTACCCAAGGCACAGGCCAGCAAACCTCACGACCCCCTCCTCCAGCCCGGCCAGGCCTCACCCGTGGGTCGTTGATGCCCGTAATGCGCTCCTCTGGCCGGTCCAGCACCAGGAAGGCTGCCAGGTTGGCAGTGTAGGAGGCCACGATGATCATGGCGAAGCCGGCCCACACCATGCCCAGGATGCGTGCGGAGAAGCTTCGGGGAGCACCTGTGGGCAGGGGCTCAGTCAGGTCCCCTACGGCAGGGCGGAACGGGCCGGGACCGGCTGTGGCCTTACCTTCCCCGATGCCAGAGTTGAGCAGGACGCCCCAGGAGAACCACATGGCCGAGGATAGGGTCAGCGCGTCCTCCTCCTCCTCCTCGCTGTTCACCTTGAACCGACCAAAGGGGCTGCGGGGTGCAGAGGGCAGGTGGGAGAGAGGGCAGAAGAGGTGGCCCTGCCTGGCCTCGCCCACCCTGCAGATGGCGGTGTCTGGGCCCCAGGTCGCGCTCACCTGAAGCGGTCCAGCAGGTACAGCATCACGGCCACCACGTGCACAGACAGTCCCACCAGCAGCCACAGGGTGCTCTGGAAGGGCTGCATGAATGAATCCAGCGTGCTCCGGGGGATCTCCTGCAGGGGACAGGTGGTCAGCGCCGCCCGGGCCTCCAGGACTCCGCCCCACTCCCGGCCCTGCACACCTTCTTGACCAGAATGGTCAAGCCCTGGTACTTGAAGGGCTTGGAGAACTCGATGTACTGCGCCCGCTCATTGTTGATGGTCAGTGGTGCCACGATCATGTCCGCCTGCCCGCTGAGCAGCTCGCCCATCATCCCGTTCCACTCCTTCTTGTTGCTGTTGTTCACCTGCGGGGCGACAGAACCCACGCGCATGCGGAGAGCGTCCGCCCCTCCAGCGACAGGTCCCAGCCAGGCAAAGCCAGCGCATTACAGGGGTCGGCTGCCGCAGGCCCCGCCCACCACGGCCCCGCCCCGGCCCTCAAACCCCGCCCATAAGGCCCCCGCCCCAAGACCCCAGCCACAGGCCCCACCCAAAGACCCCTCCCACCTCGCCCCGCCCACCACGGGCATCGCCCCAATACACCGCCCACCATCGGCCCACCCCATCCCGTTTGCCCCGCCCACTATGGCCCCGCCCCAGCCCTCAAACCCCGCCCATAAGGCCCCGCCCCAAGACCCCAGCCACAGGCCCCACCCAAAGACCCCTCCCACCTCGCCCCGCCCACCACGGGCATCGCCCCAATACACCGCCCACCATCGGCCCACCCCATCCCGTATGCCCCGCCCACTATGGCCCCGCCTCAGCCCAATGCCCCGCCCCTCGGCCCCAGGGCCCCGCCCCAGCCCAATGCCCCGCCCACAGGCCCCGCCCCGCCCCTCAGACCCCTCCCACCCCGAGCCAGCCCCGGCCCGCAGGCCCCGGCCCCCACGGCCCGCCCGCCCGCAGGTGCCCACCACGCACCCGCTCCTGCGTGCCGAACTTGCCGTCGGCCACCAGGTGCACCTCGTAGGTGAAGTTCATGGTGCGCGCCAGCTTGATGAGCAGGTCGATGCAGAAGCCGTAGCAGCACTGCGGCACCGTGTGGCGCGCTGGGGAGGGGGCGGTGACAGCTGGGCTCCCGGGCGCCCCGCCCCGCGGCCCCGCCCCGCCCGCGCCCGGCACTCACGGCTGCCCGGAGACGTGTCGTTGGGCCCGGTGCAGATCACCTTCTTGACCGGGTCGCCGTTGACCGTGAACTCCTCCCTGCACGTCCCGTCGCTCAGCGTGGGCTTGACGTACACGAAGGGCTCCTGGTGGATCGTCACAATCTGCGGGCGGGGGAGACCGGCCTGGAACCCGGCCCTCGGCCGCCCGGGGCCTGGCGCCCGCGGAACCGCGTGGGCCACTGTCCCCGCGGGGCGTGAGCCGCACCTCTCCGCGCTCTCGGGGCGAGGAGCCCCGGCCCTGCCTGCCCCACTGCGCCCCGGCGACACAGGACACGTGCCTTCCGCTGCCGGCCCGTTCTCCCAAGCACGCTGGTGCGCTCCTCCCCGTGGCAACCCCCCTGAGCCACCCACTCCTTTTGTCTTTGAGGACCGCAGCCGGATGGGAAACAGGCCAGTGCATGCTGACGCATCCTGGGGGTGCTGATGGCGGGCAGGAGCCAGCGTCAGCCAGCCAGGCGGTAGGCTGTGCGCTTGGCCTGTTGGCAGGCCCAGCCTCGGCTCCCAGGGCAGGCTTTTCGGCTTTTATCCTTGGGGGGGAGGACTGAGAGTCCTTAAAAGAGCTTATTTCCTTTTTATTTTATTTTTAACTTTGTATTCATTTATTCTCTCTTTTCCTTTTAAAAAAATCTTCAATCCTCAATTTCAGCATTAGTTATTCCTTTTGAAAAACGCTCCTTATGGCGGGCTCGTGGTGGCTCACGCCTGTAATCCTAGCAGTCTGGGAGGCGAGGCAGGCGGATTGCTCGAGTCAGGAGTTCGAAACCACCTGAGCAAGGAGCGAGACCCATCTCTACTTAAAATAAAAAGAAATTAAACGAACTAAAAATATATATACATAAAAATGAGCCGGGGATGGTGGCGCATGCTGTATTCCCCAGCACTTGGGAGGTGAGGCAGGAGATCGTTTGAGGGTGCTGTGAGCTAGGCTGACGCCACAGCAACTGACGTCTAGCCTGGGCAACAGAGTGAGACTCTGTCTCAAAAAAAACCACAAAAAAAACCCAAAAAAAACGCTCCTTATGTTTTGTATTGTTTCTTTCTTGTACTCTTTTTTTTTTTTTATTTATCTGGGATAACTCATCAACATTTGTATCTTGTTAGCTACTTCTTAAAACAAACAGTATGCCGGAATCAAAGTTGTTTAAAGGCCATCTACAAGCGGACCAGCCTAAGACGGGGCCCTTTGGCACACTTGGCGTTTGGAACCGTTCCCTGCAGACTTTTCCGTGGGAGGTGTTCCTGAGCTGCAGCGAGAAAGCACTCATGGCGTGTGGCATAGCCCACCCTGTCTCTGGGAAAGGGCGGGCTATGGGCAGGTTTGTCTGGCGGGGGCGGCGGGCGCGGACCTTGCTCAGACAGGTGCTGAGAGGGACGTGTGAGGGACCAAGGAGGCTGCGCTTGGCACACTGGAAACATGAAGTCCTTGCCTTTGGGTGTCTGTTCGGTGGCTGGCGGGGCTGGTGTGGTGAAGAGTGCAGGTTTGTAGCAAGCCAGCATGGGGGCGCCCTGGGGGGAGCTCCCTAAGAAGCATGAGCAGGGCGCAATGCAAAGCGTGCAAAGGAATAGTGAGTGGAGGCAAGGAAAAGACAGTGGGACGGTGCTCCCAAAAGCAGGGAGAGCCTAAGAAGGGGATTGTGCGCCACCACAGGGAAGTGACTTCAGGTTGGGAGAGGTGATGTGACTCTTGACCTAAGTCCACACACCAGATTGGCCATGGGTCTTATTCACAAAGCTGATGATGCTTAACTCGGTTCAGTTATCTAAACTTCTAAGCGATGTATTCACAAGCGGGATGCCCATGAGATCATACCACTGCTGGCGGGCAGACTTAAGGTGTCCATTAGCTGAATGTAGGGCTAATGGAAGGCAGGGACTCAGAACAGCCTATGTGTCGGAGTAGATGAAAACGTCTGCAAGGAATCAATAATTGGCCATCCTTTTGCCGCTATGCTAGTGCTCCATCCAGTTGTACCTACTCCACACAACGAAATCCATGTCCCCCACAGACGAACTTCCAGACTTACAAAGTCTAGGGTTGGTATCAAGAGCACGGGGCCAACGACACAGGAGAAGCCCCACGTGGGTGGAGGCAGCCAGCGTCAATGCCTCCTCTGCACCTCCCACATGCTAATCAGCTCAATAGTGCACTATTCAGCCTTTTAGAAAGGAGGTGCGCGATTCCAGCCTCCTTCCAGTGGGCTTTCGCGTTGACCCTCATCACTTGCCCCCTCTCCTCAGTAAACACCTCGGTGGGCTGGCGGATGCCTGGGCTATTGATGAACCGGAGAATGATCACGCGGTCGGGCACCCTCAGCCTATATTATGCTGGTGTGAAATCTAGGTACCCCCAGAGGCTTACTCTCAGTCTCAAACAACACTCCAGCCAGATGATGCGATCTAGTCGTTAGGGATGAACTGGGGTGGGAGTATGATGATGGAGGGGTGGCCACGCCAGGGTCTTGGCCCAGGACCCTAACGGCCCCAGCCCCCCACCCTCATGACCCCCAACTACTATGTGGTTGGTGCCGTATTTATGGAATTGCCTCACTATGCACCCAGCTCTTGCGGTTTGCAGGTTCATGATGCTGTAGTGGCAAACCTTGCGAACAGGTCCCCACGTCTCGCATTAGAACTCTACTGCGCACGGTCACGCCGCGTCCGCTGTACTTGGAAGACATCAGATTCACTTCCTGTTGGGGCCAGAGCAGCCACGGTGTACAGACGTGTCGGGTGGCTCGCTTCTCCCTGGCCTTCCCGAGCAGCCCAAGTCTTTCTCCCAGTTCCCTAAGGAGGAAGGATCAGCAGATCTCGTCGCGCGTGAGTCTGCTGAGGACGCGCAGGAATCTGTGCCTGCACCAGTGACGGCACACAGCCAGTGACAGCCCGAGTGGCTTCCTGGGGCAGCGCACATTGCCTTGAGGATATTCAAATGGGTAGTAGGGTGTTTGGTCCTCACGGCCAGCCATCCTAGCATTTACAGAGAACGGGAAGCCTGGCTCATGCCTGTCAATCCTAGGCACTCTGGAGAGGCAAGGTGGGTGGATTGCTCAAGGTCAGGTAGTTTGAGACCAGGCCTGAGCAAAGAGCGAGACCCTGTCTCTACTAAAGAAATAGAAAAAAATTAACTTGGGCAACTAAAAATATAGTATATATATGCCAGCACTGGTGGGCGCATGCTGTATCCCAGCTACTCGCGAGGCTGAAAGCAGGAGATTGCTTGAATCCAGAGTTTGAGGTTGCTGTGAGCTAAGCTGACACCACGGCACTCTAGTCCGGGCAACAGAAGTGAGACTCTGACTCAAAAAAAAAAAATAATAATACAGAGAAGGAAGCCAAAGGCCCACAGGAGGATGGCTGGGCCCACGTTGCAGTGACGAAGAGAGGAGCGGCTGAGCTGGTCTGGCTGTGTGTGCATACTGCTGTGTCTTTACCGCGATGCGGGTGGAATGATCATAGTGAAGCCTGGGACACAGTGAAGCGCCTACGTAGGGCAAGTATCCCGATGCAAAAGTTACTTTGTGGCAGGTGTGTGTTCTGCTCTCTGAAGGTGGGTTATATGAGAGACATGGTTCTGTGCAATGTTTACATAAGTGTGTGGCATGTTTGGTAGTAGCCTAGTAATCTGTCACCTTTAACATAGTGTATGTCTGTGTTATCTGCGAGTGGGCGCCATCTAGGGGTTTGACAGTGGTTCTATGGCACGGGCTGATTTACGCATGTGGCTGAGAGCTCTCCGCACCCAATATTTGTTGAGTGAGCAGTGGTGCCCAGGCTTCTGAGATTAAGCTCCTGTCCAAGATAGCAGTCTTGTTTAGACCTGGTCTGCAGAGTGCCGGGTCCACCCGGCTCTCTGCATTCTGTTCCGCAAATGACCAATATACTAACAGGTCTGTCTTTACCTGCGCTGGGTCCCTTGGAAGACTCCCGAACCCATTTGCATCAAGAACCTCCTCCTAAGGCTGCCAGCCAGCCAACGAACAAGAACGAAAAATGGGCAGGTGTGTCTCAGGGTGGGCTGCCCCGTGGAAAGGTGGGGGTGGGCGGGCCACGGTGCTCACGCCTGTAATCCTAGCACGCTTGGGACCGCCGATGCGGGCGGATCGCTCAATGTCAGGAGTTCGAAAACCAGCCTGCAGCAAAAGAGCCGAGACCCTGTCTCTACTATACCAATCACGCAAGACAAATTAATTGGCAACTAAAAATAGTATGAAAAAGAATTAGGCGGCATGCGTCAACAATGTGAAGGTCTTCATGGCCTGGTAAGTCCCAGGCGACTACTTCGAGTATTAAGATTGAACTGTACGTAGCTGAGGCCAGGAGATCGCTATTGAGCCCATCGGGAGTGTGAGGTTGCTGTTAGAGCTAGGCTTGACGCCACAGCACTCTTTAGGCCCGGGCGACAGAGTGAGACTCTGTCTCATAAAAAATTTAAATTTATAAATCATAACATAGAGTAGTATAAACGAAAAAAAGAGCCTCCTCCCTAGGTTGCCAGCACCGTTAGGGGCTTACGCGGTGCTGTCTCAGGTTGGCTTTGCGCGTGGAAAGGTTGGGCGGAAGCCGCGGAGGCAAAAGTTTGGATGACTTCATACTGACAAGTGGATAATAATACACATGTGTTGGTCATTTGCTCTGTTCAGTTTGGAGAAAGAACGTGGACGACTGCTCTCTGTGCACAACAGAGGTTGGGTGGCGCTGGCGGCAGTGGAGAGAAGGAGAGAAGTGGGGACAGTGTCCACAGGGTGTGCACGCCACTGCACCATGCCCACCTGGCGGGCGGCCCCCAACCTCCTTGCACAGCTGTGCCCCAAACTCTTCTGACAAAGCGCCTCCTCACACGACAAGTCTGTCCCCTTACCTCTCGCAGACTACTCTGTGCCACACATCTCACCTTGCAGGCGCCCCCCCAGACAGCGATTGCCACCATGAACCTTCGCGCAGCTGTGCCCCCATCTCTTGCATGGCGACCTTCACACTCACCCCGCGAGGGGGTCCCCACACTCTTCGCGCAGCTGCCACCCTTAGCAGCTCACGCCCCACCTCGCATGGCATCCCCACTACCTCTCTGCGCAGCTAGATGCCACCCAACTGTGCAGGACCAGTCGCCCCCCTCGAGGCATCCCAGGTCCAATCGCGCAGTGATAGCCCACTCCTTGCAGGCTGCCACACCCCCCGCCAGGGTCCCACCTCTTCGCGCTCATGATGTGTCTCTCTCAAACTCGTGTCTAATGGCGCACGCTACCACCTCGCACCCAAAGCCCCTCCTTGCCTCGCGCACGTTGGGCCCCAACTCCACTTGCAAGCAGCGCCCCCCAACTTCTCGCTCAGACCCCCAACTCCTTGCAGGCGACGCCCCCAGCAGGCTCCCCGACCTCTCGCGCTAGCGCCTGTGCCCCCAACTCCTATGCACGGCGGCCCACACCATAGACCCACCATCCTCGCATGCGGTCCTCCTCCACATCTTGAAGAGCGGCCCGGTCTTCCAGATGTTGGTGTTGCCCACGCAGCCGCGCGGGGGGTCGGTGATGTTCTCCTTCTCCAGGAGGTCGTGCACCGCCTGCGCCACCACGCCCACCGCGTCGCTGATGTGCGCGGACTCGTTCTTGCCGTTGATGAGCTGCAGCCCGATGATGCCTGCGGGGGCGGGGCGGAGGGGGCGGCTCAGAGCGCGCCGGACCCTCCCCCCGCCCGCGGCAGCCCCGCACTCACCGTCGGGGGCGTAGCGCAGGGCGTTCCCCGAGATCTCGCGCTCCCCGACCAGCCACACGTACCCCGAGCCCGTCATGTTCAGCATCGCGGCTGCGCGGTACACGGTGGCGGCGTCGTCCTCGCTGTGGGGCAGACGGGGCTGAAGGGCCGGGACCCCAGCCCTCCGCCTCCGAGCGCAGGCCGCCCCCAGAGCGTCCAGGAGCGAGGCCTGCAGACCCCGCAGAGGGGCCCGGCCCACGCTGCGCCCCATCCGCACCTGGGCCGGGAGACCCGCGAGTCCCCCAGAACCCAGGAGCCTCCCAGACCTCTGTGGCTGACCCCTCCCTGCCTTTGGGGGCAGGGGCAGGGTTAGACACCTGGTTCCTGCCTGTCCCCTCTGACTGCGCTCTGGGGGCCCCCTCCCTCTCCTCAGGAAGACCCCTGGTCGGTGACCCAGGCCTGTGATGGGTCATCACTTGCTCATCACTTGCTGACCAGGCACCGGGCACTGTTGCACGTGCTTTATGTGGATTATCTGATTTAAACCTCAGCATCCCTAGGGGGCAGGAATCAGTACTGCCTCTGTGTCAGTAGGGGAAACTGAGGCGCGTGAGCTTGCAAGTGTTGGCAAGTGACAGAGTCGGTTCTGTGCCTGGACAGTCCGCCCCAGAGCCCAAGCTCCTGCAACCTCCTGGGCAAACCGCACCCCTCTGGGGCTCTGTGTCTGGGTCGCTGAGATGCTGCAGTGGCCCCGGTGCCCCGGGGGCTGCCCCAGAGACCAGGGGCTGCTCTCCCTCCTGAAATCTACACGGCAGCTGCACCCCTGTTCCGCAGGGCCAGGGCCACCAGGAGGACAAAGCTCAGGTGACCCTCACCTTGTAGGCACCTTGAGATCTTAGGGTGTCCTCATGGGTGAGCCCTGTGGACACGCAGGGGACGGGGTCCCCTGGGGCCGGAGCTTTCCTGGTCATGACAAGGGCCTGGGGCCCAGCGGGGCTCTGGGGCAGGGCCGCTGGGGATCCTCTCTCCCCCTCAGGGCCTGACCTGGCTCTGGGTCGGCCTGGACCACCACTGGCCCTTTGCCTCTGCAGTGTACGGGCCGCAGGCGCCATGGACTGCCCCAGGGTTGGGTTGACTCTGGAAACCAAGGTGGCCCTCAGCTTCCCAAGGGGTCCGCTCCCAGTTTTCTCAAGGGTTAGCCCACGAAGAAATGCAAACCCTCAGTGTTTGCTCTCCATGGGAATGCTACCAGTGGACATAAGCAACACAAAATAGAGGTGCACCAGGTGCAGCACCAGCCCGGAGACCCAAGTGAGAACCTCTGGCAGTGGCTCTGCACACGGAATACGGCAACACTAGCCCGGTAAGACCCAGGCCCTGCGTGTGGAGGCACAGAGCACCCACTGTCTGCTGCGCCTCCCCGAGACCTGGCAGACAAGCCTGTCTTCTTGACACAATTCGGGCCTGTGACATCTGCGTGGTAGAATGATTATGACCAGCAAAACGGTTGTAAGCAAAAGCCTGATCTGTCCATCAGAACTCATCAGATTGTTTTATGGAAATGGCTGATACCGATACATTTCAGGAAAATTAAAATGAAAGTTTTGGAAACAAATTCTTTGCACTCTCTAGAAAATCGGCTAAAAATTAAGATTGGCTTAATGAAGTCTCTCTGCAAAACTCCCTCCTGCGCCTGCATTGAGGAGGAGCCCACATGTGACAGGTGGAAGCTCTGGGGCTGCACCCTGTGCTCCCAGGGGGGCACGCTGGGGGGCTGTCTGCTCCCAGGGGCTCAGCATGTGAGAGGAGGGGGTTCTTTCCAGCCCTGACATATGTACATGGATTCCTGAAGCGGGGTGTTGGTGAGTGTGTGGTTGATATGTATGCTGTGTGCAGTGCATGCATATGCATGGCGTATGACATGTACACAGCATGTGGTATGTACATGTGGTGTATATGTGCACAGGTACATGTGTATGTGCATGTTGTGATGTACATGCATATGTGGTGTATATATGTACATGCATGTAGGTGGGTGCCTGTGTCTAAGTACATATGTGGTATATATGATAGTGTGCACATGTGGTATGTGTGTCTGTGCAGTGTGTATATATACGTGCATGTCTTGAGTGCATGTGTGTATGGTATATATATGGTACAGGTACATGTGTATGGGTGTGTGGGGATGTGTGTACAACTGGTGTGAATACGGTGTGTGCACACATTTGTGCACGTGTGGTGTGCATATGGTATGTGCATGTATGAGGACATGTGGTATTATGTGGTATGTGCTCAACACATTTGTGCATGTGTGGTGTGTATATGGTATGTGTGTGTATGTGCACATGTGGTATTATGTGGTATTAATCAACACATTTGTGCATGTGTGGTGTGTATATGGTATGCACATGTATGTGCACATGTGGTATTATGTGGTATGTGCTCAACACATTTGTGCATGTGT